TTCAAGTAGGGAAGAACAAGAAGACAGTAATTAACAACAGTCAAGCAAGAACAGGGAAAGTCAAGGCACAAGATGAATACATTGAAGAAAAAACAAACAAGTGATGGGGTGCATTAAAGCTGACAAGCAGGAATACGTGGAGGAGCTAGCAACGATAGCGGATGAAGCTGCAAGAGAAGGAAATATGAAAAAACTATATGACAAAACGAAGAAACTAGCAGGGAAATATAGTAAACCAGAGAGACGAATCAAACACAAGGAAAGCTAGATAATCACTGAAATTCAAGAGCAGAGAGACAGATAGACAGAATACTCTAGGGACTCTTAAATAGGCCAGCTCCACTGAACCCAACGGACATGGAAGTAGCATCTACAGACCTTCCCACAGATGTCACTCCATCAACGACAGAAGGAATCAGGATGGCCATCAGACAAATCAAGATTGAGAAAGCAGCAGGACCTGACAGTATACTGGCCAAAGCACTAAAGTTAGACATAAAAGTAACTGAAAATATGCTTCACACTCCATGCAGTAAGATTCGGAAGAAGGAACAATCCCGACAAACCAGAAAGAAGGATACCTCATCACGATACAAAAGAAAGGAGATCTGAGCAGATGTGAGAACTGCACAGGCATCACACTACTGTCGGCAGCAGCAGACGTTTTCAACAGAGTGTTGCTGAACAAGATGAAAGATTGAGTAGACGCAAGACATAAAGATCAACAGGCTGAGTGACCTAAGGATCGATCTTGCGAAAACCAAATCAATACACTACGGTCATCGTTGAATTATCATTTGAATGGAACTCGTCACTATACATCAATATTCTTTGCTATGAGAAAGAATTTGACATTGTGGATGAGAAGTCTTTATGGAAACGTCTTCGAAATTATGATGTACCTGAGAAGATCGTCAACATCATCCGTAATTCATATGACGGAATACACTGCAAAGTCGTGCATGGATGAAAGCTGATAGACGCATTCCAAGTGAGGACCAGAGTCAGACAAGGTTGCTTACTCTCATCCTTTCTCTTTCTTCTGGTGGTTGACTGGACTATGAAAACCACCACATCTGACGGGAAGCGTTGAGTACACTGTACAGCTTGAACGCAACTAAACGACTTGAACTTCGCAGATGATCTGGTCCTTCAATCCCATACACACCAGCAAATGCAGGTCAAGAAACCAGTCTCAACATAAACAAGAAGTCAATCAAGATCCTGAAATACAACATGGAGAGCACCAGTCTAATGATACTTGATGGGGAAGCTCTGGGTAAGGTGGTAGCTCTCACGTACCTGGGAAGCATCATCAATGAACAAGGAGGATCCGATGCCGATTTAAAGATAGGGATTGGCAAAGTAAGGACAGCATTCCTACAGTTAAAGAACATATGGAACTCAAAACAGCTGTCAACCAATATCAAAGTCACAATCTTCAATACGAACGTCATGATGGTTCTGTTGTATGAAGCTGAAACATGGAGAACAACTACGGCCATAATCAAAGGTATAAGTATTTACAAACAGTTGTCTGCACAATATACTCAATATCTGTTGTCCGGATACCATCAGCAACACCCTTCTGTGGGAGAGAACAAACCGACTTCCAGCTGAAGAGGAAATTGGGAAAAGACATTGGAAGTGGATAGTACATACCTTACGGAAATCACCAAACCACAATACGAATCAAACCCTAACTTGGAATCCAGAAGGGAAACGGAAATTAGGAAGATCGAAGAACACACCGCGTCGGAACTTAGAAGCAGATATGAAAAGGATGAATAGAAACTGGAAAAAACTGGGGAGGATTGCTCGGGACAGTATTGGATGGAGAGTACTGGTGGGCGGCGTATGCTTCTCCATGATAGTTGACGTGCGCAAGTAAGTATATAAATTTGTTCATGGTTTGAATATACTCATGTGCTTTATTAAGAATTCCTACTAGATGCAATAAATGTTTGTAGCGGTAAACGAATCCCCACAATATGTAGTCCTGTAGGTCTTTGACATTGATACTGACCTCACTAGTTCTACTGGACACAGATACAGATCCTCACCAGATCAATATTGAGTAAGCAGAGGAACTAATTTATCACAATAACGCTCCTCAACATATGGATGACTTTCCAAGTCTCACTCTGAGTTTCCTCCTTACTGGTTTGTAGTGACTCACATTTATCACGATAACACGACTGGTTTAATAAAAACAATTATTATCACAACCAACTGTACCAGTGCTTGTTTTAATGTGCTTTTGTTTTATTGTGCTAATGACAGCTATATTGTGCTTCCATTCTTATTCTCACACTTTGATTGTGACTTCGCGCGAATTCGGTTACGTTCTGTAACCAAGCTTGTATCCTGGCACGATCTCGGTATCCTTTCGATGCCACGAGATCGCCAGCAAATATATCTCGATTTGGTCCATTAACTGCCTTCTGATATTTGGCTTCTCGGAGATTTTATGGGATTCTTTGGTTACGTTCAACCTACGCCTTCTGATTTATTTGGCACGTGTTTCTTGGTAGCGGTGCTCATAGTTAATCTCAACTCGACGCCACGCTACAGATTTTCCATTTGAATTGGTTGGTTTCTTTAGATAGTAAATGTGCAACGATCAAAAGCGATGTTAAGCACAAACATATATGCTAATGAAGTTGGCATTTCTATCGTTTTTTTATTGACGTTCATAACATCGCTGTGTACTGTTTAAGTGTTGGTATAACATAGTGTGAAGTACAAAATAAATTGGTATTGATGTTTTGTCGTAAAGTTTGTAAAAGCTCAAAATATTGGTGACGAAAGTTATCATTTCTGTGTTGCCCTTTATTTGTATTTCACTCAACTATTGTAATTACTCGTCGTTTTTGTCTATTTTCTGAGTGAAATGTGTAAACACAATGGGTTGGAAACCAAGTCTTAGTTAAATAGACTAGAAAGTCACCAAATGAAGTGAATTCGACGCGAGATTACATAGATTAAGTTGTCACATAATTAAGTAATACCCATCGAATAACATAAGTAAGCTCCATCACATTGAAAAGAGTGGAAAAACCTACAGATCAATTTTATTCAGAAATATGGACAAAGTATTCGAATTCGTGTATGATATGAAAATCCCTTTTCACAAGTATTTACCTGGACAGAGAACGGTGAAATACGAGCGAATAATTAGCAATAACGGGAGGTCAAGATATAATAAAATCAGGAGGTGTACCACTCATATGCACATGAAATACGTTTTTGAATCATATGCACAAAGGAATCGACCATTTAATAGAAGCAACTAGCATATTCTGAATCACTCATGAAACATGCAAACTATGAGAAGTGTATGGTAATAAAAACCACAAAAGTACATTGTACACTAAGCTAAATAAAATTACAACAACATGAATTATTTACACATTACTTATGGACAGATCTTCAAGTTTTTTTCCAATCGACATGATTGTTCTTTGACTACTAAGTTTAATTTGTTTGTCAAAAAACTGATGTCAAGTGTAGTCTCTCTGTCATTCAGCCGTATGAAACATAGAATCTTGCACAAAAATTGTGGTGTTTGTATGAAATAATGATTGTTTTGATGCTTGATTCCTGGTTAATTTCAAATTCTAACTACAATAAAAATTTTTGTGCTCACTTAGTTCTATTTGGTTTAAATTGCACTGTTTCAGGAATTCCTGGTTCATACAACAGTTCGAATACTTCTAATCATCATATAAATGCATCTCTCCTAGTTATCATATCGCAAGAGCACACCGAGATAAAACTATCAAGAGAAGTCCCAGAGTAGTAGTAGATATAGCATCAGTGGTATTAGCTGAAAAGATAGGTGAAAAGGAGATATAAATCTCTTAGATCAAGTATAGAAACTGGCAGCCAGGCGGTTGGTGGAGATTGCACGTGAATCTTACGAGGACAGACTTCTGCACCTGGGATTATTTTCTATGAATAAGAAGTGATCTGATAATGATATTAAACACATTAGGCTTTCCGAGGCACTAGAACATCACCATCACGGTTCTCGAGGCAACATTCTAGAGATTACTAATCGGAGAGTGAACACCAAAACACCCTGTAACTTTTTCTTATTAAGAGTACCCATCATTTGGAGTGCTCTCCCAGTCAAAGTGACCGCAACCCTTTCAGTAAATAGCTTTAAAAAGAAACTTGACAAACAACTACTCACGAGTAAATTACTATGCAATGCACGTCTCATAAGTTTGTAGCGTGGTGTCGAGTTGAGATTAACTATGAGCACCGCTACCAAGAAACACGTGCCAAATAAATCAGAAGGCGTAGGTTGAACGTAACCAAAGAAACCCATAAAATCTCCGAGAAGCCAAATATCAGAAGGCAGTTAATGGACCAAATCGAGATATATTTGCTGGCGATCTCGTGGCATCGAAAGGATACCGAGATCGTGCCAGGATACAAGCTTGGTTACAGAACGTAACCGAATTCGCGCGAAGTCACAATCAAAGTGTGAGAATAAGAATGGAAGCACAATATAGCTGTCATTAGCACAATAAAACAAAAGCACATTAAAACAAGCACTGGTACAGTTGGTTGTGATAATAATTGTTTTTATTAAACCAGTCGTGTTATCGTGATAAATGTGAGTCACTACAAATTACAACGGTTGTCATTCCCGCATATCGGTAGCTATTTATCATCTCGGTTTCCCCTCTTATTATTTTAGTTCGGTCTTCTTACACATTACCAAATCATGAAGTTATTTGTTATTCTTGGAGCGGGCATCTTTTCTTGGCACTCTAACTGTCACCTTAATATTTACACATATCTCAACCACATGCATGCTAATGTTATGGTTCATGGTATTCAGAAGCCCTTCACCTATAAAACAAAAGCAATCACTCAAGTACAGGATATAAAACTCTTAAAACAACTGTTCGGTCGACTAGAATCAGTGTAGTAGGATGACTACACTATCATCCATTGGACATAATCAAATACTTGGGATCGTAACGAAACAATGAGCAGAGAGCTCACATTAATCGATTGGCCCGTACAAGTTCATGACAAAGATATTGGATATATTGGAGAAATAGTAAATACGTAGGTTCGTGTTCGAAAACTGAAACAAATTCTGTCGTTTTTGAGCTTGTTTACATACATAATCCTTATTGCACTCTAGGTCATTAGGTCAGAGCGTACTATGAAATTCTTGGGTGTCGTTGTCGAATGCCTCACCTATATTATTATCTGAATTGTCGAGCTACTTGTCTAATATACTAATAGTTTGTCAAACCTCACAGATTCGCTCTTCTGCAATTTCCCAGCGCACAGCGTTTATGTATTTTATCTCCTTGTTGGTTAGTTAGTTGTTAACCGTGGGCGGAAAGTCACGTGTCGTGTAGGCTTATTCATTCTAAATATGAAAAGTGTCTCAGTATGGCAGTGAGCAGTTCAAAAGGTAGGTTTTAATTTTCACTTCACTTCAAGTCATAAGATCATTCGTTTGTACAGTATATAACACCCAATTTGCTTATGAAAAAAACATCGAAAGATCCAGTACGAGCGTATGCTATTAATCTGTCTAACAAGAGCAACGATTATAAAATTGAAAAGATAGAGAACTTGGAACAGTTTTGTGAGTTGAGACAGTTGAATCTTTCATACAATCGTATTTGCAAAATCAGTGGTTTATCAACGCTTTGTCAGTTGACTGTTTTGAACATCTCACATAATTTTCTCGTGTCCCTTAATGGCATCCAATCCTTGTCAAATCTCTTGGTACGTCTGCTTTTCATCCTTTCATTTTGCAGGTACTGAAGGTTAATAACAATCAAATTACATCCATTCCTAAATGGCTGCCTAAACGGTTACCGAAGCTGAAAACAATCCACTTTCACTACAATCAAATTGATACTGTAAGTTCTAAGAACGGTTATATTTTGAATTAACGGGGGGAAATGTACCAATTAGCAAAATTTATTCCTAACCGTCAATTTAAATCTTAATCCTCATCCCTCATACTAATCTATAACCCTCATCTAAGCGTAGTAAATAAGTGGACATTCCAAGGTCATTTTAACGTTGCTTAAAGATCATCAATAAATTATAGTCGCATCGTTATTGCTTGTGTGCCATATTGGTGTTTTAGCTGAACGAATATTGCATACAGTGTGATGAATGCCAAGTCATCTATGTAGCTGGACACTTTTTGTATAGTTCAAATAGTTCTAAAACTTCCAGCTAACATTAACGTGGTTTTCAAGTCTTCACTAGTAATGATACAAATCACTCTGATAAGAGTGACTCGGGACTATTCAACGCTTCTTAAATTTTGTCTTGATGTTGTAGCGTGGCGTCGAGTTGAGGTTAACTATGAACACCGCTACCAAGAAACACGTGCCAAGCGAATCAGAAGGCGAGGGTTGGACGTAACCAAATAGATCCATAAAATCCCCGAGAAGCCGAATACCAGAAGGCAATTAATGGACCAAGTCGAGGTTTATTTGCTGGCGATCTCGTGGCATCGAAAGGATACCGAGATCGTGCCAGGATACAAGCTTGGTTACAGAAGGTAACCGAATTCGCGCGAAGTTACAATCGAAGTGTAAGTATAAGAATGGAAGCACAAAATAGCTGTCATTAGCACAGTCAAACAAAAGCACGTTAAAACAAACACTGGTACAGTTGGTTATAATAATAATTGTTTTTATTAAACCAGTCGTGTTCTCGTGATAAACGTGAGTCACTACAGGAGCCCCCCGCTAGAAAGGGTTTACACTTTCGATGAATAGCGGTTTGAATCGTGGGACTGATCGGCTGACGAGCGATTGTAGGACGGAAGAATTGGCGAACAGGAAAGCGATCGTTGATCGTCGAGTTGCCAACGAAGGTCGTTTTCGGAGAACAGTACCAGGAGCGATGTGTTGTATTTATTGCTCGAGTTGGCATGCTACACGAGAGTGGTTTGTATCCAGAATCTGAAGAGGGCGTTCGTAGAGGTGCGCACCAGAAACGCTGCAGACGTAGGACGAAACCACGTTGAGCCAAAAGACCAGAAGCGACCGTAACGACCAAGTTCGAGACCAAGCATATGCCAAGCATTCGAAACCAATATATCGACTGAGTACGTTGACAAGAGCGTGGGTGGCCAATCCAGCTTTCGCCAAAGTTGACTGAAGTCGACGGAACCAAACGGAGATGGTCGAAGGCGTGGGCTCAGGAAACCAAAAGAAAATCAAAAAAAGAAGAGTGTAGCATACGTGTAGTATATGAATAATCCTACACTGTATCGGTTGTTGACTGTGCGGCTAGTCGCGGAAGCGTACGGGTAACCGTACTCGGCGACCGGAACGTGAGACGGCAGTCTCGTTCGCGTCACGTGAGCCTGCAATCTCATCCGAAGTCAAGGGCGGCGTGGTCTGCTGATCTGGACGTGAGACTGTCGTCTCGTCCGTAGACGGTGCAGATGACGCGTGCTGTTGACTGGGACGTGAGAATGAGGTCTCAGGTGTATCTAGCGTGGGACCTGAAGATGGTTTGAGGATCCCGCTAGGTTTGATAGGTCTAGCATTGAATCTCAGGGTGTCAGATAGGGCACTGTCATCGACGTGTGTTGGTTTGAGACGATCAATGCTGACGATCTCGACGCGTCCATATCGATCAACCTTGAAGGTCTTTTCGTGACGAGCGATCACGTGAAAAGGGCCTTCGTAAGGTTGTTGCCAAGGTTTGCGTACCGAATCTACTCGTACAAAAACATGTGAACAGGTAGATAACTCTCGAGGGAGAGCGACCTGTCGATGTTGTATTCGAGTTGACACCAGAGACAGCGTTCGCATAAATGCAGACAGTCGATGGACGTAGTCTGATTTACCGAAATTAGGTCTGCTCCGTGGTGTGAAGAATTCTCCGGGCAGACGCAATGTCGTGCCGTATACAAGTTCAGTGGCGGAACATTGGATATCTGCCTTTAAGCTCGTTCTCACCCCTAAAACAACGAGCGGTAAGGTTTCGTGCCAGTTGCCGTTTTCGTGTGCTCGTAGAACACTTTTAAGTTGGCAGTGAAACCGTTCAACTTAACCATTTGGTGCTGGGTGGTAGACGGATATGCTTATGCGTATGCATTCCGTACCAAGCAGCCGGGTCAGCGAGGAGAATCGTTAATAGGGTAACATTACTCGAATAAAGCGTGGAATTCATCATCACGCGAATAAAAAGTGACAAGGATTCGGTACACATACGTGTGAGTCTATTATATTAATACTATTCTTATCGTTATCCGTCATGTCGCGTATATTATATGTTAAAAAATATGAAAATATACGACAGACGTGGATAGATAAATCAAAGACTCACCGAATTGGCTTCTTTGGAAGATTTGATCAGAAGTTGAGGCGTGTTCCAAAATACGGGTCACCAATTGTATTCGAATTGGGATTACCAATTGATGCGTGGCGTCGAGTTGAGGTTAACTATGAACACCGCTACCAAGAAACACGTGCCAAGCGAATCAGAAGGCGAGGGTTGGACGTAACCAAATAGATCCATAAAATCCCCGAGAAGCCGAATACCAGAAGGCAATTAATGGACCAAGTCGAGGTTTATTTGCTGGCGATCTCGTGGCATCGAAAGGATACCGAGATCGTGCCAGGATACAAGCTTGGTTACAGAAGGTAACCGAATTCGCGCGAAGTTACAATCGAAGTGTAAGTATAAGAATGGAAGCACAAAATAGCTGTCATTAGCACAGTCAAACAAAAGCACGTTAAAACAAACACTGGTACAGTTGGTTATAATAATAATTGTTTTTATTAAACCAGTCGTGTTCTCGTGATAAACGTGAGTCACTACAATGTGCAGCATGTGGTTTGATATATTCACTGAAATTTGCCAAATGCTGTGTCATCTTGTTAATTTGTTCAGATATTTTTGACGCTTTTGTTCGTTTTGTATTACTTTATTTCGACATTATCAGTATATAACAATGTCAATGAGGACAGGAGAATAGGATAGTCACTTGTTTATTAGGCAAATAGTTACCTAGGTACGTGATCACCTGGCTGGTGATCATGAGTCCGTCGTGATCAAGAGTTAGAGACTTTAAAAGCTCGATTTTCCTTACGGTTAGCAAACGACAGTTGTTATGGCAAAAACTGCTAACTGTTTCAGTTTTTACTCATTTGATGGAATCACGTTCCTGCGATACGTGTACAGAAATACCTCCTTGAGTAGTCGGGTTCTATATTATTTTGAGTGTGTGGTTTGGCGTAATATCCCATAGACCTTCTGTAGCCTGTGAAGTATGATTCGTTTATTGAATGTTAAATAATGTTCTTAAGACAAACTTCAGGTTTCGATTCTCCGCCTTAAGACTTTATGGAGATGACTTACTCCTCACAGTGCCAAGTCTTTGGCTTCTGTTTATTTGTGGTATCTAATCTTATTCTCCTTTCCTGATTTTAGCCTATTCACACTTCAGTCTTTTCTGGAGTTGTAGTCAATGTTATGTCTCACAGTGTTGACTCGTTGGAGCTTTATTGACTTGGTCTAGTTGGTTGTATGTCGATTTTCCTGCCAGGAGCCAATATACGTTTCTCTACTTGAATTATTAGGTACTTTTCTGTTGCTACTGAAAAGATGGGACGGTGGTCATACTCGTCTTTCTTCTGGCTATCCCTATTTTTAATCTGCTTAAATAAGTCCACATGAGCTAGACTTTCTTATTCTTTCATCGATACAGATAAAGCAACTAATATTCTACTTGTATCTCAATCTATATTCTAACAAAACTCGAGTCCATGACTTCTAGGTCGTTTGCATGAGTAACATTTGAGCACTTTCTTAAGATATTAACTGATTAGAAATTGAGAAAATCACAGAAATCAAGATTTACCGATGTTAGATTTTGTTATGTATAGATTCTTGACTCGTATGACTAAAACCCTTATTCTTATCTCTACTTAACGTAAAAAAGTTAAGGCTACTGAATGATTTTGGCCATATTGGTGTTGGTAACGTTATATGCCTTCATCTGCTGTAGTAAACTTACAGTGGTGTCACTTCTGTGCTGCTTCGTTTAATGCTTCAAACCTTATCTAGTGGATCTGACTTATGTGGACAAGTGGTGTCCTTACTTTTACGACTAATATGTCCCATAACAAGCTATACATTTTACCAGTGGATTGCTTGGTAGGCGCTTGTTACGTATCCACAACCTTGAACCGATGCACATATGTACCTGACTTTATGTTGTTTATGAGTGATTGATGTATACACAGATTTAACAGTATCTGATAAATATAAGAAATCTTTGAGTTTCGCTAGGGTTTTCTTGGATACTTAGAGTTCAAGGGCTTTAATAGTACCATGTTTATGATATGAGGTCGGGCCAATTTTCCCGTATTAGTAATTCACTTTGACATTAGATTCATTCTGACAGGTTATTTGGTTTTTAAGTGACTATTAATTCAGTGATAAATTTGTTTTATTTGGACATAAGCATCCTTCCAGATATTTTGTTTGTGGTGATTCAATAATCTATGATACTTCTGCTGATTTCTACCTTTCTATTTACAGCTTCATCAAATAACATACTTGAGATCTCTGTCTAATCTCACAGTTTTCACATTTGAAGGCAATCCAGCGGTTAACCAACTTATAATAAATACTAATAACAGCTCTAGTAGTGATGAAGCTGCAGTGCGAAATACCATTGAAAAATTTGACGCTCAGTCACTTTGCCGAATATTTATAATATTTCATTTATGTTCACTTATTTTACTGGATAACAGAGAAGTTCTTCCATTTGAAAGACAAGTAGCAGAACAACGATTCTCTCAAGGTGAGGTCGTAAAGTTTGTTAGAATTTACTTTTTATCAAATGAATAATAAGATTTAATCGGCATATTCACTTTTTTATTTTCAGTTGAAATATCGAGATATTTAAACAAGTTAAACACGTATGAAAGTCAATTAAAAGAAGTAGAGACGAAAAACTCGCTGTTGAAAAAAGATCTATCACATGAACAATCTCAGCTAAGTGAAACTTTACACAAAAGAAAGTTGGAGAGTGATTTAATTTCTCATTTAGAAGAAGAATTACATGCTAAGGATAAATTGGTAATAAATTTTCACTGATTTTTAATTGATTGTTTTGCTACTTATTTGAGTGGACATTCACATAAATATGAACTCAAATCCTTTTTATTAGTCGAATAATCTATTTATTTTCTTTTAGAAACTTCGCATCTTTTTAGAGCTGTCACATTCAGTTAAGTTGAGTCTCTAGATAGTCTAAAAAACTATATATGATTTACTAGAAGTCATTTACAGTTTAGCTGAAAATTACATTAGGTTATATACTGAATCGACTTTGATTTGAACACTAGAAATTCAATCTTCTTCACTAGTCACTTCACTATCTGATTGTTAAATAAACCCATCCCAAATATATCTACATTGGTTTGTGTTAAGTATTATAGTTTGCGATAATCCGTATGTGCTTACCATTTAGTGTACTATTTAGCGCTTAAATAACAGTTCATACCGAAGCCTTGGATTGCTTACTTACGTGATTAAACAAACATTAATTACTTATTCTCCACCTGATGTGTATTCTTGTATACACGTTGTAGGACTGAATTGTACCATTGGCATTTTACTATGTATTGTTTTTTTTAAGCGGAAGCAGGCAAAAGGCTACCAATAAGTTTGACCCAAAAGTCTCTAATTCTAGGAACGTGCTTATGTATTCTAATATTGTCATGTAAATTTGTTTTGCTAACACTTTAATACAGTTTATATCTGAAAAGTCAATGTTGTTTTTGTTCCATTTTTCTGTAGTTATGGTTTTTTACTGGAAAGGTGTTATATTTTATATGATGTGATATTTTACCTGAAGCCGTCTTGCATAATTATGCAGTGTTCAAATATTCGTCAAATGTTTCATCAATCATCTAACTTTGTCAATGACCAAAAATTGTTACCTTTAAAACATCAATTTTACATTTTTTGAGTAACCGCTGCTACAATTTATATAGGTTCGGTTCAAACATGAACGATAGGGGATACTTTTAATACGAGAGCGAATCTAATTGATTTGGACAAATTGTATGGCTAATGCATAACAGCAATTCTAAGGACAACAATCGCAGGTGAATCCAAAGAAAAGAGACAGGACTTTACAAGAAAGCTATTATCTCAAGGAATGACAATAGAATAAGTACATACCACAGTACACGATAGGAACCATTAGGAATATGTATGAATTACCTGTTGTATACTATGTTAAGGGGTTCAAAATAATACTGGGGCATGAAAGGTCACAATATTTGCCTTGGCAACCACTACGAGTCATATTAATACTGATTTGAGTTAACCTTAACAACTATAGGTGTATATTATCGATCTACGCTAGTTATATATATTTTTTCAGCACGTACTCTTTGGTTGTTCCGTGCTTTGTTAATAATATCACCATTGTTTCTCTTCTGTATAATGCTCATAGTTCTTAGATGAGATCGTATTGGAAAGTTCTTTAAAACCATTTGACAACTTTTTCAATGGTGATTTAATAAATAATTCCCTTTCAAATCTAGTTAAATCAAAAAGCAACCACGTAGGGTTGATTATTGCTTATTGTAACCATTGACACTAAACATTTTTTTTGTTTTAACGACCCAGTAAGATTCCTGTTACTAACTGTCTGTCGTCCCAGAAATCTGTCAGCGGATATACGTGACCATTATCTGAAAATGAATACTATTAGTTTAACGTTAAGGTAGAATTTGTCGATACTCGTCCATTAATTTATCAATTTTTGTGGTTGGGAAACTAGAAATCGCTTCAAAAAATTGACAGATAATCAATTCAGTCATACTTTCTCACTAGTTAGTTAATACCGAATAAGATGTATTGTTGTGTTACATCAAATGACCTAATTTTAATCGTAATGATTTAAACTACCTCTTAGCAATATTAGTTTGTAATACTAAACAGGGAACATAAAACTATGAACACAATTCAACTAAATTTAATCAGTCTTTTGTATTATTCTCATCGAACATTAAGAAGTTTTCTTTCTATACGTATATCTATTAATTCTTCTTATAATGACCGTTCCCTGGTGCTCTGTAAGCATGTTTTTAGAACGTCAGAACATTTGATATAATAGGGCTAATAATCTCACCTTTTTCTGTTGTTTAGTTTTAACCAATTACAATTCATAATTTCTTTTTGACCTGGTTTACTATAATGAATATTTGTACTCAGTATTGGGTGGGATATAGTCATACAGTTTTGTCTTGTCAGGTCACATATTAACGTAATATAAATTATTAAACTGTTTTGCTTACGTAACCACATTTATTTAATATTTCATTTATGTTTTCAAAAATTGGTAGCTTCATTTAAAATCTGAGGAATTAGCTCGTGCATGTTTAAAACATTTTGAATTAGAACAGCAATTAGCGTTTCATAAAATTGATGAGAAATTGGGCTTAGTTGGTTCATGTTTATCAAAACCACGACGTAACTCATCTTATGTTCACCAAGTAAGTAATATTTACTTTTTGTATTGTACTACGATTAGGTCTTTAATAGATTTCTTGCTATAATATTTTGTAATATGAATTATCTATAGTCGTAAGTCAGTGTGCATTAGACATAACCAGTGTTTCACCGCTCCAAACCGACTACGAAATTCTTTGAATAGGAGTTTATACTTGACCGTTAATAAATAGTTTAGGAATATGTTTAGCTACAACTTAGATGCATTTCTCTGGAAGTATGGATTTACAACTTTTTTTCCTGCATAGAACCCAAGTAATTCAAATTAGCAGTTTATTTCTTCTTTATTATCGGAATCCTAATTGTATCATTGCAACTATTTACTTAACTGTTTCTTTTCCTGTAAAATATTTCAGTATAATACTAACTAGTTTTATTCGATATGATAATCTTTCAGTATGTAAAGTACCCTGAGATTCCCTAGTCAACCTTGGTGACAGTTTGATCAAAAATAAAGTCAAACTAGCGATTAAAGGCATAATTCAGTAACCATCAATATAGTAACACTGAAAATCATCGAAGCTCCGGTTGTTCTTCTCATCAGTTGTACTACTACCAGTGGAAATGATGATATTTCATGGTTTATGAATCAGTTTTAATTGCTCTAAACAATATTTCATTAGAATTCTTTAGATAAGTAAAATAACGATGAGCTAAATCTTACTTAAACAATGTACAGATCCCTTTACTCTGAAAGTGGAAAATTCGTTTTAATTAGCTAGAACAAAATCCTCAATATCCATGTGATTGGTTTGACTTCATTTCATAATTATTTGGCAAGAAGAGAAATGGTTTAAGATCGTCGCTAGAATCCTAGATTTTGTTTAAGCATGTTTTTATTACTTCGTTATAATAGTGTGACTAAGTATTCTGTTAGTTATTGTGAAAATTTCAAGTCCTAGACAAATGACTAATGAAACAAACGTTAAGCATTTAATTCTACTTCTTTTTGATAGTGTACTAATAGTTAGAGCCTTGTCAATATTGTTCACTTCTTAGGTTTTTATTTTGTCACTACTAGCATGTTTATTCCAATATTTTACACTACCTGGAAGATTTTTCTATCCCTTTGGGTCGATAAAATCAACGGCTTATCATTTTATTCTGTAATATAATTGGCCAATATAAAATTCGACTAATTTAATTATGACTCATCGTGTTACTTTAATTTTTGCCTAATTGTCTGTCTGGTAATACATGGTTTTAGAAATAGCTTTGTTTTCAAGCCGTACATACAGCAGGTTTATTTGAGTTGTAATACAACTTTATGTCATGAAAAATACTAAAGAGATATTGTGGGAAAAAAGTTTTAAAATTTTTTTATTTTGATTAGGTTTGGTTGTTTATTTTTGGAAATCACTCTACATATAGATTGATCGTTCATTTTAATCGGGAGCTTTCAGTTGGTAACTAAATCAAACTATCAGTACATAGGGGTTGTGGAGATTGTTAAGTTTTTGATTAAGATCATGAACCGATTGATGTTAGATCACCATTGAAAACCGGGAATCACTGGAAGGCCGTTTCGTTCTATTATGGGACGAGCCCGCTCGCGGGATTCTAACCCAGAGCCTTCAGTCTCGCACACGAACGCTTATCCTACTGGACCACTGAGCCAGCATCCATCAGTCTTAATGTTTAACCTGAACCAATCCACGAAATTGCGCGAACGAAACGACCGTTCAATGTTTCTAGATTTTCAATAATAATCTAGCTTAGATCAATTCATGAATTCAACTGTCGAAATATAGTTTCAAATTTATCAAATAAATTTCAATGATATAATAGTGGAATTAGATTTCAATGTTGTTACACCATTATAAATAGTTGATATTGTAAAATTAGTGATCTTTATGGTGGAGTTTTGTTCTCTGAGCTGGATGGTTTGGTCGTGGAGCTTTCATCGTTCTTCTGAACGACATCATCAGCACAAACTTCAGATAGACTTCTAAAATTAGTGATCGTTTTTCATAATTGATTAGAGAAAAAATTTAATTCATGTTTGTCTTTTTTCAATCTATATCATTTGTAGCATTATGTTTCAAGTTTTGCAAATGAATTAAGTTTGTTTAGTTATACAATATCCTTATTATTGTTATTGCGCTCATTTCATATTGTACAATACACATTGTATATAACAGATTTATCTTAAAGTTATATTGTTGTTTTTCACATGATTACCATGTAAACTAACTCATGTTATCCTATTTTACAAAAATCAACATCCAAATATGATTGATTTAATACAGTATAGTTTTGATTGTTAAAAAGTATATATATATTTCCTTGATGATTTTGATTTTGGTTATTATTACCCTGAAGAAGTCCAGACAAGTTAGCTGGACGAAACGTTGGAATTATTTTAAATTTCAATCGCTGAGATTATTTCAAATATAATTTTCACATATAATGACTTATGTTGTTGTTGTTGTTTTGTTCTTAAAATTTATTTTTCATTTGTACTGTATTGTTTTGTCCTTTTGTCTCTCTCGCTTTCTCTCGTTTTTCTTTTTTTTCTCTTGAAGGTTCCAGATACTGGTGATCAACCTTATCTAGGTAAATGTATGTTTAAATATATATCAACAAATAATTCAATAAATGATCATTCAGTTGAGAATAAATGTCCATCTGATAATCATCTAATCAATATACAAAATAAAATGTGTTCAAATATAAATGATCATAATGACTGTCATAAATCGTATCTTAATTGTTTGGATAATAAATTAGAAAATAATTGTCATGATAATATCCATGAAAATTCTAATGTTACACATCAATATTCTTCTGATATTGTAAGTGGAGTATGTTACTATGAATTTTTGATAGAAAGTTTTAGAACTATTTATCTATAGAAAGATGTTTTTCTGTATGTTTAAATGTCTAAACTCAATTAATCATTTTTGTTTTATTTAAAAAATTTTCTGATTTAATGATGTCTTGCTCTTTGAAATGTCTCACATTAACTCGGCGCCCAAATACTGTGATACTATTCGATCAAATTTAGACAAAAGTTCTTATTTAAGATGTTTAATCAAGTTTATCTTTAGTTGAATTAGTTAGACTACTTAATCATGATTAGTAAATGTTACTATGTAAAGGGGATTTTCTCATTTGATCATTGTTGTTCTCTTTTACTTTCTGCTTTCTCTCTTCTTTTTTTTCCACGAAAAGTCTTGGTTTATATTGACCCAACGAAAAGTAACTATGTAGTGCAGTGAGGAATTTATCCACTTATGGTTTTAGTGTAGTGATATTTCACTGTAATTATGTAAATAATTGTCAATATATTGGTAGTGAATATATTCACTTTGGAAATCCCCCTAATCCTTCAGAATTATCGGGTTGGTATAATACTGGTGATGATGATACTTTGATCAAGTACAACCCGATTAGTCTTATTGACGATAATGTTGATGATGAGGAAACTCCATTGTTTAAGAAGTATGGAAGACTCTTGACATTTTAAACATTATTAACATTATGTACACGTTAAATTAAATAAGCTACATTCAATAGATGTGATATAACTACTGGAATATTGATATCTTAAGATATTTATCATGAATTATGGAGAGAAAAAAAGCATCCTTAATTATAATAAACGCTAAACTATCAGCTAGAGAACTTGGCTTTGGTCGTTCACCGTTTAAGAGGGGATGAAATTTTAGAGAAAAATTTACAAAACAACTACAGTTGTACTAATAGAGAGCTAACCCATAACTCAACGAGATTTGGTTTATATTACTAAATATTTATTAAAAGAACAAAATATTCACATATGCAAGCGTCCAACACTCGATCGATAGCGATTACTGGATGCATGTATTCGACGTCTTTTAAAATAATTAACAAACACCATATTTGGTTTTACAAAATCCATTAATTAACAAACCTTTCCAAATTAGTCTGTGTATACAGAATGAAAGTGTGGAAATTACTGCTTTGTTGCGACAAAAATAACTGTCATGAGACAATTATGATTATGTAATCTCATTTTTTTATCAAACCGCTGACTTCTATTCATTCAGTTGATTTTACCTGAATTCTCTAAGTTATGTAATCATTCATTATTTTTATTATTAGTTCGTGATTTCATCCAATGTAGATTGTCTTGATACTGTCTTAAGTCACAAGGATCTCTGCTTATAATCCTTGTGACTTAAGGCAATATCGAGGCAATACTACACAGGATGCAAAAATGCCAAAACAGATTGATCATTAGGTAACCTAAACATCAATGAGAAGATTCAAAAAACCAATACCAAAATGAGTAAAACTTCACTTCATTGCACAAGCTAATGGATATATGGAATCAGTAGCTAAGTCGATAACGCGGTGATATTTGAAGTAAACGGTACTGGGTTCGAATTCCAGAGTAAACGTCAATTCGGATCCAGTTATAACAGCCGACGAGTGCCAAATAAGACAAAACACGCTTGCTGGATTACACCACTAGCCACCATCCATATCTGATATTATTTTTTGTTGTAGTTTTGGTTTGTTTTCATCTTTGGCTCAAATGATATCATTTAACCCTTTGAGTCTCATTATGCTTGTTCTTTTTCTAAAAACCATTAAAAAAACCCAACTTCTGAAACTAATAGTCTTATTAAAATCATGACTACAATTAGACTACTTATATGATGACATAACATATCAGTAATAGTGAATCGCTTGTGGACTTCTCGGTCGGAATTATTATTAAGTCTGCATTTTATGAGCATATCAAGTGTATCAAAGCCGAACTTGGTGAATAAAAAAAACACAAATACACTGAAAGTTACTACTTGAAATAAGTTTTTTTTAAAATAAGAATTACACTGTAGTATGCATCACCCACTCAATAGCTGAATAGAAAAATAATAGAAAATACTAGTTACGTTACACTCAGTGAACATTGAAAGCATTACGGATAACTTCAACTGATTTCTTTAAATTACGTACATTGTTACACAATTTAACCTTATTCACCATGGTTTTTATATAAAGTAACTCAACAAATTCCAGTTCATCTTACTTTAACATCATTGTATCAGTAAGATAGGGTAGTTTAATCAATTTTTTAGTATATACTTCTGTCTAGCAGAGTTTATGTCAAGGTGCTATTACAATGGATTTGTTTCTGTCTAGGTTCAAATCTTTGTAAACATAAAACTTTTAAATGATTGTCTAACTGTTTATTTTCAGCGTACAACTTGTTTATTTTCCATTCTTCCTATAACTTATCTTAGTTCGATACTTTACCACATTCAAACAATATTGGTTGTTTTTGTAATTCGTACGGTTTTTTTTGTTAAATTTATCAGGTGCCACCGATTAATGGAAATCAAGAATTAAATCCTGAATTAGATCGTAATCTGATCAGCTTGAATAATCAATTCAGTAAGCAAATATTCTCTCTTTTTGTTTTGTTCACCACTTTCATATATCCTGTTTTATTGTGACTTAAAATAGACGACAATGTGTAATATATATATATATATATATATATATATATATATATATATATATATATAATAAAAATGTAAGGATGAACATGCTCAATACAAAAAAGAGAAAATATTATTAGTCGCAATTACTTATTCACCATTTGGGTCATATTTATTTCATTTCTCATCTAAATTTACTAAGTGAGAACTGTTAAGTGTACTGTTAAATGATGTTATATCATGTGACTCTTTAACGTTCAAGTATATACAATATTATTTCGATTTACATTAACATGTCATCAACTGTTGCATTACTTCTTCTAAGGTGAATTGTTTAGTTGAAGTTAATCTGAAAAATTATTAATAAAGGATTTGTATTGTTCTATGGGCTCTTAATTATTAAACTTGAACAACAAGTAGATTCCTAGTTTATATTGATTTTTTCAATTACTTTATCTCAGGAGTTTATTTAATATAGGTATTAAATAGATGGTTTATTAGTTACTCAATTATGATTACTATCCTATGACTAGTTTTGATCATAAGAAGTAAGTTTAAGCCCAACAGCCAGTTATGTTGTGATACAAGATATGAAGAGAATTACATATGTTTTCTTATCACGCACTACAATGAAACTAAACACAGTGAAAATGAAATTAGAATGTAGTTAAGTTTCACTGTTGTTTCTTGTGAATATGATTGAGTGGTATTTAATCCTGACAAAGCCAACAGTTTCACTTTCCATTTACATACGATTAAATCCTAGGCTATTGGCAAATAATAACAGTGGGAAATTTGCCAATCTTCTTGAGACTCATTCTAGTGCAATCTTTACAAATAATCATATTGTAAATTAACTAGGGATGTTTACCTCTAGGGATTTTAGTATTGCCCTATAAACAATTAATTCTTATTTACAATATAATGAAGATGGTCTATTTTATCCTGGTGAAACCTGTTGTTAAACTCATGATTTAAAGGGCATCCGAATAGTATGATAATCTTGCAAATATTTATCATAAGCCAATATGAAACTAATGAGTTTGAATCAAAGTGGTTAACTTAAATCTGAACTTACTAAACTTGTTTCATCACTAATCTGTTGGTAACTAATGGTAGCAAAATCAATCGTAATAATAAACGATATTAAAGAGCAGTACATCACAGGTTTTAAAGGTAGTGTAAACGCGTAAATTAAATGATCCAGATTTTCTGACAATCGTATTTTATTCATAAAATCAATTGTTGATTGGTACAAGATTTACCTGTAATTCATAAAATTTTTCCCTCTTCCACTCATTGAAATAAAGTGTATGAGAAACTAACCTCAAAAAGCAATATTACTGATCTATAACATGATAGTTTAGTTTTTCATCGGTTAATTAGTAATTTAGAATTAAGTTATGATTGAAGAGTTCACTGAGGGAATTAAATCAATGAAGGACTAGGGATTCTTCTTCAAGCCTTATAATTCGTGAGATTGTATCATACTACTTAATCCTAGTAAGTAGCGTAACGTTATTTCCTTAAATGTTCAACTCAGCTAATAATCACAAAAGTTTCTTGCTTCACATTACTCTGAAGTTTTAATTAAATACAATGATTTACAGTATTTTACTCTCGTCTATGATAATCAATGTTTCATGATTATCCTCGGTAATCGCTTGAAAGTTGTCACAGTAATCTCTATTAACATGCGGTTCAAGTTTCTTACCAGGATTGCGTAATATGTTAATTTTTCAGGTCACTTACCTCAATCAGATCCACCACCCAATCGTTCATCTCCAACAGGTGAATTGTTTCTTGATAAGGTTCGTAAGTCCCCAACACTTGACAAACCTCTCGATGATGTAAAATCAGTAAGTCGACTTCATTTGTCAGAATATTTTAATGCATTCTTGACTGATTTTGTTATAGCTTATCTACTTATTGTAGATAGGAACCAAAAAATAAATCATCCAAATGAAACGATATTTTCAGTAGATAAAGGGGGGAGGGGACAAATTAGCCACTATGACAACAAAACAATGTTAAATATCAACATGAAATAAATTAGATTTCAGCCTGATAATATAATTACAGTTTTCATAGCTTATAAACATCAGTGTATAAATTAAATGAATTGTAATCGTCGTTATCATGTGTATGGACTGGGGTATTGCTTGGGGATCAGAATTGGAGCAGTTAATTTTCTTAGACAATCTTTGGCTCTAGCGTCTAATCCACAGGGCTATGGAATAATATCAAGAGTCATAGTCCCGTAGTAGCTAGTGACTAAGATTGGTTCGTATGTCACTCGCTTACATTTTTTAAAACCACATTCTTATCTGGTACAGTGTCTTATGCCTTTAAAGTATTGGTTGTTTTTTTTATAAAGACGGCCACCCTCTTTTGACTAACTTTTAAGAGTGAACTAGTTGAAAGTGTGAAAAATAGTTCAATTAATTTTGCTAAAGAGGTTTGTAACAATGTTTAAAAAGTTTCAATAAATGATGAGTGTGAATACTTTGAAACATACACTGCATAAACTGTAAACAATAAACGACCAGAATTCTTTCTCAGTTGAGTTCCAAGTACAAGCAAAGATTTGTCAACTGAAGAGAAACTGATGATTGTAGTGCTATGTGTAATAGCCCACTTAAAACATCCATGAATCTGGTTAAGAAGGCGAATAATTTACACAAGCTGTCATCGAAAATAACGAACCGAAGCTTAAATTTAAAAGAAAGATATCATTCATAAGTAGAAGCTAATCAGAGTATACTAGAAATCCACAAAAGTGTTATATCACAGATCCAAAGATCCCTGCTTCGGTTTGGGTGCCCGAACAGTATCCCAACTTTCACACAAACCGAATAATTTGTGTGGCACATATCTATTTCGTGCCGCCTTGTACCGATATTTATGTGTTTAAGTAGTAGTAGTAGTAAGTAGTCTCATTATACTAGTTCGCATTAATTACGAAACAATCAACATATTACCTATCCAGGTTTTTTTGTACTTTTGTGATAGATTACGTTTTTTGGGGGGATTCTTTAAAAATGTAATAAGTAGTATCACTTTTTATTTCTTACTATTTATAACTGTACAATGAATGGCATAATGAAAACTGAGTACATACTTCATTAAACCTAACCATTTTCTACTTTGACTCTGAACTTGTCCAATAACCAATAGTTCATGTGTTGATAAGTTTAATTTCATTTATGTTGTGATAATTAGTTTTTATAAAGACAATTTGTAATCATTGCTATGTTATTCTTATCACTCCTATAAATTATTAGTCTATATGTACATATAAAACAATCACTTAATAAAATTATTGACATTTTTTCCCTACTTCATAAATATCATATTTCGAACTTTTTCTGAATAGGCGTTTTCCATTTTATTTTCAAGTATTCCTTATTATTTATTGGTTCCCTTGAACATGTGTGTATCATATACTTTTCCAATACAAATGTGTAAATATTCTTATTTAGGGAGAAATATTTTCTTATTTTGTTTATTTATTGAAATGACTATTTAGGGTGTGTTAAATAGACTAAGTTGACTTCTATGATTTGATGAATTGTATTTTTTCATTAATAGACTTTATTTACTTGAAAACACCACATTTTTCTACATATCAGTTGGAAGTCTATTCAAATATACTTTTCAGTATATGTTTTATCATTCTTTTTTTTTTCTCCATTCATTAATTGTTTATTCAAATGAATAGTCTGATTTATTGGAAGAGAAAACATCAACTAGATCATCAACACAACCAGAGAATAAAGTTATAGGTAAATCATTCAAACAATCAGATGTGGAACAGATTCAAATGAAATTATCTAAATTACAGGTATGTTGAAAGATTTACTTTAATTGTTATATATATTCGATTTACAGACTTAATTATTTCTTACTCTAAGCGCCTAAATGTGTAATTATCGGTTAAGATGTAACTGTAATTATCAGTATAAGATTGTGGTGAATTTTGACTATAAATTGATATCATGAATTGTCAATATGAGTAGGAAAGTTAATTGAAAGGGAACTATTCTATGGTTGAATTATGAGAGTGCTTGCAGATGAGTTCATTGTTACATTTTGTTGATTACAATTGTGCTCATCACTAACTTTTCAGATTCGTCAGTAATTTCTGTTATAAGTTGAAAACCTCCTGGTCTGGAGGCTTAAAAATAAGTCCATTTTTAGACATAGATTGATCGTGTATTATTATCAGATAGACTGCGTTGGAAGATCTTTTTTTTTATTAGTTCGTGAGTGACTTAGTTACGTTGAACGACAAACTTGTTTTACAAATGTTAAATAATAATAATCTTGTTGTAGAGTGACGAGATTTCTAATTCATTGGTAAAATTTTAACAGTCAATCAATAAAATTATCAAAGGTTATCGTCAACACACAGGCTTTAAAAGCTTAGGTCAGATACAGTGTTCTCACGAGTAGTAGTTGATGAAATATTTAGATTACGGGAGGTGAATATGTAATCTCTTTTCGACTACTCATCTGAATCTTGTAGTCTGCACTGATTTATTTTCTGCTCTGTTATTTAAACGTAATTTTCTAAGTGTTCTAATAAATGGAGACCTCAAAATAATGTAGGTCACTTATCAATACAGCAGGTCAATTTTTTATTTTAAGAAAAGAGAGAAATCACTTCTAGGTGATTTTATAGTAGTTATTTATTGCATTAAATGTAAAGAGTTTCTAGTGACGATTTCTCTAATGTGGACTTCAAGAGTTAAGGTTATGTAGGGTCAAGTTAAATTATTGTACAAACCGAGAATTCATGTGTATAATTCCAATATATTAGAATTGATTCAATATAAAATTTACCTTTCAATAACTGCTTGTGTAAGGTAAGTTTTCATTTTTTGGTAGTGATTAAAGATAATGTTGGAAACGGTTTATTTGACTGATGTCTCATAATCCAGTTCATTTAATAACCATGAGTATTTTATGAACTAAAATTTGAGCTAAATATTTCTTTTTTGTAAGACTTAGTGGCGAAACTACTTATCTTTTTCTAACCTTAGTCAATACGGCAGATTCCGAATTTTTGATTAGTTGGTTAAAAGTTGAATTATATAGTTTCTAGACCATTACCTCATCTTCTATAATTTGTAATTTACTGTTAATTTTACAGTTGTATGAAAAGTGCTAGTTCCGATGTGTATAGTGTTTGTTATACTTTTCCTTTGCCCCTAAATGTTCCTTAATTTCATGTATAATATAAAGACTAAATGCTGCAGAATTCATTACTAACTAGTAATTTTATGCGAGTAAAGCAGGACGCTTATAGATATCTATCATTCGATAAGAAGACTAGAACTAAATTATATTTAGTAGCACAGAAACTGTTTATTGTCAAGTAAACAGATAAAAATGAATAATGTAGAACCTAGAACAAAGATGTATCGGCCAAAGTTGTTATGTTTCACTTTAGTATTCAGATAAAGGATAAAATGTACGAGTGAAACAGGACAGAGGAAATGAGAGTGACATCAGATTATTCAAAATTTTCACTAAACTACCTAGGTGGATACACTGACACTACGAAGACCCATTATAAGCCGTATCACATAGTATCTTCGCCCACTTATTATAGTTACTTCTTGAATTTTAACCAGGAAGTTTGCACTTACTTTTGCCCATCCCAACTGTCACTAAATTCATGAATTTACTCTGCGGTTTGTCCCTTCTAGCCAACCTGATTTAAAGCTAATCCGTATAATGTGGCAAGGTAGGCTGTGGTTAAGTATCCATAACATAAATAGCAAGTACTTTAGAGTATGAAGATTCATATTACCTTTACTTAGTATTCTACATTTAAATTCATCATTATTCATTTATTGGTTGCAACTCATCCAAAATTTTTTAGTGTAAATGTTTAGTCATTTCAACCCCCTACTTTTAAAGATCGTATTTCATGTATATTATGTAATAAAAGCAGTGGATGTTCTGGTTTAATTTTCTTTTTGAAAACAGTTGTTCATTTCATTTGAACTGTAGCCTATGAAAGTAGATAGAAGTCAATGGAGATTTTGACATTTGTGTCATCCAAATATCAGAAAAGCAAATTCAATCTCTCGTTCACATCTATTCTATTTGTTTTTTTTCTCGATTTTGCTAATATAACTTAGTTTGATAGTATGCCTTGCTAGTCAGTGATGACTCATAAGCAATGTAGTTTAAGCAAAGTTTCCTGCCGACTATCCCTTACCACCTAACATTAATATTCAAAGAACTGATACGCTATGATGGATGCGAACAAAGGTTACTGTATTTCAGTGTCTGATATGTAACCACTGAACTAGTTGAACCTCAGCTTATCTCTTGTAGAACCAAGATATTTACATTAATTGATCATTGAGTAGTAGTGACCAATGTTATATTTATCTAGTCCTTAGTGCTGATCAAACTCTACTTTTTATCCGATAGGTTAGTGACTAAATATGAAACCCGTTTTACATGATTTTCTTTTCTTTTTTTAGTGCATAAAACCTAATCCTTGTTTCTTTTTTCATACTTATTTTCACGAATATTATTGTGTACTTTATTTATTTAATTCTTTTAGTCTGAATTAGTGCAACTTCGAATTAAAGAATCAACTATACAAAATAACACTGTTTATCATAATAATAGTAATATCAATGATAATAACAATCCTGAAACAAATGAATTGAATAATCGTATAAAAATATTAGAAAGTGAACTGAATCAAATGTGGACTATGGCACATCTATTAAAATCTGAATCCAATCAAAATGAATTAACTAGTCGAAATAATATCACTACTAATAATGTATACTTGAATTCTTTTGTGACTTTACCTAAATCATCGTCAGATAGAGTAAAACATGTAAGCGAGATCATTTCATTATTTATTTATTTATTAATGAGTATACGTATTAATATATTGACGATCTTGAGTTGACTAATCAGAATCAAGATAGTGCTTTATATATTTTGCTCTAACCTCTTTTTTACTATTAACGAAGTAAAAAAAATAAGGAATATTTTGGCTCATAAAATCCTTGAAACCAATTAAACTACTTATTATCCAACCAAAAAAAAGTGAATTTTAGATGGCTTTTAATCTAAATATCAAAACACACCTGCTCCCAAGGTTGATTGTGTGTTAAAGTAACTTGTTGTGGTTCACTGCGTAATCAAGAGTGTCCAGTGGAGCTAGATAAGATTCTCCTTTGTTTTTACTATTACTATAATTCTCAACCCAATTTTTTTCAAGTTTGTAAACAGAAGGGTGGAAAGTATTACATTATAAGTGATGTCGGTTTGTGAAGAAAAATCTATGGGATTGATAATCCTAACTCACAACACTAGTCAGACTCTCAATATATATGAATATAAATAAACTTGAACTTTTTTTCTTTGATATGTGAGGCTTAATTATTCAGATCAAAGCTACTATTCCACTATTATTTCATTGTTTTGTACCGTTAATTGTTTTATAACTAGGTAGCATCTCCTAGTTGGCTGATATGTCACTCGAAATCGTCAGTATATTATACTTTTATCTTTTTTTCGACATTGTAATTACATTCTTCTGAATTGATTTATATGATATAATGTGATGTGACGTTTCCATTTTGATTTTTACATGTATTTCAAGTTGTGTTTTTTTTTCCGCGAAGAAATTTGTTGGTAAAAACCAATTGATATTACATTAATAGTTTTTATCGCAAACGGTAAAGTGCTTTGCAATTATGGATTGTTTTTTTTAATTGTCTTCTTTGGCATATCATATAGACTTGTATGCCATATACCATTGTCTACATTTAATGTTAGATCTGAAGTTAATATTCAAGCGAATTGAATTCTTTATAATCACTAATTATTGAATCGAATTACAATAGTTTACATGTTACATTTGTTTATAATAACACAATGATTATGATTTTCAACTCTTTAACAATGATAATTATTGAAGTTGTCACAAGAAACTTATCTTAACGCTTTATAGGTTGAATTTTATTGATTTCAAGCAGATCATTTTTTTAATTTCTGAACTTGATCATTTTCTGACAATTTCATTGTTTAATGAATTTTGTTTAAACTTTGTTATGAGTACAAATTTTGTCGTCAAGACCAGATGATTATTACTTCTAAATCTCTACATATCAAATGTAACTGACTTTTGTGAGTGTAGATAAAAATTGGGTTATTGAATAAGCATGGCTTTATTAACGATCTATGGATTTATGTTAATATTTTACTATATTCAGGACGAATAATCAAACGTTGAGTATTGGTTCAGTCAGTCTGAAGTTACAATACTACAGCACGATGAAATGAAATTAACAGTAGTAAAGCAATCGGAACAATGTAGTAGCAGTGTTGGTAAGAATGAATGAATATTGTGAATACGATTCGAAATGATAAAATGAAAAGGTTTGTATTGTCGAGTACTACTAGTAACCTTTCGTAAATGTCCTCAGAGCAATATGATTTTCTCATCACGATTCCAGTAAATTGCTTTCTGGCTATGTTTAAGTCTTCTCATGCTAATTTAAATTAAAATATAAAGTTATTTTTGTTACAGGCTAACCTCTCCAAATCAGACAAGAATCCTAAATATTTTTCGTATGAATTCTCGAGACAAAACTCGCCTCATCAGAAACGTAAACGACGTTTTAGTCTTCCTAATAAGGATATTGATCTGAAACAAATTTTATCTGGTGATAATTTTAATCACGTCAATGGGACAACAAGCATGGGCTCGGAATTTGATTCATGTGAAGAATTTGTGGATAGTCCTCGAAAATTAATCAATAGTTGCAAAAAGAAAGAGGTATGTATATTACACTTTTTTCAAAATAAAATTTAGACTACTATCAAACCATTGAGTAGTCTCATATTTTTTTGCTATGTTCTCGACCTGATGTCTCTTTAACTAATTCCATCAGTCCAAGAAACTCATACCACCCACGTTGATTCAATGTGTTAGGTTTGTTGTTTTGTGCAACTTACAGTAATTATCTATTCTTCTATACCAACGTTTAGTATATTTATTCAATACTTAACTAACATGATTAGTTGATCAATTCAAGAACGCCTTACTATTTTGTGTATGATAGTTTGTCAGTGTAATCCTAATGCAATTTATCTTAAATGAAATCATATAAAGCATGGAAAAATCTTAAACACCACTCAGTGTTACGCAAAGATTAATTTTTCCGTCTTCTCAGAATGATTGATTGTATACTGTCCAGTTAATTTCGTACGCTGATGATTACAACACATATTTCTTGGTTTACCACCTTTCTTTTTTTACAGATATTTGTTCCTTATAATTGTTAGAAAGCCTTAGTTCATGAATACCTTTATCAATTTTTTAAAACAGAAATTCGTATGTGTATGTATATGTGGGTTTATTTGTCCCTTATTATATCTTGTCAAATAAAAAAAGACTATAAAGATGACTAAATTAATTATGCATCGAAAAATATGCATATAATGCTTGTTATTTGTTTGTTTTTCAATAAAATCCCCATTGATTTTCATTAATTTCCCATCTCAATGATTGAATAGTAACAGAATTATTTCCATTAGAATGAAATCGTGTTGGCTTTTTTAAATCGTAAAGTGGAAAGCATTTTAAAGTCAGGAAACGCCCACTGTCTTTTCCTTTATTTTTCTGTTGACCAGAAGATATATTTTTGACCGGTGTAAAATTAAGTAAAAATCTTGTTGTAGTTATTTTGCCTCAAAATTATATTTCTTTCCTTTGTTGAACTTTTTTTAATGTGCAAAATTTTGTTGATCAATAAAAAACAATACGAAATGAACTTAATCCTCATCCCATTGCACAAGCTAATGGCTATCAGGATTCAGTAGCTAAGTGAATAACGTGATGGCGTTTGAAACGAACGGTACTAGGTTCGAGTGCTGTTGTTTGATAATATTACTTACTTACGCCTGTTACTCCTAATGGAGCATAGGCCGCCGACCAGCATTCTCCAATCCACTCTGTCCTGGGCCTTCTTTTCTAGTTCCATCCAATTCTTGTTCATTTTTCTCATGTCTATCTCCATTTCTCGGCGTAATGTGTTCTTTGGTCTTCCTCTTTTCCTTTGGCCTTGAGGATTCCATGTGAACTCTTGTCTTGTGACGCAGTTCGGTGCTTTCCTCAATGTGTGTCCTATCCACTTCCAGCGCTTCTTCCTGATTTCTTCCTCCGCTGGGATCTGGTTTGTTCTCTCCCACAGTTGGTTGTTGCTAATAGTGTCCGGCCAACGGATCCGAAGTATTTTGCGTAGACAACTGTTAATAAACACCTGTATTTTCTGGATGATGGCTTTCGTAGTTCTCCAGATTTCCGCTCCATACAGTAGAACTGTCTTGACATTTGTATTAGAAATCCTGACCTTGGTGTTGGTCGACAGTTGTTTTGAGTTCGAGATGTTCTTCAATTGTAAATATGTTGGTCTTGCTTTTCCGATCCGCGCTTTCACATCTCTATCAGATCCACCATGTTCATCAATGATGCTGCCCAAATATGTAAAGGTTTTTACATCTTCCAAATCTTCTCCGTCAATTGTGATTGGATTGGTGCATGCTGTGTTCTATCGGAGAATCTTGCTCTTCCCTTTGTGGATATTGAGACCTACTGCTTCTGAGACTTCTGCTTTACTGGTCGTCTTCGCCTGCATTTGTTGTTGCGTGTGCGATAGAAGAGCCAGATCATCTGCGAAATCTAGATCGTCCAGCTATATTCTAGATGTCCACTGTATCCCGTGCTTCCCTTCAGATGTTGACGTCTTCATGATTCAGTCGATCACACTTGCCTTTCTTTGGTATTTTGACCAGAAGTCCTTCTTTCCAGTCTGTTGGTACTTGTTCCTCATCCCACATCTTATTGAAGAGAATATGGAGTACCTTTGCAGTTACTGCTACGTCTGCTTTCAGTGCCTCTGCTGGAATGTTGTCTGGTCCTGGTGCTTTTCCACTCTTGATTTGTCTGATGGCCATGCTGATTTCTTCAATTGTTAGTGGGCCAACATTGATTGGGAGGTCCGTGGGTGCTGCTTCGATGTTGGGTGGGTTCAGTGGAGCTGGTCGATTCAACAGTTCTTTGAAGTGTTCTACCCACCTGTTTTGTTGCTCTTCAATGTTGGTGATTACCTCGCCTTCCTTGCTTTTCACTGGTCGTTCTGGTTTGCGGCGATTTCCAGAGAGTTTCTTTGTCGTGTCATACAGTTGTCTCATGTTTCCTTCTCTTGCAGCCTTTTCCGCCGTCATTGCTAAATCTCCCACATATTTACGTTTGTCGGTTCTGATGCTCCTCTTCACATGTTTGTTAACTTCTGTGTATTCAGCTTGTGCCTTGGCTTTTTCTGCTCTTGTTCGACTGGTATTGATCGCTGTCTTCTTGTCCCTCCTTTCTAGAATCTTATCCAGTGTATCAACAGTGATCCATTCCTTGTGGTGGTGCTTCTTGTGACCCAGGACCTCATGACATGTTGAAGTGGTTGCCTCTTTGATCCCCTTCCAGTTGCTCTCCACAGTAGTTCCTTCTCCATTGAGTAGATCATGAATGGCCTGGAACTTGTTGCTGAGGACTATCTTGAATTTGTTGAGTTTGTTAGTATCCTGAAGAAAGGCCGTATTGAACTTTTGTGATATTGTCCGCCCCGTTGTCCAGTACTTCTTGAGTTTCAATTTCATCTTGGCGACCAGCAAGTGATGATCTGATGCTATATCAGCTCCTCTCTTGGTTCTCACGTCTTCCATCGTCCTCCTGAACTTTTTGTTGATGCAGATATGGTCGATTTGGTTTTGCGTGGTGTGATCCGGTGAAGTCCATGTTGTTTTGTGTATGCGTTTATGTGGGAATATGGTGCCGCCTATGACCAGTTTATTGAAGGCACATAGGTTTGCGAATCTCTCACCATTTTCGTTTCTTTCTCCCAGTCCGTGTCGTCCCATGATGTCTTCATATCCGGTGTTGTCCATTCCAACCTTGGTGTTGAAATCTCTCATCAGAATGGTCAGGTCCTTTTTGGGCACTTCTCGATGATTGACTGCAGCCTATTGTAGAATTGATCTTTAGCGTCTTCATTGTAGTCGTTGGTAGGCGCATAGCATTGGATGATGTTCATTGAAATACCCTCTTTCTTTGTTTTGAAGGAGGCTTTGATGATCCTTGGTCCATGAGATTCCCATCCTATAAGCGCATTTTGCGCTTGTTTGGACAGCATCAATGCAACTCCTTGTGTATGTGGGGAATTTTCTTCTTCATGGCCGGAGTATAACAGAAGCTCCCCTGAAGCTGGTCGTTGTTATCCAACTTGCGCTTAATATGTTTCACTGATCCACAGAAACTCTAAGTCTTATCTCCTCCTTTGTGCAGCCATTTGGAAGACTCTCCCGGTCTCTCACATTGTACGAACATTCCATGTACCTAAATAAATGGTTGCTCTGGTTGTCAGAAGGGGTATCGGCCTCGTGACTTCCGAAGGAACTCGGCTTTCATCATGAGGCGTCATCACTCTTCTGAATGAAGACCTTCCGACTTCCAGGGCAGAGTTTAAATGGCTTGAATAATTTTTTCTGGTTAGCGTTTTTTATTGAGTTAGTTTTCTACGAGATGGGGTCGACAACTTCATGCTCAACCCTCCTCCTTTATCCGGGCTTGGGACCAGCAGTAGCCCCCGGAGGGACTCCAGGATGATTTTTTGATAATATTAACCTTATGTAAATCTCTAATGAATAAATCTTAAAAATGTGAGTACTTTTGAGCATAGCCTTATATTTAACAACTATATTGTTTGAATAGCTTCACAGTAAATAAATATATATATAAGTCCAATGTATTTGTTTACATCTAGTATTCCAGTGTACTTTATGTGCTTTATTTCTGTCTAGTTTCAAAATTATACCCAGAACTATCTGACATATTTCATGGGTGTGTGAGTTTGTTTTCGTGAGTTGATTACTCATTTGCTACTGTTTAACACTACTATTGTTAATGATAAAAACACACTAGTTTTCTGATAACTTTTCAGTAGGCTTTATGTGGATTTACGGCAAAACAGTATAAGGCTTTTTTCCATTATATTTCATGATGTTTCACCATTATTATTATTATTATTATTATTATTATTATTATTATTATTATTATTATTATTATTATTATTATTATTATTATCTTACAGAGTCATCAGTTCACATTATCACATGATCGTGGTATGGGCTCTGTCACACCATCAACTCCCAGTTCTCGTACAACAGGAACAGGGCGTAGTGCTTTATTATCTATGCATACTCCTCGTTCAAATGACTTGTACACAATGGATCATTTATCAAAACCCTTCGTTTCTGTTAGTGCAAGAAATACTTTGGATCATTCAAGAAAAAATTTACACAATGGTATGATTTGAAAAGCTTATTTTATACCATTCATGTTTTTTGGCATTATGATTAAAAACGAAACAAAAATTTGGTTTTTAACAATATACACATTCCTTTGAGTAATTACTGTACTTTATAAACAATCTTTTCTAATAACCTTTCTGAAATACTGGTTGGTTTAGAACTATTTATTAACAAGTGTAGGAGGAAATATACGAGTATGAATGATTACTCTAAAGGGGAACTCTTAGCTCAAACACTATTTCTTGTTTTGTGTTTCAATGTATGTCTTCCGTGTGGAAAATATGTAGTGCTCTTGCAATTAGACGATGAAATAGTTAATGTCGTAGTCTTGAGTTAGATTCCCGAATTACGTAATTACTGTATTTGGATTTACCTCTTGTTAACTCTTTGTGTTACGATCAAAACATTATGTCTTTTGTCCTTGTGAAGATGTTTTTTATCTTATGATTTCACAGTATGCAGCTCAACATCTAATTATTTCATGATAAATTTACTGGTCTAATGTCTAATCGAAAATAGTACCTTTAACAGTTGTTCTTAGTAAAGTGAATCTAAGAGTTGTGGTGGATAGTGAACTGCCCAAATGAAATAAATCTGAGACTATTGATGGCGTTATCTATCTTAACAGTGATGTTGCAGTGAAAGAAAACTCATGTTGAGAAAACTATTATTTTTATGGCAAAATCATACGGTGACTTAGTAAAATATGAAAACCATACATTAAATTCATCATTTGCATATCTTCTTTGCGTTTTCTTTTACATACTCCATTGTACCTGTAATTCTGTTGTTATTTCGACTGCTCTCTAATTTCCTTCCTGTTCTCTTCATTTAGTTATTCTGTTGCCAGGCATTCATTTTCCAGTTACTACTACACACTACTTATATCTATCAGCATAATTAGCATACAGTACAATACAATAGTTGCAGTCAAAAACTCACTCTACATTATTGTACTACATCGTATCTAATTACACTTACATTTAAAATCAAACCTAAATAATATGCAAATGTTTATGCCATAGTTTCAATTGTTAATTTCTTGCCAAGTTTAGTCTAAATAATTAAAGCGCATATACTACTGTCCAGTCTTTTTTATCCCTTTACTTTACATAATAATTTTGCATAACAATATGTACATATATTTCCTAAAGGTGGTTTACGCCCATTGCTTTTGTCACCATTAGTATTAGTAACAATTATTGACTGTATGAATGAATGTATATTATTCTACTTGTTGTTATATACATTATTACTTGCTTATTTGTTTATTAAAATCCATGCATAATACAAGAGAGAGTGTGAGAGAGATAACTAACTAATTTTCTACCTATCATCATCTATTCAGTTTATTCAGAGTTGATTACGATCAATATTTATTGAATTAAATATCTTCTAAATCGATAGTGACCATTTCACTTTCTAAATGAATTATGTAAATTCTTTTAATTACAATTAACAAAAGCGGTTATCATACTGTGTGATGTTATTTACGGCTGTTACTCCTCGTGACGGAGCATAGGCCGCTCACCAGCATTCTCCATTCAACCCTGTCCTGGGCAATCCTTTCCAGCTCCTTCCAGTTGCTATTCATCTTTTTCATATCTGCTTCTATTTCTCGACGTAATGTGTTCTTTGGCCTTCCTCTTTTCCGCTTCCCTTCAGGATTCCAAGGTAGGGCTTGCCTCGTGATGTAGTTTGATGATTTTCTTAATATATATAACACTGTTAAGGTGGCTTACTACCCATTCAGCTTCATAAAGAGATATTATTTGTAACAATGTTTTCTAAAGCAAATAATAGTGTTTTGAACTGATCGAGTTCGAAACTTTGGTTACACTTGAAGTTTATTAAGTGTATGAAACCTAGGCTCCTAACTTGATTTCGATTGCTATTATGTCGTGATATCATAAACAACACTTTTGTTTCACGATAAAATGTTTCAGATAATTCATTTTAAATTAACTACAAACTATCTGTTGAATAAGCAGTATTATATAATCAGTTAACATGGCTATTATCAACGAATTGGTTTATTATATCATCTCAAACACTATCAATTTTGTTTTAAATAAAAGTTCTGAACTAGTTCTCTGTTTTAAATAATAATTAAAGTTAGATATTACTATCTATTTTATTCATTCAAATTAGGAAAAATTAAAAAAAATTTCTAATACGTGACTACTGACTTGAATAGTTAAATTGTATATTTCTTAGTTATACCAGGTATACATGTAGTGTTCTTGGTTGTTCAACAAAAGAATGATGAAACTTAGGTAGACTATTTGCTTAACAAATGATTGATAAGTTCACGTAAAGCTTTGTTCAACTGAACGGAAGTTTATTAAGTCTTTAACACATGGTTTTCTTACAATATTAAAACTAAATGACGGAAAACTATGAATAAATTGATATATTTACCCTTATAACCCATTTGATAACAGATGGATTTGATATCCAAGCAACTTGACCAAATGAAATTAGAAGATAAGTTGTTTGAATGATTGATTTATAAAGTAATTTGTGTTTTTATGACATTAGATCTAGATTATTCTCATAAACATTTGAACTGATGCTTATAATAATATATTGTCTTACCTTCATATAATTGCGTTGTAATAGATGAATGATTAAAGAATTTAATAAGATGAAACAAAGTTTTTTCACCTTCTATTTTGTGATATAAAAAACGAATTAAATTCATTACAATAATAAATATGGATCGACCTAACAATGTGTGACAAACTTTTTATTCATTTGAGAATTTATTTGTAATGAATTAGCAACAAGGTACAAATTTTCATATACGAATATGTTTAATTAAAACTTAGTTTAATTGTATTGATTACTTCTGAAAATGTTGGTATAACTACCGGAACAGAATTTGAAACAAGAAGAGAAAGTCAAAAGAAAAACTAACGCCATATGAAGTTTTTATTCATTCGCCAAATATATATATGTAACCCATTAACCAGATACATTCACAAATTTATACGCAGATTTCACCGATATTTTGTTGACTGGTAGTGACTAGTGAATATTATGCAATAATAGAAAGTAGTAAATACTGGAAATATAGGGTTTTCACTAAATTAATCCAAACAAAACGCCAAATAAATATAATTAAATCCATAAAAAAAAGAATGTGATACTAAATAACTATCTCTCTGAATGAAACAATGATCTGGAATTTTTTTCCATCAGAACACTTCTACTTTCTTAGCTGGATACATACGAAGGTATTCTTATTTCATCTGTCACCTTTGTCACTGCAAAATATTTCACCAAAGATAATCGTTAGAAATTTTATCTTAGAATTTAAACAACCATTAGATTATTGTCAAGGCATCTGATGTTTCTTAGTTTTTAGAACCAGTTAGTTCATGATGATAAATTAGATTTTAAGAAAGTCAATGCTTAAATTGTTGTATCGGACAACTGATTCGATTTTCGCGCTCAGGTTTTTTTTTTAAAACAATTAGTCCCTTTGATAAATTTCGATAATCTAATGAAAAGACGAAGTTTATCAAAATTATGTGATATATTTTCTCAAGTTTTTACTAATCACTGACAAAGTTGTTATTTTTTTTGTTTGTTTGATAAACAGTGAGTTAATTGTTTATGATTATGCAACCATTCTTTTTTGTTAATTTCGATCTCTTCATTATTATAATTACCGTTCATAAAGTGCCCTCTAAAATAACATGACATTCTACGTTTTCTGTCTGTTTCATTGCATATTAGATGTTCATGAATCAACCAACAGTTGTATTCCATGTGAATCTACTACTATGCAAGCGAATATCTATAATACTCAAGAAAGTGTTCCGAATATACAACTTGAACGTACACGTGGTTCAGGTGTTGGTGGTCCTCTTCCTCTTACAAATGCTTCTCAACCATCATCATTTGATTCGTTTCAATTATATTCGTATACTGCAAATTCTAATGAAGATAATAATGATAATAATAATGACAAAAATAATAATAACAGTGAGTTTATTCGATCAGTTAAACCTAATAGTAAGAGTAAATTATTCGGGAAGATTGTGATTCATACATTGTTTAAACTGAACATTAATGACGATTACAATACCTTCATCACTGAGTAATCATTATCAAAATTTGTCACTCATGTTATAATATAGATAGTAACATGAAATGTATTCATAAATTTGTAGGTAGTATTCATGGGCTAATCTCATTTGATACTCGTCTTGCTATATCCTAAAATAATTGAATTTAGAGTTGTGGAATCGAATACCGGTCAAGTGGTTATGATGACTACGCATTCGCTGTAAGGTCGTGAGTTCTATTCCTCGTGGAATCCTGTGTTCTCAGCGCTGAGGAGTCTTTATACTAGGAGGTAACATCTGTTCAGTGTTCCATGATTTTAAATGGTATCTCAAATGGAATAAATATGAGGTGAATACTACCTACAAATTAAACTAGTTATCATGAAGCGTTTCCAAATGCTTATAAACTGTTTAGTAGCTTTTAAATAAACGTTGGATGTTACGAACGTCTTGTTAGTGCGATTCTTAGCATTATTAGTTACTCAATATCAATAAATGCATTTTCTTTTCATGTACGCCGTGAAAAGATCATTAATTCTCCTAATTTAAAAAAATTTTTTTAATATGATTTTGATAAACATAATAGACATTTAGCTTTGAACTTTCATGTTATTGTTTAAATATGCCAATCGCTATCCACATCTTTATTGAAATAAACTAATGTATTCATTATATAATGAAACTTATTAGCTGAATAACATAAATGTGTTAATAAAAGAAACATCCGAAGAAACTACTGTTGTTGTTACACAGATTACATAATATTATAGTGAAGTTTCATTATATTCATACAAAGCACATTATGTTATACAAATATGTATTACTAAGAATCTGCTTACCTTAAACTACATCGGTTTATAAACAGTAATAATTTTGATTGACAGTAGCACGTTGTACGTTGTTCAAGTCATAATTCCGCATGATTCGTGAATTTGGATTAGCATTTGTTTAGGAAGACAATGCCTTGTGTTTGGAACAATCAACTTCAAAGCTTTTAACTTTTATTTTTTAAATGCGTGTATCTATCGTTCGATTTCTTTTAATTTGTCTCCTTTATTTTTGTAGATCCGTCATCTGAAAATTCAGATTTTCAAAAATCTGATGATTTTAGAAGGTATCATATCTCCAGACTGCCTAAACCTAATCCTACTCGTACTTTATCTCGAGGCTCAGATCTTTTACAGTTCAGTAGTGATCAAGCTTGTTCACATAATCGGAAAAATAGAAAACTAAGTTCAAAATGTCGTTCATATAGAAATTTTTCAAGATTGGGATCTTGTGTAAGAGCTAAATGGTCTAAGCAAAAACATAAACAACCACGATCTCGTAGTGTTTCACATAAATCTGAAAAAAATATGTCAGATTCGAATAATTCAAGCCAAAATTATAGTCTAAGTGATCATGCAGAAGAACTTTTGAATTTAGTAAGCAATTTCTAGTTATTTTTCATATCGATTATTTTTCCTATTGGTATAATTTTTTGCTAGTTTCTTGTGGCATCTATTTGTTATTGGTGTCTCATATGGGTGTTTCATATAAATATACATTCAAAACCATATACTGATTGATTGTATAATTCCTGGTAAATTTTTGACAAACTATTTCCATTCAGAGTTCCTCTATGAAATATAAGTTTCAGCTTTTGTAGTTCATTTGTATGTACTAGTTTTCTATTGAGCTCTAGTAAAGTACCTCACACTTATTGATAGAATGGTTCTTATTTATTGTTAAAGTGTTTGTTCTTGATAGATGATCATTCTGAATAAAAGTCATTTGAATATTTATCAAATGTTAAGAATAGAAAGTGAATGTATTTAACGATATGCATGCTAGAATTATAGCCATATTTGTTTTAATCCAATGATTCTTGGAATGGTCATTCTATTTCTAGACTACTTCATAACTTAGATATAATCAATACTAAAGCATAGATAATACTGGATCCTCGTAAAATATTCTTAGAAGTAATTGTTCACAGAGTAAGGGAAAATGTAATTAGAATCTACTGATCACTTTCAGGCTATACTCATCATTAAAATATATAGATCACAGTTGTATCACTACTCACCACTAGCTACTTAATCTCGTGATTGCATTAGTAATTCTAAAAGTGATCAAATTGATTTATATTACCTTGGGATATGTAAAGACTTTTCATCTATCTTTGTTATACTGAATTATTTTTGCTAATAAATTATGGAATTATGGATTTCTGGTTTGGTTACTGTCCAGTCCATTGTATCACATGTATTACAAATATATATATATATATATATATATATAATTTCCTATTACAGTCTTTACCTTCACTTCTAGGTTAGTTCTTATAGCAAAAGTAGTTGACTATCCTAAAATTTCTAACATAATGAATTATATTATTTCCAATAAGTTAATATCTGCTAATTTCTTATCTTGGAGCTGAAAAAAACCCTGAGTACTATGGACGATGAAGCATTAAATTGTTTTCTGGAAAGTCGAATGTCCACTCAACTATATGCTTCAATACCTAATGAAATATCGACTTAATTTTATTTATCTTGTCTAACTTTGAATTAAGCATTAACGATATCATACGAAGAATTTTAATGAATTGGAAACATTAAAATGACTTATAAAAAATTTTTATTCTGTGTTTACATAGACGATTAGTCTTTTTCGCAGATATATAATGTTAAGCTAAACCTGGAAGCAATAGATGGACGTTTCGTACTAGTATGGGATTCCTCAGGTTTTCAATAGTGGTCTAGCTAATATTGACTCGTAAATTCAACTGTTAAAAGATATAAATTTAACTCATAATGTCACATTAATATATCTCTAATTATCTAGTCTAAAATATATTCTGGTTACCAATCTTAAACAATACATTTATGATTTTGTTATCCACACACAATTATTTTATTTTTGTGTTTCGAAATATAAATTTTAAGATTGTAATGTCACGAGATGCTTGTTCCATGGAAGTAGATCGTATACGAGAAGACTTATCAAGATTGTATAAAGCCGATTCAAAACGTCAAACACATTTAGATCATAAAAAACAAAGTGGTAAACAACATGTAAGTTGTTATTAATAATGTGCAATATCTTACTTTGATTAATATTAAATAAATGTGATAAAGTTTATTTTTCATCTCACAGAGATTGAATTTTGTTTATTTAAAACAGAATGATTCAAATAGTTGGAAAAAAACTCCTTGAATTGTAAACTTTTAGTGTAACAACCCAGTACTATTCCTTTTTTTAAATTAGACTACTTGTTTTAAGTTGAGGCAATTTTAGATCATGTTTTGACATTATTTAGAGATATTTGCATCACTTATTCACTGGATCATATCAGCCAGATTATATTTCAATCAGGTTTTGTATTTCAATCTAATCATTAAGGATTTTACTCAGTTGTCACTTTAAAATAATCAGGGTATAATTATACTTTATTTATTAAAAATTTATTAGGGATTAAGTCTTCTGTTAATACATGTCACGTTGAGTACGATAAACAATCGTTTGATCTTGACCATATTAATTACTTTTAATTTAGTGATTCGAGTACATTTTGGTGTGATTATCAATAGAGTCTCATATCATTTTCGTTCAATTTGCACTAGTTGAATGGTTACTTAAAAATCTAACTAGATCTCACTTTTTCCACTTCAGTTGTGAAAGAGAACATTGAAATATGCCCAATTCAATCTTCTTAGTGTATCACTTTGTTACGATTTACAAACTTTCATTCACGTCACATCCTGAACTTGATTATGGCAGAATGTGGTATACAACTATCAGGACTTGAACGTATAGAACCTCACCCCACAGTCACAACTCAAGAGACAGGAGAAACAAGGGAAGCGCTTATTGAGAAAAAGTAAAAAATGTATAGAAAAACAGGGGTATTTATAATTTTTAGTATAAGCCGTAACATCATTGTAATCCAGACAATCCTCAAGTAGGGAAGTTATACAATTATCCAATCCGTAGCATGTCACATTCATATTCTAGAAGGTTCTATCAAGTTCTAATTGTATGGCATCTCTTTGACTCCTTTAGAGCCTCTGGAGTCTTCGGCGTGCTTTTTCGAGCCATCCCAACAATTCATCTTTTAAAGACTTTTCTGTTCCCCCAATTTAATGATGTCATTCTCATTTTTATGAATCTAACTCATACTTCAAAAATTTTGTGTGTTACTTATGCTTGTCCCAGGAGTATAATAACATATTAATAGCAATGGTGATAATAATACTAATGATTAGATTTTTTCCTTATGTTTTTCTACTATTTACATCTTTCTATATTCATTGTGTCCTCCTACCAAATCATTGAGTGGTCAAGTTTATCTGTCCTGGTTCACTGGTTTTATGTCTACTACACACATACACATACAAACATTTTACTATTCTCATTTTCATTTCTGAAAATTTCTCATTTATAAGCATATTTATATACACTGCTGATCATACATACAATAGTAGTATGTATGTACACATACAAAGAGATTTTTGGTTACTGTGACTTATTCATATAGTCGACTTCTTCCAATGATAATAATACTAATAATATTAAAATAAGTTTTGCATATTTACCCTCTAAGTGAATACGTAGATAACATTATATACATTAACAGATATTTTTTCCCATTTCTGCACTTGTATTTCTATGTACTTATGCGATTGTTATTATTATTACAAGGAATAATTAAATGAAAGTTATCATATCATTGGAATCGACCTGTGGATAATAATAATAATAATAATAATAATAATAATAATGATAACAATCAATTATTTCATTTGACCGGTCATATACTGTTTCAATTATATTTTTTATCAAAAGAGTAATCTTATTATTCATCGTATGTTATTTAACTTCAGTTTATCGTAATCAGGGCTATAACAAAACGTGAACTACTACATAAAATTTAGATAGATTATCGTTTATTTATGTCTATGCACATTTATATGAATATCTGTGTGTGCGTGTGTGTCAATGGTATAAGCCAAAGATGAGAAGCTAAATGATAATGTTTACAATGGGGGCAATCATATTTCACACTTCTGCTTCTGTTTATATTCATATAAAGATGTGTTGTGTGTTCTTGTATACGGCATATATTCTGAAAATTCAAGTTGTTCAATCACTTCTCACGTATACTATGAAGAAAATAATTATTAGATGTATCTGATATATTTCAGTTCACGTTAGTGTATTTCTAATTAATTCATTCAGTGTGATTTGTTCTCTCATTAACCTTTATGTGTTATATTCGACCTTATCGAATAATTTTGATGAATATCATCTATTGAATTTTGTCCATATTTGGTTTAATATTATACTCTTATGGATAATTAATAATTTCAATGAACTTGTATATTTATAGGATTAAAATTACATAAAAAGGAAAATTCACAATTCTTCTGTAACATTTATTTGTCTCGTTTGATCTATTAGACAAGATTAAACAATAAAAAAAATATTTATTGTTAAATGGATTATAATTAATCTAACCTAATCTCATAATCTATTGATATAATCACATATTTGACCAAATTATTATGTAAGTGATAATCTTCTATAGTTTGGCAATTTTTGTTATTCGATTTCTTCTAATTATACATGTTACTTGTGTGTGTGTGTGTGTGTGTGTGCATTGGATTACCACCCGGGTGGCCAAACTGAAGCAAGTGTTTTTATTGGGGGGGGGGAACGGGTAGTTCCCGTGTCTTTGGACTAAACGTTTAATCTACGAGATAGTGGAACGACGTTATGAGATGTAGTCTCACTGTAACCTCTGATTAAATGCATTATTAGTTCTATTGGGAATAATATCCTTATTGTTACAATTAGTGTTTACATGATGCTTGTGTTTGTAATAATAATGACATAGTATATGCATCCTGGTGTTACATTTATGATAATATTTCAAATGCTTAATTCACGAAATAACTTCTGGTTTATGCATTGTATACAGTATTTCATGTTTAAGAGAAGTTTGCTGTTGTTATTGTCTGTTAGTTTGATAGAGTTATACATATTTTTTTTAAAAAAAGGAAAATATTCCCCTGAATGTATTTTCGTAGACTCATATGACATGTTTAATATTTTTCTGACAAAATCATGTTTCATTTATCAATATTTGGTGCCATAAATTGTAAATTTGACATAAGAACTTTTATTGTCTTACAAAAACGTGACACTTATCGTACAAAGTTGTTTTTAATTTTATGAGTTATTAGCTTGTATAAATTCTAATTTTAACAGTTTGTAATCGTGCTCAGAAAGAGTACGTTTTATAACTAAATTTTTAGTTAGTTTTAGTGACTTTAAACAACTCATTTACCAGGTACATAATTATATACGTAGCATCAAGCTACACTTAAAATGTGAGAATTAGTCATTCTACTCGATAAACCAATATTGAGCTGGACGAGGCAGGGTTCGAATTTGAAACTTTATAACTAGATTTCGAGTATCTTAAAAACTGAACCACCACTTCAGTAACATTAGTTACCCATTGGAATATAGAATCCTTTAGCTTGTGATACTTTTTTCATCCATAGTTATTTTTTAAAACATCAGCCTTTTCTGTCGACTTTTTTTTGTTAGTTCTATTGTCTTTGGATAGTGTTTGCATTACAAAATTATTTGTATACAGATATTCATTGGGAAAAGTCTTTGTGATGACACTTAAATTGTAGCACCATAATGAACGATCCTATTATAGTGGCTTCTTTAAAAAAAGTAGTACAATCTAGTCTATCATCAATCCATAAACTTCTTTTTCTTGATCATATGCATAGTATTATTTAAGTAATTATCTCCTCTACATTTTATTTTTATCTAGTTTTCTTTTTAAACAAGATTACATTTTCTCCTGGTTGATGATTATTTCTATACATTACTAAAAGAACATCAACTTATATTTCTTTCCATGATAAATTTCTGAGTAAAAACAATTCAGTACTTGAACAACACCTTTTAACCAATTAGAGATACGGATCATTTGTTATAAATATCTGTAGACCAATAAGTGTTGAATGCACTTAACTCTTGACCATCTTCAATATATCTATATAAAATCATGCGGAATACATCAATGTAATATTCACTAGTCGTATTTTTTAAAAGTCCATTCAAATAGATGAATATATAGTCTGTGAATAATTATTTTTCTTTTAAAATGTAAAATGTTTTAAGTAATTCTCAAAACAGAAAAACACCCCATTCATTTTTTATTTTTCTCTTCTTTTGTGATAGATCTATGTTGATTGTGTTCGACCGATGCGAAATCACGTTGATTCTTTAAAGACTAGATATTCACCCGCTGGCGATGATAATGACGATTGTAGTTTTACAGAATGTCAACCTACTGTGTACCAAAAAGCACAATCACTTACAAATTATCATCAGTATCCTGAAAGTAACAATAATAATAGTAATGATAAAAATCTCAATTCAAATCATTCACAATATAAACCACATACACGTAGATTACTGCCACATACTAAATCATTTGATGACTATGATGGATTCGATTTGAATGATCATCAGCTTGACAGTAGTAATCATAATAATGATGATTTTTGTGCAGCTGATAATAATTATAACGATCAAATGAATTATTTCTATCATCGTCAAGATTATAAACGACAAAATGAACCACCGGTTAATTTTAAAGATCATTGGCTGCCGAATGGAGTACAGGACCTTAACTGGAATAATGATCAGAAAAATTCTATTCGTTGTAAGTATATATTATTTTGTGTTTATATGTATTTAGCTCATTTTTAAAGCATTTATTTTTACGTAAGTACACCATGCTTGTTTTCATTATTAAGTATTTTTTATTGATAACTGATATAAGCTATCTTTTAGATAATAACGCACAGTTTGTAAGCTATAAACTACTGAAAACATAAATAAATGGGAATCACATTCGGTATAAAGGGAAACTTTCACTATCGTTTTACATGCTTTCCCCCAACTACTCATACTATCTAAGAGAACATTAAGCGGGCTTGTTAAGATATTTCTATAGTTGGAGACAAATACATCAACAACGATGTTGAATAATCGCTCTATATCATGAGTTAATTAAATTTGGATTATTGGTGTAGTATTGGATTTTAACCTAGTGTTCCGATGGCCAAGTACCAATCTAGTCCCTGGTCGTGTCATGGTTGCACACTGCTGAAGAGTCCTACACCAGAATGACACAACTTTTCATTGTTCTTAGTTCTTAATAGTGCCCACCTACAAATGTAACTAATCTCCACAAAATCCCTTTATCAACTAACAAATTAGTTAAAAACATCCCCTATATACAACATTATTAGATTATGTGTATGCAGCATTCAACCTTTCTTATAAAACACTTTATTTGGATGTCTTTATTCGATCTAGAATGTTTGTAGTGTTACGAAGTGTCAATCCAACTCAATTATTGAGTCTCGGCTCACAAACCAGTCCTTAAACCAATCCTATTATGTATTATCAAGAAATACCTGTTGGCTTGCAAAACCTATGTGTTGAGAAAGTTGCTTGGATTCGAAAACTATAGGTTAACCGCTAAGTTTATAAACTTTAAAACAACTCTAAATAATTCGTTATCACTAAATTTTTTGATTGAATTACAACTAAACAATCTGGGGGTTTCGTAGTTATTATTATTACTTCTTTATATTCTAGTTGGTTGGTTATTTTCTTTCAATAAAAGCATAGAAATCACCCATCGCTAACTTTATTATCGTTTTTCTTGCTATATTTTACATAAAATATTTCACTAGCTTCCTCAAATCGTAGGCCGACATCTTTACATACAAGTCGAGTTTTTAGTCGACGTCCAAGAACAAGATCAATACCTCGTCAGCATCCAATCAACGCTAATTTCTCACCATATCATAACAACACTTATAGAAGATTTTCTCGTGGGCATTCACTGGATTATACTCATCAACATCTTAAACAGTCCGGATTACGAAACTCTGCAACTAGTTTACTAAATGATATAGAATATCATGATGTTGATCCAACATCTGAAACTGAAGCAATTATTCATTTAACAGACGAACTATTTGGATTACGTCAAGGTTTGAAGCGAACACGTGAAGCTAACTCAGAAAGAGTGAGTATTCTCCGCCTTTCTTCTTGTTGTTTTTAACAATACAGTTAATTTTTTTTGTAATTTGTATATGCGAATAGGTTGTTATTTATACTCCATTTCCTTTTTAGGAGTTTTCTTTATGTCTTATTCATAAATATTGTTTGTAGTTTTGCATTTACCTAACAGTTGAAGATACACGTGTAAAAAAATGACAAATCTATGATAAATGATATACTTACTTACCTAAAGTGTAGAGAAGACATTAGTAAACCTTGAATTAAGATTAATGCTGTGGGTATGTTCAGCTTATATCATGAGTTAATTGAATGTTCGATTATTAAACAAAGAATAATAGCACTGTAAATCGAGGTGGACAGGACAAGCTGTGAGTCATATGTGAAGGAATCCTAACACTTCACTTCTACCTGAAGTTTGTGCTGATGGTGTTTTTCAAGAGAATAATGAAAGCTCTATGACCAAACCATCTAGCTCGGAGAACAAAACTCTACCTAAATCGTTTATCTAAGCTTAAAATATTCTCCACCATCGCTCTGAATCTTCCCTTAGATGTACTAATTATTCGAAACGAAATGAAAAAAGCCCCGTATAAATGAACGTTTTACGGATAGAATGCAGTCTATACGCTTAACATAATCAGTATATAGCTTGAGACAACTGAATGAACAAGAGACATTTAAGATATGCTTCGATGGAAATAAAGTATATTGATACCATTCTAACACATGATGCAAAAATGTCGATATGAAATTAATCTTAAATGATTTTTTTCTCAAGCTTAAGTTTTTTCCATTCTGTTTGACAAATTATGGGCTTATTTGTTATTCCCTATGATATCAAAATGTAGTTGTTTTATGTGTATACTAATAACAATTCATGTATACATTCATCTGTTCTTTTAGAATTAATTATATTGAAATGATGTTGAGAAGTTGTATTTCAAAAATTTAGGACTTTTGTTAAATCCTGTAGTTGTGTTAAAGGATTCGAGAAATTCATTGATTTCTTGTGATGATGATGATGGGTTACTCAAAAAAGTCGAAATCAATGTTCGATTCAAATGTGAGAAGTTAATAGAATTTAAAAAATATTTGTTTGGATCTTTTTATTGACATTTTAAATGCTTGTAACTTAATTAGAATATCAAATCAATTCACACACGATGGATGTATATCAAAAGAGATTGATCAAGTGCTGTTCTAAACATCAATGAGAAGACCCAAATTCCCAATGTATATATGAATTAAAATTCACCTAATTGCACAAGCCAGTAGCTATTCGGACTCAGTAGCTAAACAAATAAGGTGAAGGCGTTTGTAACGAACGGTAGTGGGTTCTGAAATGAAAGTACATCCAGCCAATGGGCCCCGAATGGTTAAGAACACGCGTCATATATTCACTGCTAGTCACTATCCATCTTTGCTTTAAATAACGGAAGAATATTTAATGTTATATTTTGTACTTTCCTCATTCACCCTTTTCACTTTAATATGATATATAATAGCGTTTATATTAGAATATGATCTTTGATCACTTTTTATTAATTAGCTTGAAGTTGCGTTGAGACATATTTCATTGCTCGAATTGGAATTACAACGTCAACGATGTTTAAATCATGATGCAGAAGTGGCTAGACAACGTGAAGTTGAACGTACACGATGGGAAAAGGTAATTTATTTGCTATATTTCTTTAATTTATCCCTTTATTTGAATAAAGTCAAAGCGATAACTGAGGTAGAATAATATGAATTCATTTAATTTACGACCTCTTCAGTTGCTCATAATCGTATTCTTTTTAAAGTGTAGCATTCGTGTATACTACATTATGAAGTAACGGACATTGGTGGCGGTCTGAATTGGAATAATAACGGTTATCAGTAGTAACGATATATATATAAGGATTTACGATGTTATTTGAAAGCATATGGTCTGGGATATTAATTTTATCGACTCCAGGATCTAATAAGGTGGATTATGTAATCATCATAGAAGTTTTGAAGAGTTGACATAAATTTTGAGAATTGAACATGTGAAAAACCCAGGTGAATGAAATGGTTTTGACACGGATGAAATAGAAATCGGCTTGAAGTAGACTGTATAACAAAATAAACACAATGAATTAATAATAATAACAAGTAACTTAAATCAAAGTCGAAATTTACCAAAACAATAATGAATTGATAGTTACCTCTTATTGAACAAACAATCCAGTTTGATTTTTGCAAACTGCTCCTACCTGTTGATAATTTCAAAGGATTAACAAGTGTCAACAATATACCCGTTATTAATTAAATACTGAAATATTGGACTTTTTAGTTGTTACACCTTTTAGTCTCTTTAAAATGTTCTTGAAAATGTGAACTTTTACTCCACTCTCTGTTCTTTCAATATTTTTGCTTTGACATGTAAATGTATTAGCTATTTGAATTATCCTTATTATTCGTTTTCCAACAACGTAGAACCGGACACATATATATTCACTTTACTACTTCATATCAGCACAGTGAGATGTAATTATCAGGACGAATGCCAATATAATAGAAATGATATCAGTTGTAACAGAAATCATCAGACATATACAAAAGACAGTTCATGAAATAAAAAAAATATAGGATACTTTGAAAACTTGGAATTTAAGAGAAGATAAATATCAAATCCATTAAGATTGATTTTGATCCATATCATCCAATGACTTCAACCATTGGTTGCAAAAGTCGCATGAACCCATATCAGGTAATCTTTACCTGTCAACGTAGTACAGTCTAATATTCAATCACTTTATAGACTGATGTCGAATCTTGATTTGGACCCTCTAACTTTTTTCTACTCTGCTCTTACATCAGTAAATAGCTAGCCTAGAGGTAGGTGGCTGTTTGATATACTTTTCTTAACCACCTCAGTCATTTAGTGTTTGTTTTCAATAACCTTATAATATCCAAGTGATTAGATGCCGTATAAAATTCATGATATGAGGTTATTGACGGAGTTGGTAAAATGTAAGTTTTCAAAGTGAGCGGTGTCGGAAAATTGTGGTCGACAACTGTGTTCTACAACGGTTGTTTGCTTCACACACTAGATAATCATCTGTTCTTGATATTTAAAACTAAATTATCGTCTTATTTCTGCATTTATTTTACGATAAATTTTTTCAAATAAGTATTGTATTCTGGCGTTTATTCTTTTCCTTTTTTTGTGATCTACTTAAAGAAGTAAGATTTTTATTTCAATATACTTTCAAAAAGTCTCCGTAAAATGATCCATGATGGAAAGAAAAGTCAAAATTCGATTGATTTACTCATTATGAGTTTTGGTTCAACATTACTTCCGTTTTGATTCAATGTGATGATTATTCAGTGTAGTATTCGGTTTTCTTTTCTCGTATGATATTTTATTCTGTATAATATACGATATTCTTGTATTCAATTGACACCAACTACGCTCAGCATGTGATTTATTATGTGATTTCATCCTAATTATTAATCAAAATGAGTGTACAATCAATATATAAATGAGTGTATTTTCGACTAGTGTCGTCATCATCATCATCATCATCGTGTTTTGGGGGTGAATACATCTTCAATTATACCAATCCTCATGTTCCTACTTTTGCGTTGTGGGAATTGCAGAGGTCACTCGTTTCGAGTATAATTGATAAGCGTTTTCGACACAACAAACAGCGACGATCAGATATAACAAGTAGTATTCAATTCACAAGACATATCAGTTTTCATTTCGTTTTATAATATTTCATTGTATTCCTTATTAAGGAAACATTTATCAGTTTTTTTCTATTCTTTTATTTTTCCTGTTATAGCGTTTAGCTGCAACACTTAATGAATTAAAATATTGTCAAACAGATATTGGTAAACTTCGAGAACAAGTTGATCAATTAGAATCATCTAAAAAAATTACAGATCAATCCGAATTAAAATTAGGTTTGTTTTAAAGTTTTGTTTTTGTTTCTACACTGTTTATCTTTTATTGACATAATTATTATTTAAAGGATTCATTAATTATTTACAAACTATTTTTGTCATTATGGTTTTTTTTCTAAGAAAAAAAGAAGAAATTCTACCTTAAAATTAATTTTTAATTTAGCAAATATTCTCCTATAGCCGTAGAATTCTATGGACTAAATAATTACATTATATAATCTGTTTAAGTTGAATATTGTATTTTGGTGGAGTTTTGTTCTCTGAGAGGGATGGTTTGGTCGTGGAGCTTTCATCGTTCATCGCTTAGAGAACAAAACTTCACCAAAATCATCCACCTGAGCTACAAATCTTCACCATCTTGAATGTTGTATACATCTGTATATCAGATTTTTAATTTAATCATATTGTAAACAGTGAAACTATTTTTTTTTAATAGTTAAATTCATGAATCGATTTAAACTAGATCAATATTGAAAACCTGAAATCGTTGAACGACTGTTTCTTTTGAGTATGGGAGTCCTCGGAAGTGCATGTAAGCCATCCCACACTCAGGACTCGGACATAGAACCTTCGAACTGGCGTGCGAACGCTTAACCTCTAAACTATTGGGGTGGTATCTAACGGTGTTAGTGTCTAATTTCAATCGATCCATGATATTGCTCACGAGACTGAAGATCCTGGTTTCGAATTGCACATGCGGGATCGTGGATGCGCTTTAGTGAGGTGTCCCATTACTTAGATGAAACGGCCATCCAGCGCTTTCAGGTTTTCAATGGTGGTCTAGCTTTAAATCGACTCATGAATTCAACTATTGGGAATCAGTACAGTCACCACAAATCCCCATTCTGATAATATTTGTTTATTCTCATTGATATTCTGTAATTATACGAATTAGACAAATGCTTGGATAGATAAATAGATACTGTTTTTTTCTTTTTTCAAGTAGACTATTCTTATCGTGTTCTCAGTTTTTTCGTAGGATTAATTGATACTCAATATTGTTTCTCTATATTTATTTAAAAGACAGTATTGCGTAAAAAACATTACATGATTTTTCTTATTGGTTATTTTCAGTAATGGGGTTGTTTAGATTGTTAAATTCCATTGAAATCATGAACCGATCAATGTTAGACCATCATTTAAAACCTTGAAAACTAGTTTTTCATTGGTGTTCTTACACTGATTGGTTCATGATTTTAACAAAACTCAACAATCTTGACAACTCTGTACTGAAAAGTGTCATATGTTCACTGGCCACTAGCTTCCAGAGAGTCCTAGTGAGATTTCCTGCCCAGTAGAACCCAACTATGTGGGGTATGGGGCAGTTACTCACCAAAGACAATGGAAGATGATCATGCATTATCGTGGATTGATTGAAGTTAAAAATGAATGCCCTTGGATTCCAGTCCAATGGTCTAAAAGATAAGTGTCTACACGAGACTGGAGGTTCTATGTCTGCGTCGGGGATCATGGATGCATTCTGCTTAGGAGTCCCATAGTAGGACGAAATGGCTATCTAATTCTTCTAACTTTCCTATGATCGTCTAACATCAATCGGTTCATGATTTCAATGATATTGTATATTTATTTATCATCTATTCTACTTTTGCTCCTTCTTTTTTTAATCAGAACGCCAACGATTAGAATTAGATCAGACTAAAGCAACATTGGATGCACAAAAAGAAGAGATAACCACTTTGAATAATCTACTCAATTCATTATTGGGTCTTAATCCAAGTAAATTCTTTTATGCATACACATATTCATCTTCGATGTTTTTTTATCTATGTATTATAACATTGTTAAATAAAGTCATTAAGTGATAGCCATAGAATGTAGCAAATTCTGGTAATAATGAAAATGCTTGTATTTTTAAATATAAATGATACATTCTGCTTAAACAATGGTAGCCAACCAGTCTAGAAATTAGTCGTTTAGAGTATGAGAGCTAGTGAAGTAGGATTTTACTACTGATTTGTATGGAATATAACTTCATATTATGAATTCGTTTTATTGTTGGAATATGATTATTTCTAGTCAAACCTAACTTTTTGGGAACATGATTTGTTGACATTTAATTGCTATAGTATTTGTCTTAGATTTGATTGACGAATTTATCTATCAAGTATGTTAGACCTTCCGTTTTACATTCAAATTATCACTATTGAAGTCACGATGAACAAAAAATTCTTATTATCTGCTAAGTCATTAATCAATTAAAATAATTTTTTAATTTGTAATCAGTTTCATGAAGAAACTGTAACGCGAACTCTCAACTCTGATTTTCTGTGGTCGAAATTAGACTGAAGTAGCAGCACAATAAAGTTTAAATCGAGATCACAAACCGATCAACGCCAGAAAACCCGTAGGCACTAGATGGCTGTATCGCTCAGTATAGAACTCCTCAGCAGTGCACATCCATGATCTCGCATGCGTGATTCGAACGCAGACCCATATGAGGCAATTATCCACCGAAGACAATAGAAGATGGTCACGCAATATCGTAAACTGGTTTAAGTTATACATTAACGCCGTTGAACGTCACCCCAGTGATTTAGAGGTTAAGCGTTTGCACGCTAGTCCGAAGGTTCTGTGTTCGAGTCCTGAGTGCTGGATTGTAGATGTTCACTTCCGAGGAGTTCCATACTCACAAGAAACGGCCGTTCAATGCTTCCAGGTTTTAAGTGGTGGTCTAGTGTTGATTATTCTATGATCTGAATTAAAGCTCAACAATCCGCACAGCCTTGTACTGAATATTGAAGTCTGTCTTGATGCTGAAGTATTTTATCGGAATTATCTTAACATTAATAGTTTTCACAAAAGTAATGTGTATATTTTTGCTTACACTTATTCTGTAAAAATAATAGATTCAAAGGAATCTAATTTTCAATGATAGACACTGTAAAACACGAAAATAGGCACCAGGTATGTATATTAATTATGAGAATCTACAAAGTATTTACATTATGTACATACATAGCCTTCAGTCGTCCATTTGCAGCTTTCGGTGTGTTCTATAATCTGAACTGTTTTCTTCGCCTATCTCCAAGTGTTCTGCTAACGCTGTACCTTCGATGCACTGAATTTCTTCACTCCACCTGACAATTGTAACAAATTCAACGTCACATTCCGCTGCGCACTACTTACACACAATCTTGTTAGTAGTGTCCACTACAACATAACTGATAGATGGTCATTTCGTGAAGTCAATGAATCTTTATTCTGAATTCCAGTTTGTGAATACATGAAGATTCTAATGAATAGCTTCACAGAAATTCTGGATTTCAAGTATTTATGTATATATAGGTGATATCAAATATGACTTATCCTTTTAATAATTTCAATGATTAAAATTTTAGCTTAATCACTATTTAATAAAAGTTTAATCATCAAAACACGTTTTCAGTTAATTCTAGATAGTAAAAATAAAATTTAATTCTAGATATTCATATGTTTCCAATGGAAACTATTAAATGACTCGTCATTTTTTTTCTTTCGCTCACTTGAAGACACACTCATTTTTTTCTCACTTTTCTATGTATATTTATGTAATATTTCCACAGATGATGTATCTCCTAACGATCTACAACGCTTACAAGTTGGTTTACTTGACTTACATAAACATATGCAACCAGATTGTGCCAATCAATATTGTCACTACCAAAGACAGCAATATGTACCAAATCCTATTCATCCTCGTCAAACTCGTAAGTGGTGTTTTAGTTCATTTTTGTTAATTATTATTCTAGCCCACGATATGCAATGAATGTTGGCCTACTTTTTTTCCTATTAATAAGAACATAAGCTGTATTTCATTGAAAAATTGTAACACGTTGGGTTAAGTATTCCTGATCTCTTTGTTACGAGTTGGAACGTCTTCTTAGTTGTTTTTTTTTCAGACCCAGGAGTCTAGATTTCATTTTTTATAAGAGTAACTTACATATTCTTACATAAATCTATTTTTGAGCACTATTCTTTTTCAACGAATTAATCTTTTAAAATTGTTTTCATCATATTTTTATTTGTATTATTTTTTAAAATCAAAAATTAAAACAGAGCAAAGTTGTATTTTATTGATGGCTCCTTAGAAACCTCGATAAAATTCGTAACTCACAGCGTTGAATTTGATGATCTCTTCCTCATTGTTCAACATTCTCACAGTAAAGGATTAGCTGGCGGTTTATGGAATTATTGACCATTGACTTTTAAGCCATGTTGGTATATACAGCTTAGCTGGTTGAGATATTCGCACGATAACCGCGATCAGCGGTTGGGGATGTTGAGTGAAATGACTCAAAGCCATTCAAAATGGTCCAGATGTCTTCACTTATTATCCTACTCTGAATTTTGATTTCTAATATTCAATCTCACAAACTTTTCCATTTAATTACTTTAAACCACTTTCCTTATGTTTAAGTTTTCTTATTAATACTGCTACATTATTATTTAGATTTATCTTCTGTTCACATTATTATTGTCATCTCTTTGTGCTAAGGTAGTATAATAACTTAAACCCGTTCATTTATATTACCAGGCTCTACATTGATTATAACCGACCAGTTGCTATACGAGTCATTCTATTGCTTACTACCTTAATGATTAATTTACGTCCCGATAGCATTTTATTCAATTATCGTTTATTATACATTAATTTGTTCAGTTCATTATTCACGTACAATTTTCTTTTGGTAAATGAATTCATCTTCCATTTATACCTTAAGTGGTAGCATTTTAGTTATTCGAGCGACTATTGTGTAACTAGAATATATTTTTATCAAATGTGTGCGTGATTTTTTACAACTGGATCCCTTTGTAAATCTGAACAGAACGAGAACAGTAAAGTTTGCAGAAGAGAATGAATTCAGTATATTTCATTGCTTCCCATCAGTTGTATACAGACTGAAATTTAATTAATAATATAATTATGAACAAATCCTTAACATAATTTGGACATATTCCTAAGATCCTACGCCCGAAATTCAGTCACGTCTTCACAAGTTCAATTGCCTACCACCTTTTGTACAACTGACAGATAGTGGATATTATGCATTTTAATTAGCAAACAACCAACGCCAATTTTACTGTTTTGCAGAGGTAACCACTGTTAAATGTTTTCGACTTGACCTATGTATACAAAAAGAAAGTGTCATTAGCCTTTCGCTGCCATGGTGACTGAGTGTTAATCAAATAATCTTCATCAGTAATTCAGCTCTTATTTTTTCTATGTAATTTCTATCCCCTACATAATCGTATTTATGTCCACATATTAATTTGTTTTTATTATCATGTTAACTGATTATGCAATCAAGTATTGATTTCACTATGCTTACATAACTTATCTTGATTATAATTAAAATAACCCATAATGTCATTAAATAGGAAAAAGAGAATTCATTTAATTAAGCTGTACATTCGTATATATAGTTATATGGAAAATATATGTCCCTAGGAGGATAGAAAAGACTGCATCGCAAAAATGGATTCGAGACTAAATAACAAATGAGGTTACGTACTATAATTGCTAATATCCATAACATCGCATATCCTACCCTACATCACTAATTTCCAACAAATAAATACGCATCAATCTGGCTTCTGTTTATTTATCATACATTTAGTCTTATTCTCCCTCTTATTATGATTTCGGTTACATTTTGAACATTTATCTAAACTTCATTGACTAAAGTCATAATATGTGAAAATTATATTTGAGATAATCTTAGCAATTGAAATTTAAAATAATTCCAACGTTTCGTCCAGCAAACTTGTCTGAACTTCTTCAGGGTAATAATCACATATAATGACTTCTCTATACTTGGCGACAAATTATTGTCAAAATATTCGTTCTAGTCTTGACGAATGTTCGTATAAATTCACTGACTAAAGTTTATTTAAAATTCGTTCATCAATTTATTAGTTATCGTAATTTTAGATTGTGTTCAACTGATAAGAAGCAGTGAAATAGACCGAATTCATTTTATTCTGCCAACTTTGTTGTTCTCTGCCTGTTAAAATGTCTATGATCTGTTAGTCTCTGCACTTTAAACTTTTGTAACTACACCATAGGATTTTCATTTTTCAATTCTTAAATTGTATTATGAGTTAATTAGTAGAAGCTAACTTCCAGCTTTGGAAATGTAAATTGGTTACCTTATCATTAAAGTTTAGATTATTAGACTAATTATACATATATGCCTGTAATGTTCACATTACTGTTATGAAGATGTAAACAATCTATCTCTTAGGAATTTATCCATAATGGAGAAGTCTGTCATAGTATTTCACACGTGACTATGCAATGATTTCTATGTATTTAAATCACAAAAGGACACCTGATTACTTGTGAACTTATTTCATAATGTGTTATTTATTTGTTCACTGATAGATTTACCTTATTCCTTTTGTTTTTATTGCTGTCAATATTTTGTTTTTGAGGTCATTACAAATTTTCAATGTCAAAATGTCATTAATCAAAAAGAAGCTTTTGTCTTTGTTTTCGTTATCTTATATTTTATAGACATCATTAAGTGTTTATTAATTTATCTGATAGAATTGATAATTTGATCTTGTCAGTTGTCATCTATATGATAGGACTAGTTTATTTTTCTTTCCAAAATCCAGTTCTTTGTGTGTCTATGTGTAGTTGTGTATGATTTTGTGTAAATGAACAAGTCAGTGATGTTATCGTGTCCAAAAAAGCACTATTTTAATTTTTTTGTGTCTTTGTTTTATTCATTCTTTCGTTGAGTTAACGAGTGTACTCAGTCAATTTGATCTTCTTATCAGTTCCATTTAATGGTTGATGTAAACAAGGGAATATTATGATAACTACATATTTTTTTTTATAAATATACTTGTTTGATAATATACTTACATTTGATAATAAATTCGGCTCATAATTAACACTAAACATCAAGTGAATTTTCTTGAAATCTTTACTTCGATTTGTAAGTTTGTGCATTTTTCATAAAAATCTAGATATCTTGATTTTACTGTGTATTTTCATGTATTGTCATATAAGTAGACTATAATATACATGTATACAGTAGTAGACTAAGAAGTTTCATCTATTCTCCATTTCAAATAACACTTTTCTGTAGTATTTATATTCTCAATTAAGATCTTATGACTTTACAAACGAATTTTTGATTAATAAAGTAAATGAATGCGGTGCCGAATAATAGATTTATCTGAAATAATACGGTGTAGCCAAGTGATAACTGTTTACACGATCAGATTATTATGCCCTCCAATTTATTTGACATCCATGATAGCTTGCCAGTGGAATAAGTCTATTATTTGTAGGATTGTAGGATTAAACTCAGTGGTATATTTTTACTGATACATATTCTTAGTATCGTTCGTTTTTATTTTATATTTTATGTTATTTGCATAACTTGATGTACTTATCCCATAGTACTATGCTGTTATACATATATTAGTTAATTTCTTGACAATAAATGCTCATTTGTAGACAATGATAGATTCCCACTTAAATGAACGTGTATGATTTAGTAGATAGTTCGTAGTAATATTTCGGGGATGAAGAAAATATTTCTACCATAGTTCATTTTGGTACTAGTCGGTTTCCGGAGTGAACCTCAACTCTGGGATCCTGGTACATCCAGCTGACGAGTCCCAAATAAGACGAAATGCGCACCCTGGATTTCATTGCTAGCCACTATACATCTGCTTATAATCCTAATATGGTTTTTTTCAAACATTAATCAAGATTGGTAGGATAAAATAGTTCACATGATTTTTTTTAGTAAACATATTCAACGGAAGAAATGAATTCTTGGGTAACTTCACACTTCTAATGAAGTAAAAACTGCTGATGAGAAAGAGATAAATACATTTGAAAACTGTGCTTTATTTATTCTAATAGAGTAGATAAAGTTTGGCATACAGTCAGTTTATTGTCAGTTAGTCAAAATTTGACCTCTTCTTTATTCGTAAAGAAAATTTACTTCGAGATTTTACTGACAACCACTAAAGTTTCGTTTTTTCCAGTGAATTAAATATATAACACAATTAATATGTATATAAACGTATCTTTATCCAAACAACCACCAGGGGATTGGATATTTTTTTGACTATTTAACAATGAATATTGATTGATCCAAATGTCCAGCTGTTTTCTCAGTCATATTATCTAATAATTACCTAATAAATTCTTTGTTAAAATCTTACCATAAGACTTATTTTTGAATGTTTGATTTTAAATTTACCTTATCTATATCTATAGTTTATCGTACTCAATCTCTAATGACTGGTTTGACTGGTGTACCAGCTAATGAACGTATGAACAAAGTGGATTGGTTAAATTCAAATAATACAGCAGCGCCTATTACTCAGTCATCTGGTGGGAATCACCAGTTATATTGCAATGTACCTGAACATCATGATTTAGAAGATTGTCTTGGTCAGTTACAATATAAAATTGAAGAGTTATATGATCAGCATGAAACTACTCAGGTAGCTATTATTATTATTATCTTTGTCGCTTTTAAGAACCAGTTGTTTGTTTGTATTTTTATTTAGTTTAGGTCCTACATTGTTCATACTTATGGTCTTAAAGGGTTAACATTCTACTTTTCTACTTATTGTATAATAACTTAAATGAAGATATATTCACGACTTTGATTTTTTCTGGAGAACGATAACCTTTCATTTTATAATTTGGTGATTAATTTCCTTTGAACTATACTAATTCATAAATTATCCAGTGTACCAACTCTTTTAACCTGAAAACCTGATAAAATTTATGTTGCTGAATCATACTTGCAACTAGACTGGATGATATTTGTTTTTCCATAAGGTGAAGTTTAAAATGAAATTATTTTTTAATAGTCATTATCTTACTAAGGATTTGGAACCACGGTTTATGAAACTATTTTTAATCCTATAATATCAATACTGCATATTTCATTAACTAATTAATGCCCTTATTCTATCTATCTAAGTTATTGGAAATAACTGGTTTATTTGGTTTCGTTTCTAAAGATAAATTTAGTGACCATAATATTGGGAATATATTTGCTGTTTGATGAATGTTTTTGCATATCTTGCACATTAAAGCAATGTCTCTATTTTTTCACCCAAAATACATTTGTTTGTATGAGTTTGTAATCCCCTATTGTTATTATTCAAGACTGGAATCAATCAGTGTGCTATCATATATCCTTCGGTTTGCCTCAGGATATCTGCTTCATGAAGAAGTATATATTTAGTTCCACTTTCATTCTTTCGTATTAGTATTTTTGTATTCTTGTCTGGTATGGAAACTCTTTGAAACATGTTCACTTGGTTCTTTCAACATGGAAGAAGGACAAATCAAACTAGTCTAGCATCTAACTCGGTTTAATCGTATAACTTTGATACTATGTTATTAAGGTCCATCAACTATGTTTTCGTTTACTGAATTATGCAGTGAACTTATATTTTATTCATTGTTAAATATTCTTCTATAATGATTGAATTATACACCTAGCTCCATTAATACAAAGAAGCTATTATATGTATATATGTAACTTGTAACGCAGGTGTTTTTTACCAACCACTTTTTAGCTTTTATAGGATACCCGCAATAAGGCAGCATAGAGATTATGTTTCATAGTGATCTGATTAAGTGGTCCCTTACAACTTTGTCTCCACTATCATCCTTTTATATATTCGTCATTTCCAAGTGACTTGATATATTAAACGTTCTCCATTTGGAAATTGTATATCTTTGGAGATTTCACAGTTTTAAGAATGAAACTGTCAAAAATAGGTCTCAATTGCTGAATCACTTTTTTTTGCCTTATGTTCCTATTAGTGTTTTCAGTATAATTCTTCGCTATTTTTAACTATTTTCATTCATGTTACATCTAACATTCTACGGTGTGTGATATGATTTTTCATTAAAACCAACATAAAGTGGCTGTATATAGAAATTGAGCGAAAATATAACTTCTTTGAGAATTAGTATTAATTGAGATTTATTGTAATCAACAGTAACAGCACCTATTATGAATTCATTTTGTATTGTTTGTTTGAATCCTCCCATTAATGTCCAGAACTGCAATTGATCAATCTTTTATTAGCATATGTGCATCTTGTACAGACTGCTTCCATATTGTCTTAAGTCACAAGCGATACAAGCAGAGGTGGACTGTAGAGTCCAGGATTCGCGTTTCGTCTTATTTGGGCCTCGTAAGCTGAATGTATCATCCATTTCTGCTTATACTACTTATTATAAAGTTTTTTTGCTGGCATAAAAGCAGCACATAGTAAAAAATTCTGTCTTTTTATAAGGAAAAACTATTTGAGACCAATTATTTAAGTTGTGTATATTTAATCTGGAATTCACAGTTTCTACTTTAAATATGTTTCATAGATTTACAGTGTTTACGAGGATTTCTTAATCTATTTTTAGCCGTATCGAATAGATAGAATAATATCTTCCTTTTTTATATCAAATAAACGTAAGCATTATTTCATATATCCATAGCGTCTCCATGGTTATAATAAATGAATCAATTTATGAAAAATCAATTCATTCTGAACAAATTCTTGTTTATTTTCTTTCAATATGGATAAATATCTGTAGATTGGCTGCTACTACAATGACACTGTAAACTAATACAACCACAGTTAATTGTTGTTTGAAATTTTAATCGTTTCATTGCTAACTTAATATAAATCTCATTGCTTTAATTACACAGAAAGACTACTATATAAGACGAGATTATTGATTGTCATCCATAACATTAGCCCATCATTTATTCAGAGATTATGGTGTTAACTTACATTGGTCAATCATCGAGTAATATGACCAATGTTATGTTTGTCTAGTTTTTACTTCCAATCAATTTCTCATGATAGAATTCGTCAAAACTCTGACAATTACTTAGTAAGCAATTAGTATAAGTATCTCAGTTTCACAGAAGGTCAGTCAAGGTCTGAATAACTCAGTGGTGGTTTTTCAGATCACGAAACTGGTTGACCCTGGTTTAAGCCTACCAGGGAGCATCAATTGCGTAAAGATTCCTGGTACCTACCCTGTGATAACGAATGACTATTAGTATGAGATTGAGGTTCACGGTATCCTGATGGCTAACTACAAACAGTTAACGTGGTGTTAACGTCTATAAAAGAGAAATTGTGTAAATGATTGTTAGCTTTTGTTATAGAGCTTTTTTAAGAACTTTTTTAAAACTTTAACGTGCTGACCACATAACAGTTCAATATCCTAGGTACTGTAATAAAATAGTTGTGGCCTTCCTTCACCAAGACGTTGTAGTTGTCCACTACATTTCGTTTTCATTTGTTTTTCAACTGAAATTTAAATAATGTTATAAAGATGGTTCTAAATGATTTTCTTATTTAAAAATGATAACCATTTGCTCAAAGTTACGTTACACATTATTCCGGTCTTCACAATTATTATATTCATGAATTATAATCTGTGATTACTGTTGTCATTTAATATGAACAATTAAATAGAGCTCTCTAACTAACGGGTATATGTTGACAAAAGCCTGAATATATAAAAATAACCCGGAATATGTAGATATTCAATTCCACATTTCTGTAGAAGTTATGCAAAATAAAAGTGCTTATTTTAAAACTTTTTTCTGTAATCATTTGGTATGAGCTTGAATATATGTTAATAATTAACGTACATAAATTCCCAAACTCTATCTACATGATGTAAATTTGTATAGTTTACAATAATTGAAATAGGATTTACCGTAGATGCGTTACTCGATCTATATAGATCATCCTATTAATATCAATAATATTATTATTATTCTATTTCGTTTAATTTACTTAATGTTGTGTTTAGTTAATGGAATTTTCTAATGGTGAATGTGATTTCTGCAACCTTAGTAAACCAATGCGCACAACTGAGTAGTCCCATTCTAAGGCTCAACGGCCGTCCAGTGCTTTCGGGTTTTCAGTGGTGGTCTAGCTTAAAATCGACTCATGAATTCAACTACTAAAATTACTACAATCTCCGCAAATCCCCATTCTGATATTAATTTTTAGTTGAAAATGAAAAAGTCAATTACACTTCGATGATATTTCATACTAAAATTTCCGAATATACTATCCAATCGATTATTGTTGCCAGTGGCTATTGTAGGAGAAGTTTCTCAAATTAATAATAGCTTTAATTCAAACACTATATCGCGACCAATGGAGCTTATAAACTAATTGTTTTATTCTAAGTCTATAATTAACTGATAATTATCGTCGGTAAAACGTGTGTACTTTGTAATGTTAAATAGTTAGTTCCCTTGATAAATCTATAATGAAATAAGAAGACGAATTTAATTAGAATTATGCTAGCGCAATTTGTTTTGAGCAACGTGACCTAATATTTATTTGTTTAGAAAAAAGTAAAGGTCAGAGTAGACAAATTAGAAGAGTAATGTCAAAAGTAGGTTTTGTGGATATTATGGTCATTTCAATAGTTGAGATCATGAATCAATTGTGAAGCTAGATCACCATGGAAAACCTGGAAGCACTGGACGGTCGTTTCGTCCTATTGTGGGAAAGAAAACAAAACGAATCATGCTGCACAAAATAGTAAATCATTATTATCAGAATAGGTTCAAAGTGAATACAACCTGTTATTTTGAGCATATGAAAGAGGTTTGAAATGTTGTATGACTAAAGCTTCTATAAATATTCTTATTCATTTTTATACACTTCTATACACCATCACAAAGTTTAGTTTGATATCGTTTATATGTTCCTTCTTAAGTAAATGTTAATGGAGTAAGGAATATGTTTGCTTCATATGTACTCTTATTAAATCATTGGATGTAACCAATGATTCGAGACTTTGAATGACATGACTGAAAGTCATTTGCAATAGGGTAGGTGCATTCATTTTTTGTCTTTCCCCGAAATTCTGAGGTTCTAAATTCCCCATAACTTGTTTTGTTTTTATTTCGCTAATTTATATTTTCTTTCCAAGTCTCATCTTCGATGCTTAATCATTTATACCATCACTCATACTGTTACCACCTCGACTATTCTGGGACATCTTTTTGTGCTTATTAGGTATGACAGCTCGAATAGATGTACATACATACAAGTTCTACGTTGTGACTGACTGACTAACTAACTAAACCATTAAAATTGATTTGTTTTTTTGCCATTTACTTACATATTTAGTAAATGTAAATTTCTCGAAATATACAATATTTTAATCTACTACCATACTTTTGATAAACTTCATCTACTCACTACATTATTTAAATATACTTTATAACTATTCTGTTTTGTATTCAATTACGTAAAATTAATTTCATTATTGATATAAGTTGATCCTGTTTGTTTTTTGTTTTTTTTTTTGAGGAAAAAAATAATTAACAATCTATCCATCCATTTATTGTACAGATATACCTTATTTGAAAACAATGTTATCGTATTAATTTCATTCATAGAAGAGAAGTGAATAAACAAACTTTTACGTTTGAGGAATAAAACGTTTGACTTATATGTTTATTCGTTATTTTTTTAAAAAAAATTAATGATTCTTATCACTATGGTGATAATAATTTAATTACTATCCTTAATCGTAAAATTTTTATGATAAATACATTAGTTTTCATGTTTTCATGATTAAACGTTGTTATAATTAAAAGAATTATTTATTTTTTCTTATTCATTTTGTTCAGAATAAATTGCGGCATAATATGAAAATACGCAGAAAATTAGAATGTCAACTAGAGGTAATTGTGTAGTAGATATCTTGTAATTGTCTTATATCATTGTAATTATTACATAATAATTAGTTCGTTTATTTTTTATTTTCTCGTTTATTGAACACATGAATCTTTATTGTTTATCCCTTATTCTGTATTCTTTTGCCATAGTGTATTAATTTATTCGAACGATCGATTTACCATCGTATTATTATAGATGAATTATTTCTGGTTCGTTAATTATTTATCACAATGGTACTAGTGTAGTAAACGATAAACTCAGGTGGGGAAAGCTAATTTATTGTTCCGTGTAAAATTACACAGCGCTTTCATAAAATATGAAAATAATACATTAAATACATTATTTGCACGTCTTCCTTCAGTTACCTTGTGCATACTTCTTCATTCTTCTAATTTCTCTCTTTTTATCTTTCCCTTCTATTTATTTCAATCTTCTACTGGCAGACATTCCACTTCCGATTGGTGCTACATACTACTTCTATCTGTCGGCATAAGTAGCATGCACCACATGAGGACAGTTTTTTAGATCATATCTCTTCAATTTTCCTTTAACAAATATTTATAACTTTTAGCTTGGGGTTGTGGAGGTTGTTGAATTTTATTGAAATCATGAATCAGTCAATGTTAGACCACCGTTGAGAACGAAAAAACATTGGACTTCCCAGTAGTGTGCACCCAAGATTCCTTGCGATGGATTCGAACCTGGACTCGTCAGTCTCTAGTGAACTCTCAACCTCCAGACCACTGAACCTAGTAAGGGGTCGTGAAAAGTGAAGTTCAACCCTATTGATGTGAGGCCGTTACCCACCGAAGACTATCGAAAATGGTTGTGCTGCATTGTGGCCTGGCTGAAGTTAGATATTAACACCGTTGAATACCGTCTCAGCGGTCTAAAGGTTAAGCGTGTGTGTGCGAGATCGAAGGTCCTATTTTTGAATCCTGCGTGTGGAACTGTGGATCTGCACTGCTGAATGGTCCCAAATTAGGACAAAACGGCCGTCCAATACTTTCAGATATTCAATGGGAGTCTAAGATTGTTCATTATTTCAATGAAATACTTATGAACAAAGTGTTCACAGATCAACCTACAAATATTAATCTGAGTCTCTATCGTATTAATCATCCAATTAAATATACAGATGAAGTATTTTTGTAATGAATACCAAATGATTCCTTATTGTTTACGTTTGGGCCCATGGAAATTAATCTACTTTTTCTTTAAATTTTATTCATTATACTTTAATCTTCAGAATAATGGGTGTATTATTATTTACAATCAGCTGATCAATATGCAACGCCATATTTGTTCAGATTATTTCAATTAGCTATCTTCTTTTTTCTTAAAATAATACGAATTTCAATATACATTCATGATAAAAATTCTATACTATTTATTCCAAAACAACAATTAGCAGAGAATAACATGAATTCATCGTAGTTCGTGATCTGTCGTTGCTATGCCAGTTTCCACTATCAGTGTGTATTGTTACATTTTAATAAGAATACGGTTGTAAACATCTGATGAGAAATCATGAACTATGATGAATTCATATTATTCTGCCTTAATTATGGTTTTGGCTTCATTTCATTTTCTGTGTTCATTTTGAAGAATCAGATCGTCATTAGTCAGTATTATTTAAAAATTTCTGAATGATCACTACTCTTACATCTTTCTTCATCCTATTATTTTTCTTTTTTTTTCTTGATAAATAGGAACAAGATTCTATTTTAAATCGATTAAAATCGGAATTAATGTCCTGTCAAGAAGACTTGAAAATAGCAAAACAAGATGTTACACGTTTATCGAGTGAAAAGGAGTAAGTTGTAGTCGATTATGTAACATTGTTTTATTACTCATGGTGTCTGTTATAGTTATACAGATATACTTTTAAGTATATTCAATGGGTTAAATGTATGTGATATTTAAAGCTGATAACTGTAGTTGTTGTAACAAACTGATAATGTTCAACTGATATGTTCATACGCTATTTTTTCCCTCAGGATCCTGTAGCCTATATGCCCTATTGTTTTGGGATCAGGGTTTTCCAACTTCTCTAGACGTGTCCTCCATATCCACCAACGTGGTTAAAGCGTCAAACATTCACTTTTTATCCTCTAAATTTCGTAGACAACACTCCCTCCACGAAAAGACTGTGAGTAGGGCTTCCGTGACAATGCTTATATACATGTGGCCATGTGAGAGTATTTCATGAGGAAGAGTCAACTCTCCCCACCCTCGACTGTACCAGAACACTTTTTAAAATTAGCAAGTTAGAGAATTATTTACTTTATTATTGAGATTGAATGCCCTGGTACGGCCGAGAGTGGGGAGAGTCCGCTCTCCCTCTCGAAATACTCTCACACGGCCGCGCGTATACAGCCTCTGCCAGGGAAGTCCTACTCATTGCCTTCTCGTGGCGGGGTTGTTGTTTACGAAAATGAGAGGACGAAAAGCGAATGTCCGGCGCTTTAACCGGATCACAAACCAATGGTGCACATGGGCTCCAGTATCCTGCGGGAACAAATGGCGTATGAACCAATCGTTGGTCACCGGCTACCATGGGATTGCATCTCCTTACGATGCTCCACTGCCTTGTGGATCAGACCTTCAGGTCTAAGGCTCGGGGAGTGGCCCCCTAAGATAACCACCTGCTTCGGTTTGGGCACCCGGGCAGTATCACAGCCCACACACAAATGATGAACTCTTTGTGTCTATGGAAATTACTTTTCTTGCTTCGAAAAACAACCAACTGATTCAAATTATTATCATTACAATTATTGTCATTATTAATACTATTATTATTATTACTATTCTTGTCATTATTATTATTATTATTATTATTATTATTATTATTATCCACATTATTCACCCTCTTTTATACTTATACAGCGGCTCGTCTTTGGTGGAAATCCGACTGTATCTAAACGTTCTCGAGTCACTGTCCGGTTGAAAATTGTATGTTACCACCGAATACAAGGACTGAAGCAGTTTTTCTGAAACCACGTGCACCATTCAAACTGGCTCCCTTCAACGTTCGCACACTTATGCAGGTCGGACAACAGATAGGGCTGGCTATGTCTTTGGAAAGTCTTAATATTGATGTTTGTTGTCTATCCGAGACCCGTATTCAAGACTCTGGTGAAGTATTACAAATTCGATCTCCATATGTCGCTTCGAAAAGCTTGTTTTACGTGCGCTTATCCGGGGACCCTGTGGCATCTTCGTCTGGTCTTGCTGGCGTTGGTGTCGCACTAAGCGCTAGAGCTGAGGCAGCACTAGTCGATTGGATCCCCATTAACAGTCGGTTATGTGCTGTTAGATTAGAAAGTCCCATAAAAGTGAGAAGAAATGGGTGTGAGAAACGATGTCTTTTCGTCATCTCCGCCTATGCCCCGACAGATTGCAGCCCGGATGCAATCAAGGATGAGTTTTATTACCAGTTATCTGTTCTTCTCCAGAAAGTGCGTTCGACAGATATTGTAGTACTAGCCGGAGACTTGAATTATCGGGTCGGGCGTCTAGGCACAGAAGAGAGTCGTTTAGGTGGCCGATGGGGACTCGTTGGTCGCAGGTCAGATAACGGGGACCGTCTACTGCAGTTGTGCACAGACCACAACCTGTTTCTGGCTAGCACTAACTTTCGGCACAGTCATCGCCGATGTGCCACCTGGCGTCCTCCCTCTGCATCTCAAGCCTGGACTCAGATTGATCACATCGCGATCAGCTACCGCTGGCGTGGTTGTGTAAAAGACTGCCGCTCCTTTTGGAGTACCTGTCTGGACTCTGACCATGCCTTGGTCTGCGCCAATCTTGCCTTACTTTTCAGTGGACAACGAAGTGACCGCCATCAACGGATTGATATTAGCAAGCTGGTTGCAACTTCTGTTGCAAGTAAGTATCGAACAGAGCTAGCCTCTAGGCTAGCTACCACTCCACCGAAAAGTATAAATGAGCATTGGTTGCAATTGCATGACGCCATGAAAGTGGCGGGAACAGTCAGTTGTGGGTTCGCGAAACGTCCCGCTTTTAAGCACTGGGTTTCTTCTGGTTCCTTACAACTCATTGAAGCCCGTCGGTCTACTCCGGGTGACCGTGAGTTTGACCATAAACGAAGGATGTTACGTAATGAAATTGGGCGAAGCTTGCGTAAGGACCGAGAAGCCTGGTGGTCGAAGCGTGCTAATGAGCTGGAAGCAGCAGCTGCATCTGGTAACTACCGGAAGCTCTTCCAGCTCATCCGAGCCACTGGCAGCAAGAAGTCTGGTGTGAGTGAAACAATCTGCGAGGATGATGGGATGCCAATTACTAACATCCATCGACGTCTTGGACGATGGGCAGAATTTTTCGAAGGGCAGTTCAACTGGCCTGCTGCTCCGGCAACATCGGTCAGACTGCCCTGCCCTCCATGGCCGGTGACGACTGATCCACCAAACGAGGAGGAAGTCCGCAAGGAACTCCAACTCTTGAAGCGTTACAAATCACCTGGCCCAGATGACTTACCTCCGGCTCTTTTTAAAGATGGTGGTGACTTTTTGACTAAGGAATTGACGACGTTGTTTACAAAGGTTTGGGAACTAGAGAGTGTACCAACGTCATGGAATGAGTCGATAGTTGTCCCTATCTTTAAAAAGGGTTCACGTCGTTCCTGTAACAACTATCGGGGGATAAGTTTACTTCCGATTGCGTCCAAGCTATTGGCTTCCGTCATACTTCGTAGGTTGTTCAAAACCCGAGAAAGATTGACTCGCGAGGAGCAGGCTGGGTTTCGTTCTGGTCGAGGATGTATTGATCATATCTTCACCCTCCGCCAAATGTTAGAACACCGCCATACTTATCAAAGGCCAACAATCGTAGTGTTTCTTGACATCAGGGCTGCCTTCGATTCGTTGGACAGGGCTGTTCTCTGGGATTGTCTATTGAAGAAGGGTGTGCCTGAGAAGTTTATTAACATCCTAAAAGCCCTATATACAAACACCTCAGGCAGAGTGAGGGCATACAACCACCTCTCTCCATTGTTCCATTCGAGCAGTGGGGTTAGGCAGGGTTGCCCAATCTCACCATTCCTCTTCAACTTTGCCATCGATGACATTCTGGAAACAGCTCTGATGAATGTAAGTAATGGTGGTGTGGATCTGTTGCCTGGAGAAAGACTTCTCGACCTTGAGTATGCGGACGATATTGTCTTACTGTGCGATAATGCCCAAGGCATGCAATCCGCACTTAATCAGTTGGCAATCAGTGTCCGTAGGTATGGTATGTGCTTTGCACCTTCGAAGTGCAAAGTACTTCTACAAGACTGGCAGGATTCCAATCCTGTACTCACCCTGGATGGTGAGCAGATAGACGTAGTCGAGAAGTTCGTGTATCTGGGTAGCTGCATAAGTGCTGGTGGGGGTGTAAGTGATGAGATCAATGCACGAATAGTGAAAGCCAGAGCGGCTTATGCCAATCTGGGCCACCTTTGGCGCCTTCGTGATGTTAGTCTGGCTGTAAAAGGTCGGATCTACAACGCGTCGGTGAGAGCAGTTTTGCTCTATGCTTGTGGAACCTGGTCTCTCCGAGTTGAGGACGTTAGACGACTCTCTGTGTTCGATCATCGCTGTCTCCGAAGGATTGCTGACATTCAGTGGCAACACCATGTCAGTAATGCAGAGGTTCGGCATCGTGTGTTCGGGCACAGAGATGATAATTCAATTGGTGTCACCATTTTGAAACACCGACTTCGGTGGCTTGGACATGTTCTCCGAATGTCGTCCCAGAGAATTCCACGTCGTGCATTATTTGCCGACTCTGGGACTGGTTGGAAGAAGCGGAGAGGTGGTCAGTGCATGACATAGTGTCGTGGCATGAAAGAAAGCTGCAAAGGACTGGCTTGTGTTGGTCCTTCACGACTCCCTGGTTGGGGTCTGAGAGATGGTGCTACACAGTGGCTAGAGACGTTATCAGATATGGCTCAGAATAGAAGCCAGAGGGGATCCTGCTGTAACCTTCTTTTACTTTCTTCATAAGAAGTGGTTGTGTCTCCCTTAACTGAAAGATTTCTTCTGATTGTACCTTTCCGTTCCCTCGTTACTACCACACTACCTTACACCAATCTCTTCGTTATTGTTCTCTTTTTCTTTTGCGCTCCTTAGTTTTTTTTTCTATTTCTCTTCGCATTCTTATTGTTTTGTGTAGCGCATATATATTGGCGCTCTCTTGTACCAATATTCATGTGTCCAAATAAACAAATAAATAAAATCATAGATTAATATGCATCTCTATTATTATTTAAGTATCATATCTCTTGAATTCTTCCATCACCACTTTTGTTTTCCTTGTTTACAATGCGTGATTACTGCAAGTGCACAGTAAGTGAGCCAATTACTATAAATAAATAAACTTTTAAAACCTTATCAACTGATTTAGATAGTTTACTTGGTGTCCTTTGTTAAATAGAAGCTTGATTCCGGCGTGATGATGTACAGCTTCGAAAACACATGATCGAATATTGGTAATCTTACCACATCTTTTCAGTTCAATAGTTATGTATCTCATCTCCATAATAAAGTGTCATAAACTATTGGATAGATCTCATCCGGACGAAAATTTTGTTGATCATGAATTTATTGAGGGTTTGTGAGAATTTAGATGTATGTAACTTGGTCAAAGTGAAATGTTTACTCACTGTGTAATACACATTTTTTTACTCAATATACGAGTTAAGCAAGAATCTTGTTCATTTATGTGTATACATGTGTTAGTCGACTTTACTGCGTCGAGTTCGTATTCAGTTTTCAAGCGGTACGTCTCTACGTTATCTATTTGTCTTGTTTTTACGTGGTCAGTTTGCTATATTCCTGAATAATTCATATTTTATATTTCTGTAGAGCTTCACAAAAATCAAAGCATGATCAACTAGCCGGTATAGTTACAGATCTAGCCACTCTAGAAGCCACAGTTTCCCAACGTCGTACAGAACTCACTACACTTGATACGAATATTCAAGATTCTGATCAACAGCTTTCAATAATTAAAGCACAAGTCAGTTGAAACTAATATTTTGAAGATGGCCGTTTTTTTCACACGTTTCAAATGGATTAATAGTTTTTATCTTTTAAAATTCTTACTTTATTTCCCTTAATTATCACTATAGTTCTAAGATTTGAAGTTTTTTTTGTTATTTTAATGTGTATATATTCTCATTGATAATTTCAGTTAATTCTATCTCTAGTTGATCTACTTTGACTTTTAGTGAAATATGTCTTTGATTTTAGATCAAAGTAGCTAGATTCTACAACTTAGACAAACGAAGTGATATTTTTCTATCTCTGTATGCTTCCAAGACACTATCACTCTTTCGTTATAAACACATTATTATTTATACCTAATCAATGAGAGGATAGCTTAATAGGAATTTGTAAGAATAGTATATCACAGCCCTCAATTAATTATCATAAGATAGTCGTCAGTATGGGGTTTTGGAGATTGTTGAATTTCACTAAAATCATGAGTTGAACAGTTAATTATCCTCTCATTATTGATAAATTAATTATCAGCTTACTTAAAAATCATACTTTAATTATTGGTGAATATTCTGGAAGTTGTTAGATATTTCCCTTTTCTACAGGCTAAAGAAGCTGTTTCAAAATATGAAGAGGCTAAACGTGAATATGACAATGTAAAGTCACAATTAGATATGATACGTTCGGAGAAATCATTAGCTGATGAAAATTTGGAACAGTTACGTACAAAATTATCAAACACTAAACTTCAGGTATTTAAAAGTAACAAAAAACTTCCCAAACCTTTCAGATTTTCTTTAAAAACATTTTATTTTATTTTTTCTGTCAATTTGTGTTTAGTTTGGTCTGAACATCTATACAATCGGATATTTTTTTTCTTTTCTAATTCTTATTAGTCAATTTGCATAGCGAATATGTTTCATAAGTGATAGATCCGATTCCACGACTTATAATGGCAGGTACTATGTCAAGCCCAAATAGGTTATTATAGTTTCTCCTAATTTCTTCATTCTCCTTAATCTATATTTTGACTCTGTTGATTATTCGTTTATTAACCCTGAAGTTTTTTATATGATCGTATGTGTGTTAATTTTTATCTGAATATAAATATTGTGTCGTGCTTTATGAAATGGAGTTGGCTCACATGCCTTCTCCCATCCGTTTTGCTTCGTTTCTTTGATCGTCTGTCTAGATCAACGCTTCTATGAAATATACGTATTCGAAATTTATCCTCGTATTTTGCTTATTCAATTCCGTTATTCACTAACGCGATTTAAGTCGATAATTGTATACGAAGGTATCCGGGATATATAAATCAATAATAATCGTTCGTACGGTCAAACTGGACCAAGATGTAGGGCCACTAAAGTTTTGTTATTAGTAATATTATAGCGATAGAATCCATTTTGAGAATTAAAGCTTTATTCAATGCATATTCTCAATTACTGTGGGGGAAATCACATTTTATTTATGAATTAATGGATGTATACTTCGGGTGACATTCCTTAGAGTGGGTCCTAGTGGCGCTGATACATTCACTGTTTATTTTCCTTTAGACGTTGAGCTCCAGTATTCGTCCATATATACTTTTTCATTCCATTCACTCGAATCCTGTTCTCAGTGTTTAGTCACTCTGATTATCATTAGCGTCATTAGATTTATTTCATTATTTAAATTTCAACTGAACTATTTATTATCATTTAATAGCGAATATAATTGTCCGAGTGTTACTTTTTAATATTCTGATTTACCTTTTCTATTCACCTATGACACACAGGTTGAACGATTGGAGTCAAATAAATCTAACCTTGAAAATCAACTTACACAATTAGAAGATGCTGTTAATGCAAAGAAATTAGAATATAATCAGCTGCTACCCAATTTGAGTGAATTGGAAACAAGGTATGTTAAAATAAGCTCAGCAATGATAATTCATGCAACATACTCTAAGCTGATTATTACCTTAACCGACACGTTTCGTTATGAATTCATACTTTTGTATGCTCATTCAACAGGATCGTTAATTTATCGCTTTGACTAATGATGAGTTTGTTTATACTAATGAACTTTACTCCCGACCGTTGTTGCTACCTTGACGTGGTGGTCGGGCTTGCCTATCGTGATGAAGCAACCGAGCTATACTGGCTGGAACAACCGTTCCTCAAGGTCCTACCATGTCAGACAGGTCGGTTGAAGAGCGGTAAGACTAAAAGCAACAAACCCAAGGTCCGAAGGCGAAGTCGTACTGCTGACTGTACAGAGGTGTGACAGCAGTAAGGTGTTTCCTTCAGACAACCAGCATAACAGCGATGCTGCCTTCCCACAAGGAGGGGGTGCGGTTAGAAACGGTCGACCCTAAAAATGCACACCTCACCTTACCTCACGGATTTCCTTCTCCGGCGGTAAGGTCTCGACAAGTACGGAGCTAACACAAAAATTACCCATAAAAAGGTCGTGTGTGACCGACCTCAAGCAGTTGTCCCTTGGGCACTGCGGTCACGCTCTCAGGTCACTAAGACCACTTCTAATCCGATTTCCTTTTCAGGTACCTCCAGAAGAACCCTCCCATGGTGTGGGCAACCGGGAAGTGATAACTGCCCTCATACCTCTAACAGCACTCAAGACCATTGTATTCATGACCAACCTCCCTCTTCAATTCCTATTATTCCTCCTACATCAACTTCAAACTCTAAACTTCTTTTTTCGGCTCCCCCCTCAAGTGTCACCATAGCCAACGATTCTAGTGCGCAAAACACTTTCTCAGGTCTACTGAAACCTCGCTCCACACTACACATTGGAGCCTTCAATGTACGCACCCTATGTCAAATCGGTCAGCAGGCTTCCTTGGCTAAAACCCTAGAATCCCTTACCATTGATGTATGCTGTGTCTCCGAAACACGCATACAGGGTCCCAGGGTGGTCATTCATTTGGCTTCACTTCGGCAAAACGTAGAGCCAACGAGATACACCCTCCGTGTATCTGGTGACCCGATGGCCAGCTCTCGTGGACTGGCAGGAGTAGGGATAGCACTAAGCATGAGGGCGGAACAAGCACTGTTAGAATGGATCCCCGTCAACAGTCGTTTATGTGCTGTTCGGCTAAACGGCTCCGTAAGAACTCGGAAGGATAGGGACACACGTCGCTGCCTTTTAGTCGTTTCTGCCTACGCTCCCACCGACTGCAGCTCAGATGAAATGAAAGATGAATTTTACAGAAAGCTATCTGAACTTCTTCAGAAAGCTAAACGTTCAGACATAGTACTCGTAGCAGGTGACTTTAATGCCCAGATAGGTAGTTTAAACCAAACAGAAAGGCATTTAGGTGGGTATTTTAGTATACCGACACAGCGAACAGATAATGGTGATCGTCTGCTGCAACTGTGCTCAGACAATCGTTTATTTTTAGCAAACACAAATTTTAAGCATAAGGAGAGACATCGTCTAACATGGCGACCCCTCACACCAAACCAACGATGGACTCAAATAGACCATATTGCCATCAGTCATCGTTGGAGAGGGTCGGTACAAGATTCTCGCTCATTCTGGAGTACCTGCTTGGACTTCGACCACGCCCTAATACGGGCACGCATCTGCTTGCGCCTCACTGGACGCAAAAAAGCCACATTAAAAAGACCCATTAGAACTGAATTGAGTGGCGAGAAAACCAAAAGTAGGTTCCAGGAACAACTGAGGTCACAATTAGGTAGTTCTGAAGACGAGGCTGACCCAGATGTTGCTTGGAAGGGCATACAATCAGCTGTGGAAACAGCAGTGACATCTATTAGTGACTTAAACCACAGAGTTGCAAGGAACCAGTGGATTTCTTCAAGGTCTGTCACACTGATGGATTCTCGCAAACTCGTCCCATCAGGTTCTGAACATGATGAAGAGCGTAAACAAATCAGATCTAGGTTAAGAGAAAGTCTAAGGAACGACCGTGAGCAGTGGTGGGTAACGAAAGCAAAAGAGATGGAAAAGGCGGCGACTATAGGGAACACAAGACAGCTTTAGAGACTAATAAAAGAAACTGGAATTAATAAGTCAAGTGTAAGTGAGATTATTTCGGAAAAAGATGATACTCTCATCTGCTCCCAGTCCAGACGTTCAGAACGATAGGCGGAACATTTTAGAGAACAGTTCAGCTGGCCTTCAGCTACTCTACAACTACCCTCCATTCCCAGACAGTGTGAATGGAACATTGAAGTAGGTCCCTCAACTCTTGCTGAAGTTCAAAAGACTATAGTTAATCTGAAACGAGGAAGGGCAGCTGGTCCAGATGGATTGGCTCCAGAGGTCTTTTAGGATGGTGGTCCAATTTTAGCGATTAGGTTGACTAATATTTTAGCTAAGATCTGGGAGTTAGACGTTATTCCATCTGACTGGTCACAATCACTTATCGTCCCAATATATAAGAAAGGGTCAAAATCATCCTGTGACAACCACAGAGGGATTAGTTTAACTAATATAATATCTAAAATACTAGCCTCGATAATTATCAGACGCCTAACTAAGACTCGTGAACTGCAAACACGAGAGAACCAAGCTGACTTCAGACCTGGTCGTGGCTGCATCGACCACATATTCATCATTCGTCAGGTTCTAGAACATAGGCATACTTATCGGCGTCCTACAATGGTGGTCTTTCTTGACTTGAAAGCAGCATTTGACTCGATAGACCGCGAGATTCTGTGGCAGTGTCTGTCATTTAAAGGCGTACCTCAGAAGTACATAAACCTTGTGAAGGCTCTTTACTCGAACACTACTAGTCGAGTGAGAGCTTATGGCGAACTGTCATCTACTTTTGCAACCTCAAGTGGTGTCCGTCAAGGCTGTCCACTTTCTCCATTTCTGTTTAACTTCATCATAGACCTACTGATGAAAATAACATTCTCGTCGACTGAATTCTCGGGTATTGATCTCTTTCCAGGAGGTCCATTCATCGACTTAGAATACGCAGATGACATAGTCCTGTTTGATGGAGACACTGATAAAATGCAGTCTTTTGGTAGCAACAATGCCAGGATGTTTGGGATGCGCTTCCGCCCCTCTAAATGCAAGTTATTGCTTCAGGACTGGGCTGCGTCAACTCCTGAACTAAAGATAGGGATTGAAGTAGTTGAACGCGTTCACAACTTCACTTATCTCGGATGTCTGATCAGCCCTAATGGGCTGACGTCTGACGAAATCTCAGCATGGATTCGAAAAGCTCGTTCGGCATTTGCCAACTTACGTCACCTATGGCGAAGGCGAGATATCCGTCTATCAATTAAGGGACGAGTATACTGCGCGGCAGTCCGTTCTGTTTTAATTTATGGTAGCGAAACATGGCCATTAAGAGTAGAAGACACTCGTAAGCTACTAGTATTTGACCACAGATGCCTTAGAAATATTGCTGGCATCTGCTGGGATCACCGGGTAAGTAATAGTGAGTTTAGACGCAGGGTATTGGGGAATGATGGTAAATCAGTTGATGAGGTTGTGAATCTTCATCGACTGAGATGGTTGGGCCACGTGTTACGTATGCCTGAACACCGATTACCACGACGTGCAATGCTAACAGGTGTTAGAGATGGTTGGAAGACAGTTAGGGGCGGCTAAACCAAAACGTGGCATCAGTGCTTGAAGTCACTAACTTCTAGTCTGAGCCATGTTGGTAGATACAGACTACTTGGTTGGGGTCCACGTGATTATCGTAACCAATAGTTGGAGACTCTGGGTGACATGGCTCAGAATCGATCACAATGGCGTCGGTGTACACACTCTCTGTCTTCCCTTAAACTAAGAGATTAAAATCACTTCATATCTTTCTTTCTACGAACTAATTCTTTCTTCTTGTACTATATCTCTATATGCAATCTTTCTCTTATATATTACCACCTCTGAATCCGGTGTCCATCTTGTTGTGCGAATGCGGTATGGCAACCTGGACCGATGCATATATGTGCCTGGTCCTACGTTGTAGCTGACTGACTGACTGTATGAATGAACTTTATCTGTTTTACCAACTAATCTACTGACGCTTATTGATCCACTCAACTTCCATCTACCATTAATCTGACTAATGAGAAGAGGAAAACAGCAAACCGATATGCACTGTATATTATAAATGATTCAAAACTCACACGTTGATGTGTGCCAACTATAAAACCACAACACACCACACATTTTAAAAAACCATCTTTAGGTAGATAGATCATTTATAGTATAAAAGTGAGTAACAAGTGTATAATTAATGAATCAAATGAAAGCTTACCCTTAAATCAATGGAACAATACTGTAAACGAAATAATTAATAAATACGTAGTAAAAAAATATATCGTAACCTATTATAGCATAGTCTTTGAGTTGTTAAGTTCAAAAACAACAAAAACGAAACTAAAAAAATTTAAAAAAAAAAACGAATGGAAGTTTGAAAAGTAGTTCTGTTGAGGTAAATCTTATACCGATGGCCAAGGCAGCGAAAGTGGTTGTACAAATCTATTTTGAATTCAAAGGTTAGGTTTGTGAACATGGATCGCGATGACTTCCGCAATGTGCAAAAGGCGCACTCGTAAACCATGTGGCAAATTTGATGGGACATGATAGATAACCTTAAAAGCTTTATTCAATTCAACTTGATGACCTGTGTCAACCAAGTGAGAGAGAATAGAACTTTTAATCACTTTTACCTTCAATGATTATGACGATAATCATTTAATAAATAACAGTTTATTTTTCAACCAATGGATAACGAGATTTTTATTGTAACTAATATTACATCGAAAGTAGCATTAATAATAAAAATGGAACCGCTCTATTTAGAACATTTCATAGAATTTAATATGAAAAAACAAAGAAAAATTTCAATAAACAGTTGTTTTTAATAATTTCATCATTAGGCTTTACAGTTATAAGTTCATAATTATTGTGATATATACAAAGACCATAATAAGAAATGTATTAATGAATTTATATGTTAGAAATGGTGAACGTTTGCCTCCGTTACGACACGAATACTTCAAAAGTGTGCTATTTGTCGTAAAGTGTCAAATTATAATCAATATAACAGTAATATGATAAAGAGTCGTGTGAATAAAATGTAAACTTAGTGAGCTTCATCTTACTAATCGAGGTAATAATAATAATAATAACGCACAAATATAATATTTAATAAGAGAGGTGTTATCAAGTTAATTACGATAAAAAAGAATTCACATGAATTAGGGGAGATGAACGTGAAGATTAAGAAAGATATAAGCATCAAAGGAATTGGAAAAGGAAAATAAGACGTTTATAATATCCAGTCTATATATCTGCGGATCCAGTCATGGAACAAGTTAAAGGCTGAATATGGGTATAACTCCTCTGGATACATAAGTTTTGTTTTCTAGAGTTATTCCAGATGGCTTTACTATGTAGAGTAACCGTAATCTAGCTCCTCTAGATAGATTGTTTGAAATTTGATATAAAACAATGAAAGTTTCATCCATTTTAATAGAATGTTCATTATCTACCAAGTGAGAGATAATGGCGCTGTTCATCGTTTTAGTGACTCCTTTTCCCAACCACCTTAGTACATGTTCGTGGGTACGCCTTATTTTGACCTTTATAAAATATCGCAATAATTGTTGAATTATTACTGTAGAGCTTGATGATAGAGTTATTTAAAAATAATTGTTTTCTCAAACATTCTTTCTTTTTAAATTTAATATACCTTTTTATTTTATCAAATTTTCATTGTACACACACTCGCTTTGTTTATTTTTCTAGATTTATTATGGAGTTAAATATGTGTTGCGTTGACTACTAACCTATAATTTAATGAATTAAAATGTTATTTTACTCACAGACACTGTTTGTCTAGTCAAATAAACTATATTTTTAAAATATATATGAAAGAAAATATAATTTTATTTTTCATTTATATATATATTCTCTATAGGTTAACCCGCACTCAGCATGATATTCAAATTGGTGCTGAACGTATACGTAGTGATCAACACTTAAGATTAGAAGATGAAAAATTATCAGCTACACGTCAAGCTGAATTAACTCGGCTAGCTAGACAAGTAGGTTTATATATATATATACTTAGCTAACCATAATGATTATAATATATATCTGTTTATAACTGTGCATCATATTTTGAACATTTTATGTTATATCATTTTTTAAAGTGTTTTTCCTGTTTCATTGTATTACTTCGTAGAATGAGTGATAAAATTATTCACGGTATGATTGTTTCATACATTAATCCCATCCACTTAGCTAGATACATCTGCAAGATACATTTTATTTTTCTTATAGTCAGTTACCAGTTATTTGTAAATAAACATTGTGAATTATTTCTTTCTTAATCTCAAAGAAAAAAATAATTTTTGCCCCTGTCAATTATTACGTGATAAGATCACCAATCAGAACACCGACTTATACGACCTTGATACTGTGCCAAACCAATAACGCTTTAACCAGTACGAGCAGCTTCGAGTCATCTCTGAGTTCTTATTTGTCCTTCTCGCTTAACCCTGTCTGTTTGAGTCCAGAACACAATCTCACTTTCCACTGTATTAACCATGTATGTCAGACATACTCAGTTTATATACAAGCAAATTAGACCGCATCACAATATAAAATGAAAAAATAATGATTACGCAAGATCAAACCAAAAGTGGTTGTGTATGTGAGAGACTGTAACTAATAAATTGGGAATAAATTAGTAATAGTGAATCGTATAATAATGGTCACTAGGTCAAATGGAAGCTTATGGTAAGAGGAATATGAAAATACATATAATCTAGTTACTTAAAAGTTATGCATATATATATATATATAAGGTATACATTTCTCTGTTGTTTCAATTTATAGTTTATCATAAGTGTTCTTATTACATACTTTATACTTCCGCTTTTCTAATTTTGACTGTGATGTATTTATTTATAAAAGGAAGTGAAGTGATATTCTCGTTTCATAATTTTAATACATAAAAATTAAGAAAAATTCGTGTTGTAGGCTTTTTCCTTGCTTCTCATAATTTAGTTATTTTAACTTTTAGTGTATATAATCTTTTGTACTTCTTTCATTATCTTTTTTCATTCTCCCTCTTTCCTCTCTATTGTTTTTTTGTTTTCCTCATATTTGCGATTTACTTGTGTTTGTTTCGTTTTGATCATACAAAGTGTGTTTATGAAGTGGACTGTAATCTATGGTGACTATATCTGACTTTGTATCCAAGATATGGAAATTTAATGGGCATCCATATATATAATTAGATGTGTTTAATCACAGTGAACAATCATTCTTTCAGAATAGGTGATTTTGAAAATTGCGGAACTTCACAGTTTTACATAAGTGATTGACTTTAGATATGTTGAAGTTAGATATATTGAATATTGGGTGCCACTCTAGTGATTTGAACATCAAGCGCTCCTGGGTTTGGTCCCTGGTGGGGTTTGTGGATTTATACTACTGATTATTTTCATACTAGAACGAAAATGACTATACAGTGCTCCATTGTTTTCAATCCCAAATCACTTTTTGATATAAACTATATTGTACCAAAATATAATACTGAATAACGTCATTAATAATAATAATAATAATAATAATAATAATAATAATAATAATATCTCGTTTTGTTTTGTAGGAGTTTTTAGCTAGAATTAAACTTCGTCTCAGTGTATGCGAGCGTTTCTATTGAGATTTGTACGCCGCATCTGCTATTTCAAACTTTGACATATTAATTAATTAATTAACTGTCGATTAACGGTTCTCACTTCTTATTCAAGTATGGGTGTCTGTTTTTTTGCTGTTAATTTCCCAGTACTCCATTTGTCATCTATTGTTCTCTCATTGTTTGGTCATATTTTTCACTGTTATCACTCGATCATGCTTATAATTGGTTAGCCCTGAATATTAACATTTCGATTAAATTTTCGACAAAACTGATACATGAAATTTTTAAAAGTCATTAAGTTGTATACTGAAGAAAAACAAGTGTTTCATACATTCATGGAGGGCGAACATGATATTTTTTATTTATTAGCTTTATTCGATATCATATTTTTGGTAAAATATAGAATTCTTAGTACAAAGTATTTCAGCGAGTTTCCGTTTCTTATTTCTTGATCGATATTGACGATTTATATCGAGTGGTCGCTATTTAGATATTAGTAATTCAGAAGTCGACATCTGAATAATATTCATTCTTTTCCATGCACATTGCAAGCTATCACGATGTCTCTGATTGTACATTTTTGTAACTTGTACAGTGAAAGGTGGTAAACATTTCACAAACGCACCTGAATAGGTTATGCAATTAATTGACATAATGATCTGTTAATACAAAAATATTTCACCAAAGTTGAGACTGAATGGATAGAAGGCTTTCAATAGTGCAGTTAATCGTCATTTGCTCAATAGTAGGCATGAATTCGAAACTGTTACGTTTCACCGAAGCTGCTGAAACAAATATATTTAAACCGAATTTATGTGTCCAGAAATAGTTATAAATTTTACCAACCTTATTTTTCGTGAGATTATTACGTATGACTTTGCGTTTCTTCCAGAAAATTTAATCAAAATTCAAGTATTTTCACATTTGAAATCACGAGTCGGTTTAAGTCAAACCATCATTGGAAACCTGAAGGCACTATATGACCGTTTCATTCTAGTATGCGATTTTCCAGCAGTGTGTATCTACGATCTTACACGTGGCATTCGAACTCAGAACCTTCTGTCTCCACAAGTTTCTCATACTGATAATATTCTAGTACCTTAATTATTACTTCTGAGCTTTCCTCAACTAGTCTATATAACATAATCTACCTTTAGAATATTCATATATCCAACCTATAAATAAGCGAACGACTGAACGATTTTAATTCTTCCTTATTATAGTCTCTTAATATTATTCTATCTCCATATTTTAACTCAGTTTATTCATGATGCTTCTGGTATGAAGTATATAAATTTTTTTTAATGAATAGTACTATGGTTTTAGGTTGTAAGTAACTGAGGAGCCTCCATAAACTAAATGAAATCACGTTATTCTGTTACAGTATTTGTTCTTTCTTTATTCAAGTTTATAAAAGCAAGTATCCTGACAGCTAATCACTCAAGATAAACTTAAAAGAACTATTGAAAAAACCTTATATGTTGTTAACAAACGTAATTCAATCCTGTCTTGAAAAGTCATCGACTAGATTGTAGTACAAGGAATATATGAAATTATGTGATTTTAATCAATGAATTTCTATTCTTCATTGCTAGTATGTATTTTTTCCATCAATGTAACAAACTTTTTAAATGTTATTCATTTCTGTAATATCCTTGCTTATCATATTGAAAAAAATTATACAAGTTATATTTAAGTTAATTGAAGCTAGACTACCATGGAAAACCTGGAAACACTGGACGGCCATTTCGTCCTATTGTCGGAACTCCTTAGCAGTGCACATTCACTATCCCACCTCGCGAGATTCTTGAGTAGGAAAGTATTTAAAATTTATTTACTATGAAAATTTGGTTTCATTTTCATTGTAATATTTGAGCATTTTGTTCAGTTCAACTGTATTTTAATCAAATATGTTGTATGCGTCACTCATGAACACAAAGCCTATTGTAGTTTTAAAACTTTTTCGAGATAATTAATCATACTTTGATATAAAGAAGAAAAAATCAGGAAGGTTTTAATTCTTACAAAGAGGGACTAACAACTGAAGCCCTACACATATGAACAAATCCGAATAGTATTACTAGGAGAGATGGAATACATTTAGCTGTCCCATGGCAACTAATAATTAATTAGTAAACACGAACTCCTTACTCCATTTTATGTATCTCGCATTATGTGAATAATAGAAATTACATTCAACGGTTCTAATTAGTTATCTGAATATGTTTAACAATTAACTGGAACATTAAAATAACACAAACATTCAGTTACTAATACATTCTTCCTCTTTGAATTCATCCATTTATCTCCATTTTATGCATGCTGTGACATTTTTGATTCATATCATTTATAAAAATTGTATGTTTTATGAGCAAAGATAGGTAGTGGCTAGCAGTGGAATCCAGGACGCGCGTTTCGTCCTATTTAATTTTATGAGTTGCGTAACGATCTGGGAATTTTCGGAATGAATGGCACTGTTGTTTATTTCGATTTCTGTATATTTTAAAATTATTCTGTTTTATTATGTAAAATCTTTATGTAGTCTTCTACTGAAACATTGAATCCTCAGGTAGGTTTATCACGATGACATTTGTATTTCAATCGTGATACTACTTACTATAAATCTATAAAATATATCTCAGTATCCATTTGTATTACTGTTAGAATCAATGTTACTTTTTATATCAAAATGTTAAAGTCCTCCTATATAAACAATTTTTTGAACACATTGTGTAATTGTGTGTATATGTACGTGCACCGTTGACTTTCGGTCTATAATCACACTAAAGTATATATCTATCAATATAATACCCTTCATCCCACATCCCCATAAATATAATTCTTTCATACCCATTTTCTGTGTTGTCATCACACTCCACTTTATATAACACAAATGTATCATATATTTTCATGTGAGCTATAAATCCTAAGGTTGCAATGTAATTTGACCCTATATTTCATCACTGTTTCCTGGAGCATATACATCTACATTTCCTCTTCATACGTATTCAGTATGTATCTGTGTGTAATAGCGAATGGTCAACAACATCTATCCACAGGAAGTTATCCGTGTATCGAGCACATTCTAACTATTTACACCGAATTATATTTTCTTGTAATGTAGCGTAAGTTTGGACAAAGGAATATTTTACAACAATGAAATTTTACAAACGGAAGGTAGTTCACCCTTAATTTTTTATTGATGGTTTATTTTACCAGGTATCACGCTAAGTATTATGATGTAAATACAGCTTTTTTGAATTAATCAATCGGTCGGTTTTTTTATAAAACGGTGTAACTTTTTAGATTGGATATTTATACTTGGTTATACATTATCAATATCTATGTATCATGTGCTTACAACATTTAAATTAAGAATTATATACTGAAACCGAAATGGTACATACCACTGTTGCTTTCATCACACCATGATGTTAAATTTAATCTTATGTACATGTTAAGTGGCTGAAGGTTGTCACCAAGATACCTTAATTGATCTAAGTTTCGTGATGGTTGGCGCTGGTCAATATAGCTCTAATCTTGAGGAAACTAAAACTCCTCATGGGATTCGAATTTAGGTAGCTCAGCTTCATATTGTTTCATTACCTCTGTACTACTCAGTATGCGATTGGTCCGTAAGATTGAGATATTTACGTTGATCATTATTTTATGTTGACCAATTTCATATTTGTCTGGTTCTTCGTTCCTGATTGAATTCCGTTTTTTGTATAAAAAAGTTGGAATCTCTGGAATCATATACTTCTTTTCCTATGATTCATTTAAGTCAGTTGTTAAATTGCTCCTACAGAGAGATTTCAATGTATTGTTTCTGTAGTTTTTCTCTATATTTTGTTTAATCTTTGTTGATCAGATTTGTCTGTTATCTTTTGTGTCAATACTATCAACCTTTTTGACTACTTATTCGTTATTATAAAAGTTAATTCTGTTGACTCAAGATTTTTAGAAGATCTCGTTCAATTTTCATTATCGAATCATATTAGTCACATAATCTAGAATAATTATTCAGCCTACACTACATTATTTTAGATTAGTTCAAAAATATCATACTCATCTTAGACTAAGTGCGTCGTCCATGAATGAAATTCGGATTATAGACAGTAATTAGGGTAATTAAGGAGAAATTCATTCATAGTTATAAACTAACATTTCAGATCCCTAAAAAAAACGTAATAAAATGACTGTAAGTGTTTCTTCTACTTTCACCGTATAGAGAAAACAGATAACATTGACACAAACCGATAGGAAAAACTAACGATTTGATGCATCATCTATTTTGATTTTCTAAAGTCATAAGCCTCATTTATTAGTGAAGTTGACTGATTTTGTTTAATTTGGTGAGGTTAGTTTAAACTTGTTACATGACAGCATTGACCGTGATTTTATGCTTATTTCTGACAAGTAAGGGAAATAGTCGTTTCTGATATTGATTCATGAAATTAGTTCAACAATCAATCAACAGAGTCCTACCTTTTGAAGCTCGTGCTGTAATTCTGACCATGTTTCAGTGTGAGCTTGTGAACGTCTACTCTTTAATATACTCAGAAATACAGCAGCAGAATAATCTATTCGAATTCGGATTGAATATGAATACGTCACGATTTTAATTAAAGCTGACCTGTCTAGGTAATGTATGTTGTAGATGCTTTTAGTGAAATAAACTAGTGTTCTCAACCTGTTGTAAAAAATACCAGTAACTTTTGTCAATCAATTCAGTAATATGTTGAGATTTGAAAGTGGGTTTCGGTAGCTTTTTTCAAACCAAAATATATATTGAAAACTCATTCTGGTGGAATTCAAGCACAATTATTATTCAAAGCAATTAAAACCTAGACTTACGATTACGACAACAAATCCTCAGTTCACCGACCTTAATCAAACATCTTCCAGTATACAAATATAATAATAATAATCGTTTTACAATCATTTTTAGATCGAAGAAGACAAACTTCGTCTCGAGTTACTTGCACAAGATACAGAAGCAAAAAAGAGTGAATTAGAATTAATTAAAGCTGAGAAACGTCGTGAATTAGAGAATTCGAATTCCATAGTTCGAGAGTTAGCTAACCAAACAGCGATCAAACAACGTGAATTAAATGAAACACAAGTAAGTGTAACTTTCTTATTCATATACAATATCAATGGGTTATGTTAGTAACATATTACTCTGTTTGTTCTGATGATCATGTATATTTCTCGTGTTTCATCAAATATCCTATTTTAATAGCTATTTATCAGTTTATTCGTTTCAAATTACATCTTGTTTTGTTGTTCAATGAATTGTTTTATCGGTTTACAGTTTGAAATGTATATTTTTCACAGAAGTAACTGGTAACATTTAAAACTATTTTGATGGAATTCTTATTTTATTTTGTTTATCTGAAAGTTGTATTATTTCTAAAATAATTTTATTAAACAGTTCATTAGCAAAAATTTAGTGAATAGTAACTTTTATTAACAGAATGGGTTTTGTGGAGAGTTTTAGAAATTTCACAGGTTGAAATCATGAGTCGATTGAAGCTAGACCACCATGGAAAACCTGGAAGCACTGGACGGCCGTTTCCTCCTAGTATGGGACTCCTCAGCAGTGCGTGGTGCGGGATCGTGGATGCGCACTGCTGGGGGGTCCCATACTAGGACGAAACGGCCGTCCAGTGCTTCCAGGTTTTCCATGGTGGTCTAGCTTCAATCGACTCATGATTTCAACCTGTGAAACTTTTATTAAAGTTGAATAGTGGCTGATAGTGGATTTCATTATGTGCATTTTGACATTTCTATGACTCATCAATTGAATCCAGCTGAATCCCACTGTCGACCGCCACATTGAAACTAAAAGCCACTACTTTTTACTTCAAGTCCTAACGCGTTATACACTGGAGTACATAATTTTTTTTAACTACTGCTTTGTGTGATAGTGATATATGTTATTTCTAAAAGTTTATATTCTCCCTTTATATCCAGTTGATAAGTCTAGAATGATACGGAACGCATGTCCTCGATTCTGCTGCTAGCCAATTTCCTGCTGTTGAAAACATAACTGAATAGCAATATTGGGTCTATCTACTTAGGTTGCACTTTTCACAATCTGGGCTGATTAGTTAAATACCTACGAATAATAAACATTAACGAAAAAATTTCAACTGAAATCTGATACATGCATATTAAGTTGTCTATATGCTACATCGATAATTACTTACCTGGTGGTTATTATTTCTTTTATTGGTTTTATTTTGCCGAACCATTTATACATAACAATTTTCTTTATATTGTACTATTTTTCCCGAAAATTTGATGTTGAGCAATCTATTTGTTATATTTCTAATGTAGACATCATTAAATGCTTCTCTGGATGAGAAAGAACGTATTTTACAATCAGTTAAAACACTTCGTTTAGAACGCGATAATATACGCACAGCATTGGAACAAGAACAAAAGGTTACTTAGTTTCTTGTTTTTCTTCTTTTTTTAAATTTTTTAAAATCAGATTTCCATATTTATTTATAATGAAGTTTTATTTTCTAATCATAAATTACTATTAAAAACTATGTGTCATCAATTGGTTTGTGACAAATACATTTTAATGGTGCAGTTTACTGTTTAAAATATCTCACCAACTGTATACCCAAAGATTACTGGGTTTTATCTAGTTAGACTTTAAAAATTTTAATAAACTGTAGCAGATTTCTGTAGAGTGTGTTTCATCGTTCGTCGACTACAGTTCAACTTTGTTATTTCGTGATCCATCAAAATAATGTCAAACTATCATAATTATGTTAAATATTCAATTTATTCACAGAGGATATCTGAAATTCTATGCACATTCTAACTTTCTCTAATACATTACCAAGTGGTATTTCAATGTAAAACTGATTTGATCATTTCGTAATCTGACTTGTTAATAAGAATTTAACTACATTTCTCATATTTCGTTGAAATTTTATTACAAGATTAAATTTTATTTATTCGTTTAAACACATAAACATTGGTACAAGGAGACACCAAATACATATGTACCACACTTCGTCATCCTATTTGTGTGGGGTCTGAAATACTACCCGGACGCCAAAACGGAAGCAGGTGGTTTTCTTTAAGGAACCACACTCCGAGCCTTTGACCACAAGACAGTGGAGCAACGCTAGAAGATGCAGTCCCATGGTGACCGGTGTCCAACAATAGGTTCATACGCCATTTGTTCCCTCAGAATCCTGTTGTCCATGTACACGTTGTTGTAAGGGGTGACTGCAGGTTTTGATAAGCAGCGTTTTTATCGATCGATTACAGTGACACGTGAAACACGTAAGGACGACCTAGAATCCCGATTGGTCCCGCTTCCCTGTCTAGCCCAGCCAGTTGAGTCTAGAACGCAAGTCACAGCCTCTGAGTTATGAATCATTATATTTCAGACATACTCTATTTATATACTAACCAACCAGACCACATCGTACCATAAAAATAGAAAACAACATCTGTACAATATTTAACGAGTGAAATAAATAACGGACAATAGGAAATGTTCATTTAATGTCCAAGGACATCATTAGACTTAACATGATAATGATTGGCACATTATTCCTCAGCATCCATTACACACGTTTGTTTTGGAATCAGGGTTTTCCAACTCCTCTAATGTGTACTCCATGTCCACTAATGTGGTTGAAGCACCAGATATCCAGTTTTTCTCCTCGCGATTTCGTAAATAACTTCCTTTCTGCTAGAAATCTGTGAATAGAGCTTTCTTGACAGTGGCTATACACGTGTGTGGCGATATGAGAGCATTTCAAAAGAGAGATCTGACTCTCATATTCCTCGGTCGTACCAGGCCATTTAAAGTCAAATGAAATGATAATTTTTTTGGTTGAGGTTATAAAAAAATTTCTCTTCAGATACACCAATAACATCTTAGTTTAGTAAGTAAAACTGTTTTATGAACAACAGTCCCAAATAGATTTATATTTCTATAGACACCTAAAACTGACTAAATGTACTTTTTTTAATTTTACATATGGAAACTTCTGCATTGTAGTGAATTGTTTTTAGTGTTACTAAGTAATAAATAAAAGTTGATTAATTTTTGAGAAACTACTGTAAATTACTTACACTAACCTCTAATTGTTGCTCTCAATAACATTTAGATAACCAGACGTATGTGGTTACATTAGTATCGATTTAACATTTTGTATTTCACGTTAAGTCTCATGATTTTCTCTTTTCTCAAGATAATGATGATAAGACATTTTTATTGTTTTGCAAATTGATTTTTCAAACAATTTTTGTTGATGAATGAAATGAAGTTATCCTAAATTTAATCCATCAATTGAAATTCCGTCGAGACCACAATTTAAGGACGACCCAATTAGATTTCACATAGCAGGTCTTGGATTTCGGCGCGAAATTCATCTACTTATTTTGCTAAATACCATTTTGGGATTATAGCTAATGTATGTTCGTGATAAAAACATTAAATCCAATTCCTAACCCGAACGTTCAACTGTAAATCCTAATCCTGATTCCTCACACTAATCTATAACACTCATTTAACCATAGTAAGTAGGTGGACAGTCTAAAGTCATTTTAGCGCTGCTCAAATGTCGTGCATTAATTATGGTCTCATTGAAATTCCCTTTACTCTTCTTCTTCCTCTTTTTCACAAGTTTGATTATCTTTTTTGTCCATGATTATTTTCTAAAAGTCTGTTGCAGAATTGACAGCATTAGTAACACGACAAAAACGTGAATTTGAACATCTCACTGAAATGTCTCACTTAGAAGAATCGAGAATATTGAATTTAAGCTCTCAACAACGTGATTTAATTAATCAATTAGAAAAATTACAAATTCAATTAAATGAAGAAAAAGAAGAACTACGTGAACTTGAAGTTGCAAAAATTAGAAAAGTACGGCTTTTTGATTTTGTTGTTGCCTACATTTTTCAGAATTTATTATTTTTTTAAAGTTTTCCCTCTTGTTTATATTATGGACTACATCTGACCACCCTCTAGGTAACCAAAGATCTACCTCGAAAATTCCTTTAAATATTTTAGTTTCTTACATTTATCATTGTATTAATTCTATTTGGTTGGTACAAAATATTTTGGATAAAAAAAACGCTTGACAATATTTGGAATATATCTTGTGTAACTTAAAAAAAGGCATATCAATTAAGATTAGAATTTATCAATTGTTATATGCGAATACGGCGTAATGTTCCAGTTCACTTTGTTAGATTTATTTATCACTGGTATAAAAATAGAATTATGAAATAGGCTAAATATATCCAGATATAAATGTAGAATAATACCCTCCTTTCTATGATGGTTGTAATACGTTAATTTATAGTAAAATTTTAATCACTTTAACGTTCAAAAAACTAATACATATGACTAAGCAACTGAGAGTAACACACTCCAGTCAGTCAGTAACAACGTAGAACGTACATCAGTTCGAGTTGCCATACTATATTAGCACAGAGATGCAGTTGTCGATTCAAATCCCGTAGTGGTAGGGGTAGTAAGAGCATGAGCAGTAATCGGAAACATTAGGGCTTGAGGATGTTATTCAAGGAGTATAATCCAGTGAAATAAATTTGGAAAGAGAAAAAAAGGGATATGAAGAATTCAGAAGATTAGAATTTGGGAGAACACAAAGAGCGAGTGCAAACCATTTTGAGCCATGTCATTCAATGTCTCTAACCATCGGTTGCTATCGTCTAACGGATCCCAGCCAGGTAGTCTGCATCTACCAACATGGCTCAGTCCACTTGTTGGTGATTTCATGGATTTTTGCCACGTTTTGGTCTGGCCGCCCTTAGGTTTCTTCTAACCTGTTCCTTTACCATAAAACATCGCACGTCGATGCAGTCGGTGGTTGGCCATACGTAACACATGTCCCAGCCATCTCAAATGATGAAGTTTTACTACTTCAATCATTCATTACCCGATATAAACTGGCAAATATGTAAAATATTGCCATTTAAGCTAACTTATAATTGTAATAAGTATAATTATAATTGATGCATGGAATACATACATTATTATTCTTATTTTGGGGAGAGGACGTCCTGTCCAGGCTTACTTTTTGTTGTCACAGATTAGTAACTGCTCCATAAACAAATATCAATATATAGTGTAAAATATGTTTAGAAATAAATAATTTCATGGTATGTATGTGATATTTATAATGTCAAACTGGATTCATTCAATATATCTATCTTCAGATCCATTTATTAAATTAATCACATTCCGTTCACATACTTTGATTTAAGTAAAAGTAAGTGAACAGAGGTAATTGAATTTTCAATTTAGTAGTAACGTAGTACAAAAAAAATTAAGATAGTCACAATAACACCAAACTTTCCATTCACCTGCTTTGTCATTTAAAAATAATTGATTACGGAGGTAGAAGTGTAATTATCAACATATTGTTAACTATTATGATTAACATTTCAAAGTTGGTCGATCTTCTCGACATTGGTACGTGGCAGGCACTAACAGTTTATCGATTTTCCAAATACACTGTTGTAGAAAACAAGTGACTTTTTCTTCAGAGATAACTACTTCTTAAAGTTCAGGTCACCAGCCATTTATCAAACACGATACGTGACCTCAGATGCAAATACGAATCGTAAAAGAATGAAATTTTGTTCGCCTTCCCCCATACAAGAGGTGTAATACAACAAATAGCATTTCTAGAAATAAATTAAATACGTCGGTTTTTACAGGGTCTATCGACGACTAGATAACAGATTTGTTGGCAGATATTAAAGTGTCAACAGTTTGTAGGCTCATTGTTGTAATCAGTCAGAACATCCACAAATAATCGACGTTCCATGACAAAAAATACTACCAAATGAAATCAGTTTTAGTTTATTGATTTCTCATTGGAATAAGATGTTTCACAACGACGGTCGGCGTGTAGGTGGAAGCTTAGAAATAAAGTGTTGATCAATCAGTGAAAATTCAAAGAACATTATATAATTATTACCGTCTTTCTAAGACTCATAAAACATCTCTCCAGCGCAGTCCGAAGAATTTCCTTCATTGTCTTGTAAATATCATCCTTAAGTCGTTTCCGTAATCACTCACTACGTATCGAGGCATTTCTTATTTCTATCACGATGCTTATTAGCTGTATTTCTTAGCCTGGTCATAAGAATTCACCTGACATCATTGACCAAGACATCATATTCATCCCTATCTAGTACTCACATGCGTCACTGATCAATTCCTTATCATCGATAATTTCAGTTTAATCTGGCTAGTGTTCCCTGTACTGGTTTATCCACTTGATTCTTTGAGCTACACTGTGTGTAGGAGGACCAGTCAGACGACCTGATTACTCAAACCGAAGTAGATGAAACAGTTGGAATTTGAAACTTTTCCAGAAAACCTAGTATCTTGATTAATAAGCTATCCGTATGCCACTTATCAGTAGGTTATTCCGAAATTATGTTTTTTAAAGAAAATAGGATTTCTTAACCCCCTTCGGTTTGCAGTAACAATATTTTCAGAAATAATGTGTCTAGTTTTATTTTTTTCGTTGAGTTCAACGCTTACACTCCAACTTGATTACTTAGTGCTTACACATCATATTTTTCACGTAGATCTAAGCATGTTTTATTATAATTATCAAATTCTTTATCGTTTTCATGGTGTTTTTTAGAATACAGAATATGAAAACGTGCGTAAAGATGTTGTACGTGAACAGTCAGAATTGGAGCGTATTCAAAAGGAAAAAGAACAAGTAGAATTGGAACTCACTCATCTTCGACAGGAACGGGATATAACTAAATCTCAGTGGGATAGTTTCCAGTCAAAAATTAAAGATTTAGAAAAGTAATTTATTACCAGCTATTTTGTAGATTGACATTTCTAATCCAAATCCATCTATTTAACACTCTAACATCGAGTCCCTTAGACTGGTAGCCACTTTATCAATAGAATTCGACTAAGATGGGTCAGCAACTAATCAACCCTAAATATCCTAGTCCTACAGGAGGTCAGTCGCACTTCGAATAGTACAGTGGTAACATTTTAAACTGACTGGTCGGAGTTCAAGTCCATTAGGGAGTACTAGTTCAATGAAGGTTGTATGTATACCTTTATGAATGAGGAGTACAAACTAGTACGACTCTTAGGTCATCCAACTTTCCTTGTCGACAACCTCCAATCACATTGCAATCAAAATCGTATTGTTTATACTGTTGTAAGACATTTTATGACTACTCATGTTTGTCGATGTCACCAGATATTACTTTCTTATAGCTTTTAAAGTTTCAATTTGTGAATGTTTGACATTTTGTGAATATTTAAACGATATCTGTTATTATCATCTGATTAAATAGCATTTTTGATAAATAATATATTCGTATACTTGTAGGCGTTGTATTTATTCAACTTTAGAAAAGCCATTAGCTGTTAACAAATGCTTGTTACGTCTAACACTTTCTAATATTTATTCTATCTGAAGATAAAGTATACAAAGTTTAACACACTATTTATTTAAACATATGAACATTGGTACAAGGAGACACCAAATACATATGTACCACATTTCGTCATCCTATTTGTGTGGGGTCTGAAATACTACCCGGACGCCAAAACGGAAGCAGGTGGTTTTCTTTAAGGAACCACACTCCGAGCCTTTGACCACAAGACAGTGGAGCAACGCTAGAAGATGCAGTCCCATGGTGACCGGTGTCCAACAATAGGTTCATACGCCATTTGTTCCCTCAGAATCCTGTTGTCCATGTACATGTTGTTGTAAGGGGTGACTGCAGGTTTTGATAAGCAGCGTTTTTATCGATCGATTACAGTGACACGTGAAACACGTAAGGACGACCTAGAATCCCGATTGGTCCCGCTTCCCTGTCTAGCCCAGCCAGTTGAGTCTAGAACGCAAGTCACAGCCTCTGAGTTATGAATCATTATATTTCAGACATACTCTATTTATATACTAACCAACCAGACCACATCGTACCATAAAAATAGAAAACAACATCTGTACAATATTTAACGAGTGAAATAAATAACGGACAATAGGAAATGTTCATTTAATGTCCAAGGACATCATTAGACTTAACATGATAATGATTGGCACATTATTCCTCAGCATCCATTACACACGTTTGTTTTGGAATCAGGGTTTTCCAACTCCTCTAATGTGTACTCCATGTCCACTAATGTGGTTGAAGCACCAGATATCCAGTTTTTCTCCTCGCGATTTCGTAAATATCGTCCTCTCTGCTAGAAATCTGTGAATAGAGCTTTCTTGACAGTGGCTATACACGTGTGTGGCGATATGAGAGCATTTCAAAAGAGAGATCTGACTCTCATATCAAATTATTTTGCACTTAACCTTGGAAAAAATCGTGGGATTTCACAATTTGGTCCATGAAATTTAGTAATCTTACTGAATGCATTGTTTACATACTAATTTTTTTAAAGTTACACTTTGTAATATACAGTTTAAAGTTACTATAGTAACATCGGTCTTACATTTGACATTTAATTGAATTTTTAACAAGCGGAAAAACGTTTTTATGGCATATCTCGTAGCAGTAGTTGTGAAGTTGTTATTCTAGAGATAGGGCATATTTCCAAGACTATTAGTTTCCTTTTTTTCACTATAGGTCACTCATTCTTATTTTTACACACTTGCATGATATAACATGATGTGTTTATATGACGTTGATATAAAAAAAAGTAGTTGTAAAATTAGGTTACTCAAAGTCAGACTAGTTTGAAAGAGGATTGCTACAAGTGGTAATTCAGTTAGTCATATCGTTTTTTAACCTGATTTATATATTCTTCTACATTAATCAGTGTTATCGTTCATGAAAGAAGCCATCAGTTATATCAACATTATGAAACACTAACTATCATCCAACAACTTACTCGAATTTGTGATTCATTTAATAGAAAATTTTCATTACTATAATACGTATATTAGAAACAACTTTTAGTGCTGTCAGAGTTGCGAAATTGGTTGTTACTTCCTAGTTACCCACATCGTGGGAGAACGCTTCTTCTCGAAGAACTCAATAAGGAAACTGGGTTATCGATTATCTTGAGGACGTGAGAGTGTAACCGTAGAGTTAAAGAAACAACTACCTGAGGTCGGCCGTACACGTCATTTTTATGGATCGTTTTGGATTTGTTCTATCTGTACTTTTAAGTTTGGCCTTTCTGTAACCAATTCTTCTGCTATGGGAGGGTGACATCATTGGAAATGCTGGCTATCTGAAAGAATCACTTTACTTCCTTCACTTCATAATACAGTCGCCTGTACAACTTTCTTCTCTAGCTTCAAGCTGCTGCCTTTATTACTACCATTCTCCTGCCTAGTGTGATAAAACCTAAAGAAACAAATGTCCTCTCTAGTGCATCTTGTTTAAATCATCACAATATTCAAGCTTTACCACGCTGTCAAGTTAGCGGCTTCAGTTGAGCAAACAAAAAAGTCGTTTATGACTTACTATTAAGTTGAAATTATCAATATCTAAAATACTTATCTTTTGTTATTTTTATTTTTAATCCCAGTCAAAAAGTCCAGCTACATGATTCTATCTCTGAAGCTAATTTAACTTTAGCACGAATTAAAGCGGAATCTGAATCAGCATCCAATTTACTTCGACAGAAAAACATTGAATGTAATGCAGCTTTGGCTGATTGTGATAGAATGTTCAAACAAACATCTGATAGTCGTGATGAATTAAATATTGCTCAGTGAGTTAAGTCTGTTTTTTCTTCGTGCTAGTTGTGTACATATTTTCAGTCGATTGGTTACAGAGTAGTGATCATGGTCATGTTTGTTTAATCTTTGATTCTGATTGTGAATTCTATTACTTATGTTGTGATTTGCCTACTAGAGTAAGTGGCCTGACATAGTGTTCACTATGTCGGGATGTTAGTTGATCTGAAATAGTCGGCAGCTAACCTTCTACATGTTATGCTCGTAACCATTGTAATAATTAATATAATTCTACAGTTTTTTAAGGATCTGGAAAGTATGACTCTTCACATGTTTGGGATGAAATCCTTTCCCTCAAAATACAACATTTTGTTTCAGAATTTGCTTGCGTTAGCTCTTGAATTAATGATAGGGAGTAAATTGGTCAGAAATATCGACCGCTTCACTTTTTTTTGGAGTACCATCAGTTCTGGTGATCTGGTGTCTAACGAAATCTCTCCAGTTGGCTTTTGTCAACTTGCGTCGCTTGAGATGTAGGTGGGATTTCCGTCTGCCAACCAAGGAACGAGTCTACTGTGCAGTTCACTCTTTTCTATATTATGGATGTGAAACATAGTTATTAATAATAGAGAGTATTCGTTGGTCACTAGTATTCGATTATAGATGTCTTCGAAACATTGCTCGTATGTGTTGGAACCATCGAATAAACAATGCCTGGGTTAGGAATTGGGTCATAGATGAAGATGAGAAATCTCTTGCTGAGGTAGTAGATCTTCATCAGCTGAGGTTGTTGAAACATGTGTTACGTATGCCCAACCACCGCCTACCTCGATGAGTGATGTTGTCTGGTGTAGGAGTATGTTGGAAGAAAGCCAGGGGTGGCCAAACAAAAACATGTCAGTCCATGAAGTTATTAATAATTAGACTAAACCATGTTAGTATATGTAGACTACCTGGTTGAAGTTTGCGGGGTTGTCGTAACCAGTGGTTAGAGACTTTGAGTGACATGGTTCAAAATCGTTGGCAATTTCATGTTGTGATTAACTAACTGACTCTTTTTAGTCATGGCTCTTGTTATTCATCACTTATGTATAGAAATAAAAGAGTGAAGTGATATTCTTCAACGAAACTTGTTATGTTATATGTAATTCTTATTTTACATTTGGATTATTACGGATAATAAGAATTTATAATGATGAAAGACATATTATTCATTCATTGTTTCATTAGTATTTACAAAGTGTTAAACAGTAAGATTCACCGTTCCTCCCATTTTTGTGTGTGATCCAATTTCATAAGGAAAATGATTTATGAATGTTGGTTATCCACAAGATCTCCGAATGATCTATGCTTAAATTTACTTGAGAAAGTGTGTTTCTTTAGGGTTATGCTGAAAAACTACCCCGGCTGATACTAAAAAATTTAATGTAACGCTTGATCTTTATACCGGTTAATTATGATAACTAAAAAGGGAAACTTGTGATTTTTAAGTGAATAACAATAAAGTTGCTTCTATGTTCAAGAGTGTTAATGATTTTCTACCAAATAAAGAACTTAAAATCCGCACTATGTTCGTTTGTCCAAGTAAATTAAATCATGCTACACTTTTGATAATAATAATAATACTGATTAAGTTGAGTTTCAGAAAACCATATTTTAACTCGATAGACATATTTGACGGCATATTTATCATATCCATTTAGTTTTTCTGTTGGTTGAATCTACAACAAACTTTATTTCATTTTTTTAAAATTTGATTAACTGTAATTCCAACCTGGTTTCATTGATTTCTGATGTCGCCAACTATGTTTCCCATATACTTATTTTTCAACTGTTGTAAATATGATTATTTTCTCACCTGCTTATATATGATTGATTTCTCATTCTACTGATGTGAAATAGGATGATATAAACCGGCGTATATATCCGTATGAATGCTTGGTGATATGGGTTGGTTAATAGGGCTTTATGTTTGAATGTATCTATCTGTAAATACTGCCAATGCTGTTATTTGTAGACCATAACCTTTGAAGCTCACAATACCATTATTTAAACGCTTTTGCCATCAGTATTTGGTGGTTATGCATGGATCTCTTTATTTCTAGGTCGTGATTCAATAAAACCATAGCATTTATATAAACCCTGTGAACACCAGTGGAGACAACCAAAAGTACTTGAATATAAAATTACAGAATCTCTTAATAAAAATTAGGAACCATACAATAAATACTTCATTTGAAAAATATTAATCAATTGTCTCAGACTTTGTTGTTCCTTCGTTTCAATATCAATCATTATTTGTTCTCGTTCTCTTTTCTTCGGTTTTCTCAATCTTCTGTTGCCAGGCATTTCACTTACTACTTATATCTGTCGACATCAGTAGCGCATACCATAATATGAGATAAAATCAATCGTAACTTCAATAAATGTGTTTCTATTTTATTTCTTCATCAAGTCGTACAACTTTAGTCGTGTTGTTTCCAACATTCACTTTTTAAAAGATGGAAACAATATCTTAAAATTTAATTTGACTTAGGTTACTTTGTTTTCTTATTTTTTCAAACTTAACTCTTTTTTATCTTCTTAAAAACTATATCGTATCCAATTGTTGTATTGAAAATCATGGTATTATTCAATTGTTTATGTGAAAAGGTTTCTATTAATTTTTCAATTTCCTCGCTTATAAATTACTCGTATTACGTATACCTATTTCCATTTGATTACGTAATGTGTATTTAGGCAACGTTTACAAAAAGCAAATGATTTAAAACAATCAATTGAATCAAGTCTCAATGAACAACGTCGTCAACGTGTTCTATTATCAGATGAATTAAATCATTTAGAAGAAGCAGTACATACAGGAAGATTAGCCAAACAATTAGCTGATGAAAGTAGGGAGGCTAGTGAAGAAGCACTTAAAAGTGCTGTGAATAAATTAAATAAAATGCAAACAGAAAAAAAATTACTTGAAGAAGTTAGTTTTATTTTATTGTTTTGTCTAAGTTTTTCATTTTAACTAGAGTGAACAAATTTAAATCTCTATGTATATTGAATTCATTTTGCCAAGATTGTTATATTATTTATATTTTACTCCTTAATTTTTAGCTTAATCGTTTGTCTTTATATATATATATATATATATATATATATATATATATATATATATATATATATATATATATATATATATATATATATAAAGTATGACTTATCGGACAGTATATTCTACTGAATGTGGCTCCTGAGTTTCACTTTAGGTTCAAGACATTAGTATTTACTTCAAAGCCTTTCTTTTCTTCGTCATTTGTTACCTATTAATACTTACTTGTGTACGCCTGTTACCCATCGTCAAGGAGCATAGGCCGCTCGCTAGAATTCTCCGTCGAACTCTGTCCTGAGCAATTTTTTCCTGTTACGACTCATTCTTTTGATATCTGCTTCCGATTCCCGACACAATTTGTCTTTTGGTCTTCCTCTTTTCCGTTTTTCCCTCAAGATTCCAAGTTAGCGCTTGCCTTTTGATTTAGTTTGGTGATTTCCTCATTATATATGTCATATCCACTTCCAACGTCTTTTCCTAATTTCCTCTTGATATTGAAGCTGCTTTGTTCTCATCCACAATAGACTGTTGTTGATGGCACCCGACCAACGAACATTGAGTATCTTGTGTAAACAATTGTTTATGAATACCTGTACTTTTGTAATTATGGTTGTTGTAGTTCTCCCAGTTTCAGCTCCGTACAGTAGAATTGTCTTGATGTTCGTTTTGAAGATTCTGACCAATTAATAGTCACGTCTAAAAATATAATCATCTAATTCATTAGTGAATTTTAATCATACATTTTTATTTTGATGCCCAAGTGATAAGAATATCTGACAATGTTAGTTAGTTTCTTTTTTCTTACATTGTTCATTCTTTTCACTATTTTTATTTAGACTTACAGAAAGCGTTCTTCATCAGCTAATCGTATGGTAGTAAGCTACACTTACATAATTAGTCCTTTGAATTTTGTGCACGTTAAAATACATAGGAGAAAGGCTACAAACAGTTTTGTATCATTTGCTTTTATTTGTCAAATGAATTCTAGAATATGATTATTAGAAAATAATTTTTTATGCTTTTAAGATAATCTCTAATCTTCTAAGTCATTCCTATTCATTCCTAATAGAATTTAGATGTACAAAAAAAGTGGATGGGGTCGTATTTTATGCATGAAATCGTGTATTTACACACTGTGAATTATTTATTGTTACACTTGCTTAAGCACTTAGTAAAAATAACCTTTACACATGCACATCATTTGCACAACACACTTCATATAACATATATATTACATACATATTGTGTTTATTAAGTCATTTTCCTATCAGTGTTGTTTTGTTTGTTTCATATCTTATTCAAATCCAATTTGGGTGATTAATGAATAACCTTTTAATAGTTGATCAAATGCTCACAATTTTGTCACTTAAATGTTAATCCGTTTTCTGCTTACCAAAATTTCTTCATGTTTTGGATCGAAATTACTAAAAAAAAATAGGTCAGCCATTTAATAGCATCACGAAAGAAACAATAAAAACATAAAGAACTAGTAAATAATATATAACATAAATAAACATATATAAAGATGAATTGTGACTAGTAGTTGCTTTGCGTTTCGTCCCTTTTGAGATCTGTCAGACAGCTGAGTGTATCTGCATCTTAATATTGATGTTCACATTGAAGCTTAAACTCACTACTTTTCGGTTCGAATGTCTAACACGTTATTCACTGTACTGTTGAGTCCAGATAGTCTGTATATATATATATATATATATATATATATATATATATATATATATATGCCCGGGTTTTCCTGTTGTTGATATTAAGGAGTGCATTTGATCAGTCTCTATTGGCATATGTGAATCTTGATTGTATTATCTCAGTATTGTCTTTATTTACAAGTGAAAATGGATTAGATTTTCACAGTGAATTACAATGGATCAAAGAAAATTATGAAAATACACAAGTTGAACATTGTTAATAAAGTGAACAGTATGATAGAGATCAGTCTTTAATTTAGAAAATTCAACGTAGAATAAAAGATTGATCCTAATCTTAATTAAATGAATAATTAATAAATGGCCCTATAAGAATATAGAATTTGTTAAAATTGTATTATGCTATAAACGCGGAACGTTCCACATTAGAGTAATTTTATGGAAAATTTAAAAAATGATCAAATTAGGACAAACAGTATAAATAAATTCTGTCTTTTAATGATATTATCTTCATGTATCGATGTAAATAAATGTTAACTAACAACTAACTATATATACATTTAGAATACAACAAACAGTACTGATTCATAGTTATGGGATGATTATAAATGTGTATCATGTTCTTATTTATAAACGGTACTGCCCAGGTACTTAAAACCTTCCTCCTCTTCTAGAGCTTCTCCATTGAGTGTGATTTGTTCACTGTATTGTAGTTCAGGTTCATACTTTTCCCTTGAGTACGCTGAGAGCTACTGCTACAGAGGCTACTTCCACACTGGCTGTTTTCGCCTGCATTTATTGATGTGTATGAGATAGGACACTTTCAGGGTTACTATAGGTACCAAACTCGAATAAAGGAGGCCCGGGTATTGGGTTAGCAATTTCATTCCATAGAAAAGAACCTTATTAAATAAAAATACTAACCAGAAAAACCATACTCTACTTACCTTTTTTCCCTCTATATATTTAATAAGTTTTCCCCGTCATTTAACAATTAATATTTCGCCTTTTAGCATTAAAGCACTAATCACTACATACGTTTAAAAGATCAGATGAAAACCAATCGACATCCAGCAATTTATTTCTATTTATGAGAATTCAACAATGAATTATTTGCTTTACACAAATATTGATATAAATATTTTCATTATGCTTTATAGGTGGAGTTAATAATTTGATAATTAATAATATTAAATTCATCTTGTATTGTTTGTTTGGAACTTTCCATTGATGTTTAGAACTTCAATTAATCAGTCTCTTATTGGCTTATGTGTATCCTGTACGGATTGGCTCGATATTGCCTTAAGTCACAAGCATTATATGCATAGGTGGATATTAGTTAGCAATGGAGTCCTGCACTCATGTTTCGCTCTACTAGGGACTCGTCAGTTAGATGTACCTGCATCTCAGAGTTGATGTTCACTATGGGACTCGAACCCAGTACCGTTCACTTTAGACGCCATCACGTTATCTACTTAGCTACTGAGTCCTGATAGCCACTAGCTTGTGCAATGGGGTGGAGTGTAAATTCCTATTCCAATAAGAGACTGATCAATTGCAGTCCTAAACATCAATGGGAAGATTCCAACAAGTAATAATAATGTTTTCTTATAATTGTTAATGAACATGTTGTATATCTCAAATTGATTACGTTTAGTACAACTGCTTATTATTTCATATATTTTATTATAAATATAAATATAGGAGTTGGATAGTTTACGAATGTCGAAAGACAATGAACTCCACTATTTAAATGAGGTAAGTTTCAATACTTTTTGTCACATAATTCTTTTGATTTTTGTTAGTCATGATTAGAGTTTGTTCGACAAGAGATGATTTAAAACTGTACTGTTTTGCCTTGATTTTATGCAGAACATGTGATTAAGCAGTATATATATTTTTTCCCTTAAATTTAATGATTGGCGCCACTTGCTTTTAGAAATATATAATAACTAGACCCTAAACATCATTGAGAAGATCCAAGCAAACAATTCAAAGATGATTTAATAAAAATAATGTTATATTAATTACAATTTAATGAATAGAAAATAAAATTTATGACCTTTATTCATTTAGTGTATGAATCATTTCCTCAGAGAACCAATAAAAATACTACAAACGAATTAACTTTGATTTTAGATAGTACAAAAGGAAGTTTTTATTCAAAGTTATGTTTGTTTCGTTTTGTTCATGTATCAAGATTGTTGAATATGAAGACCGAATTCTAAGGAGATACACAATATATTTCTCTTTCTACTAATAACTTTGTTTTCTCTTCATATTCCTCTTTGATAAATTAATTTATTTGTTGTTATTTAAATTTTAAGCGTCTACGTAATACACGTCAACAGTTAGAATCAGTAGAATCAGAATTATCACAGAAATCTTTAAAATTGAATGAAGTCAGTGAAAAATTAAATACATTACAGGTGATTATTTGCTTTTTTTCTGGATACTATTCTTTCAATTTACTTCCTTTTCTATTTTTTTTTGCTTAAATAAATGAAGTAAGATAGAGTAGCCCACAATAAAATTTTATAAAGATTGATTCATTTTCCAGGTTGTATTCTTTATAAATTGATCTCAGTTTAGGTACTATTGAAAACCAAGGAACACTGCATAGCTATTTCGTCCTAGTATGGAATTTCTCAGAAATACCCACCTAAGACCTTCAGCTCTCTATTCGCTATCGATTTAATTCAAAATGTTTCTAATGATCTAGTGAAAAGCCTTGATCAATATACCTTTGCTTTGTTGGATTTAAAGAGATTACTTGCCAATAGCAATGAAACATGGTGGCATAGCATCACGAATTGATCGAAGTTGGAAATGTTAACTATTGGATACCGACTCTGCAGTTCAGAGGTTAAATCCTTATCACGAAACCCGAAGGTCTCGTGTTCTATCTCCGATAGGGTCGTGGGTATATATATAATATTGAATCTCAAGCTGAAAATATACAATAAACTTCATTTCTGACCATAATTAAACTCAACTTTCTTATATATACCTTATTATATTTACTATTAAAATAAAATGATTGTATGAATACATTCAATAAGAAAATGATACAATTTCCTTGTTGAAATTAATTATATTTTTTGTTGCTACTTCCTCGTTATCGACTTCCTTTTCTTCTTGTATTATACAGAATGAATTTATTAAAAAAGAACAAACAAAACCCAATAGTTTAGAATTAGAGAAAGAACTGGAAAAATGCAGTAAGATTTTTTATTTTTATTAATGATTACTTTTATTAAACTGATATGATTTTGTTAGAAATCTATTCATAAACAACCTTTAAACTAATAATTCATCAGGATCTAGGATCATTTTTTCCATGAGGAACTATTCTGTATGTTTGTTATATTTCATTCATTATCAATAAAATTTTCTTTTAAAATCCACCAAATAAGACTAAAGAAAATAAATAAGACCAATTGAGTCTGCTATTCTATTATTAAGCGGTATAGTTTCAAATTAAGTTATAAAAACAATCTGCTGAAGTGGAGGAAGAAGAAAAATGTTTTGTTGTTTCTACTCATGAATTTAACTGTTAAAATTACTACAATCACCACAAATCCTCATTCTGATAATAATCATGTGCTCATTAGTGACTAACTTCAAGGTGGATTTCCTTGAGTTCTAGTGAGAAGCTGTGGACAGTGGAGTCCAATCCATGTCGGTTGTGAGACACTTATCCGCCTCAGACAATAAATGAATGGTTGCTCAAGATCATGGATTGATTGAAGTTAGATATTAACATCATTATAGATACAGGCTCAGTGGTCTAGATGTTAAGAGTTCGCGCGCGAGACCCAAAGTCCTAGTTATGAGTCTTACGTGTGGGATCTTGGGTGTGCACTACTGCGGAGTCCCATACTAGGACGAACCGGCCGTCCAATGCATCCAGGTTTTCAATGTTTATCTAGCTTAGATGGACTCATGAATTCAACTATTAAAATTACTACCATCTCCACAAATCCTCATTCTGAAAAAAATACTGAATTAATGCTACCCGTAAAATATTTATTCACTGAATTATTATATCTCTTAATTTTTATGGTTATACTGGGTAGATATTATATCAGTTTGCAATAATCTGAATGCTTTTGACCAGTTAACAATTCATTGTTGACGTTAAGTTTTACATCTCAGTTCAATTTATTTGAGACGTTGTTGCCTACATTTTTTTCTCTCTCATTAATGTTTACTCAGTCTACTGCGTTCAAGCTTTCTTTTTGTACTTTTGTTCGGTTCATACCTGAAATTTGAGTAGAATATTCTCTTCATCATTTTCTCATCAATGTTATTAGAAAGAAGTAGAACAAACGAGTAAAAATGTAATAGTTCCCAGTTCACAATTCTATTCGTCTAATAATTTACATTTGTAGACACTCATAATAATAAGTCAACTTACTTGACATACTTTGGTCAGTTGAAAAATTACCGAACACTTAGAAGTTGTTTCTTTGATTGGGTTATTGAGACAATTTACAAATTGTTTTGCCTCAAATTAATATTGTTTTGAAAAGTAAACAAATATATGAGTACTTTTTAATACAATAAGTCTACTCACCTTAAAGACACAATATCGTCTTTGAGTATTGATTGTTTACTGTGATCGAACTAAAATTAAGCATTTCCATGAAATTAACAGTAAAAATTCCTTGCATTATTGTTCACTGCAATGAACTTGACTTCATTTTGTTTTTATAGAACAACAGCAAATTTTTTCACGATTAGACGATAGAAATAAACAACTAACTTACAGTCATCAGTTTAATGAATTGAAAATTGACAATATGACTAAATTACATGATAACATTAATAATAATAACCTTTTACAAGCTTTAATGGATACTAAATCAGCATTGATAGCTGCTCAACGTGAGTCAAAACGTTTAAAGCGTCGTACAGCACGTGAAGTTGCTGAATTAGAACGTGTTGCTGAAGAACAATGTAATCGTGCTGGTGATCTAACGGAACAATTATCTTTAGCTAAACGTCAATATGCTCAACTAAAAAGTCAAGTAAGTTGACTATTAATGTACTTTAATCTGAATCATTTCTCTTTTTTCTAATCACAATGATTTCTTTCCTTTTTGAGTAATTGTTTTTTTGTTGTTGATTTTCCACTGTTACATAGAAATTAGCTAGGCACTGATATTCATGCTATGATCTTATACACAAACTCTACTTTTTATTCACTTGTCTAGTTTTTTTTTTCTCCAGACCAAGCAATCACCTAGAAATTGTGTATATTGTTAACTTTCGGTTGTTTTCCGAAAATTGTTGACTGTTTTAATTTGATAGTATCATGTTGTATATAGATTATAACAGTTGATTAACAAATCTAATAATCACTATGATAGTCAGGAATTGTTTCAGTATTTTAGCATAATACTTCTAATCAAATAATGATTATTCATTAGATAATCTAAGTGAATGATCAAAGCTACAACATACCCATTTAAAGTTTTCATTGTTTATTTTAAAAAAATTTGACGTTGAATCTATATACTACTGAATCACATAACTACTAATTTAATTTATCATATTTTAATATGTGTATATTTCTTCAATATCTTCCTTCATTTTACTATACAAGATTGCTACTTATGGAATTCTGATGGATGAAGTGATTACGGTAATTTTTCAAAACAAACAAATAAATTCTTTCAATTTTTCTAATAAATCTTTTTTTCCCTATTTGTTTCATGTTTAGTCATTGTTGTAGTACATTTGTAAAATGCACGTAATTTACATTGTCTAAGTGCTAATGAAAATGCATGCTTATGTTACATTCAATACAAATTCATCATGGTGAAGGATATTTGTCATCTATTTGCATTAACATTTATTTATCCATAACAAATTGATGTCATCAAGAAATGTTTTCCTCGATTTTTTATTGACACACGGTTAACAAATTGTTGATTCCTTGTTGTGAATTACTGATCGTTTGTTTGTATGTGTGCAATAACAGATGATACACAGATTTTGTTTTATTTTAAAATCTATATTAAGAAAATTGATATAACCTTTTTCATGATATCACAAGTTGAGTTTTTTATTCAGTGAACTTTATAATCTTTCTCTAATTTCCAACAATGTTTAATTATAAATGGAATGAACTATTTGGGTGGAGTTTTGTTCTCTGAGCTAGATGGTCTGGTGATGGAGCTTTCATCGTTCTTCTGAACGACATCACCAGCACAAACTTCAAGTGGATGTGAAGTATTCAAATTTCTCCACATTGATTCACAGCTTATGCTTTAGACCTCGATCTTGATTGATTGTTGTTTACTTTTAACCTGTCATTGTTTACTTCCTTATTTTGATTGTATCTCCCATTGATTTGATTCTTGGTCTTATATTTGTCCATAAGTTTTCCGACTGGTTGCTAGATTGGGTCGATTTAAATGTGTTTGTTGATTACTGATTGATCTGAGTGCCAGGTTTCTAAAATTTCCCTGGTGCTTTTAGTATTCCTTTTATTTATTTATTTGAACACATAAATATTGGTACAAGAGAGCGCCAATATATATGCGCCACACAAAACAATGAGAATTCGAAGAGAAGTAGAAAAAAAAACTAAGGAGCGCAAAAGAAAAAGAGAACAATGACGAAGAGATTGGAGTAAGGTAGTGTGGTAGTAACGACGGAACGAAAAGGTACAATCAGAAGAAATCTTTCAGTTAAGGGAGACACAACCACTTCTTATGAAGAAAGTAAAAGAAGGTTACAGCAGGATACCCTCTGGCTTCTATTCTGAGCCATATCTGATAACGTCTCTAGCCACTGTGTAGCACCATCTCTTGGACCCCAGCCAGGGAGTCGTGAAGGACCAACACAAGCCAGTCCTTTGCAGCTTTCTTTCATGCCACGACACCATGTCATGCACTGACCACCTCTCCGCTTCTTCCAACCAGTCCCAGAGTCGGCAAATAATGCACGACGTGGAATTCTCTGGGACGACATTCGGAGAACATGTCCAAGCCACCGAAGTCGGTGTTTCAAAATGGTGACACCAATTGAATTATCATCTCTGTGCCCGAACACACGATGCCGAACCTCTGCATTACTGACATGGTGTTGCCACTGAATGTCAGCAATCCTTCGGAGACAGCGATGATCGAACACAGAGAGTCGTCTAACGTCCTCAACTCGGAGAGACCAGGTTCCACAAGCATAGAGCAAAACTGCTCTCACCGACGCGTTGTAGATCCGACCTTTTACAGCCAGACTAACATCACGAAGGCGCCAAAGGTGGCCCAGATTGGCATAAGCCGCTCTGGCTTTCACTATTCGTGCATTGATCTCATCACTTACACCCCCACCAGCACTTATGCAGCGACCCAGATACACGAACTTCTCGACTACGTCTATCTGCTCACCATCCAGGGTGAGTACAGGATTGGAATCCTGCCAGTCTTGTAGAAGTACTTTGCACTTCGAAGGTGCAAAGCACATACCATACCTACGGACACTGATTGCCAACTGATTAAGTGCGGATTGCATGCCTTGGGCATTATCGCACAGTAAGACAATATCGTCCGCATACTCAAGGTCGAGAAGTCTTTCTCCAGGCAACAGATCCACACCACCATTACTTACATTCATCAGAGCTGTTTCCAGAATGTCATCGATGGCAAAGTTGAAGAGGAATGGTGAGATTGGGCAACCCTGCCTAACCCCACTGCTCGAATGGAACAATGGAGAGAGGTGGTTGTATGCCCTCACTCTGCCTGAGGTGTTTGTATATAGGGCTTTTAGGATGTTAATAAACTTCTCAGGCACACCCTTCTTCAATAGACAATCCCAGAGAACAGCTCTGTCCAACGAATCGAAGGCAGCCCTGATGTCAAGAAACACTACGATTGTTGGCCTTTGAAAAGTATGGCGGTGTTCTAACATTTGGCGGAGGGTGAAGATATGATCAATACATCCTCGACCAGAACGAAACCCAGCCTCCTCCTCCTTTTACCCAATATTTCAATACTTTCCCAGTCGACTGTGTCCACAGTTGTCCACATGCATTGATATAACCGAAGACATGTCATGGTACTTGGTCGCTAATCAATATTCGTAAAGAGGGAGATGAAGGAGGCGTCCATTTTGTCAAATATAGTGTTTTCCGCAATGTGAACAGTTTATTTTATAGATAATGTTAGCCATCTCATCGGTGTTTTTTTTCGTTTGTTCGTAGATTTTATTATTGAACTGAAAATATGTTGTTTAGCATAAATCGATGAGTTTTAGTAAACATTGACTTTAATGCTTCGTATACTTTGGGAGATTTGTGTCATTGGTGAGGAGCAGGAATAGATTTTCTTTTGTTAACCTCGGTTCGATTGAAATGAATAAATCTGTTACGTCGAAGGATATCTTCAACTCGTCGTTGTTGATTTGAATCTCCTTAATTTCATCCACGATTTGTATGGGAGATTTAATGGAGTGATTGAATGAATCCACTAAGTGTTTCCATAATATTGAAATTTCTCTCAATGGATAGAGGTGTGGTACAATGAACATCATGGGATGCTTGATTTGTCTAGTATCGGCACATTGGATTTCATTCTCCATTGTCCTTGTTTCGATATTCATTTTGCTTTGAAAAGCTTGTTCAAAGTCGTTGAGATATCGTTTTCTAACCTTTTGATTGGATTTACCTCCATTGATTTATATACCCTTTTATCTTCAAGTAGTTCCTCCGCCTTCCTGACATACTCTTCCTTGTCCATAGTTATTGCAGTACGTCCTATGTCTGCTGAAACTAATTATCTTCACTAGGTCTGAGTTTCTTTAAGGCTTTTTATCCTTGCGTGGTCAGCTGAGTGTAGTCTTTCTCTAATTTTCCACGGTGTTTAATTTTAAATAGAATGAACTATGGAATTGATAACAATGTTAGTTATTTATATATATTACATAATTACATTCGAAGTAATCATTCAACTATAGGGATATAAATAAAGTTTGTCAATTATGAGATCAGTGGTCAACCGAAAAAGACAGTCAACAGTCAATATAATTAAAACGTTTTTTCTCTTGCCTTTTTCCTTGTTAATTCTATGTGCGTGTTTTTTCTTCGTGTACTTGTTGTGTACCTGCATGTATATTAAAACAGTATTATAATTTCTAATCATTTTTTTTATCTAAAAACCATTCTCGAATTGTTTTTTCATTATGAAATGATGAATAGATTGCTTCTCAAACAGAGTTAACTGAACATGGTAAACGTTTGGAGGCTGCTTTGTCAGCGGTTCGAGCTGAGTTAGAACAGCATAATAATACAATGAACGCGTCAGTGGTAGATGAAAATGGTTGTTCTAATTCTACATTATTTGGACAAAGAATTCGTGAAGTATTAAATCCTGATTCAGATTCCAGAATTGTGAAAGATCGTTCATCAAATGATCAAGAGATTCAGGTATTATATTTCACTTATATTTTTTGCTATGATAAAAAATAATATTACATTGGTACTTACATTGAAATAAAAGTCTTTAATCTGATCACCATTTTTTAAAGCTTTTATTCAAGATACCATTGGACAATCTCTACTCTCTATTAAGAATAAATGGCTATAAACAAGTAACATTGACACACTATATTCTCTTCCTTTCTTCTTTCCTTGATTTCTCTCCCTCTCTCTTTATTCTTTAGAATATATTTAGGTTTCAAAGAATTTTGAGTTTGTGCTTGTGTGAAAAACTGATGGTTAATACACAAAATTTTAACATTTCACTTTCTTAAATTATACAACCTGCTACATGAATTCAAGTAATAATTAAAACATTTTTCAATAAAAATCTCATTTCACATAAGTAAATAAATTTAGAATTGAGAGTAGTTTTAATCCAAAAGGTGGGAAGAAAGAATTTCTCTTCATTTCATCTTAGCATCAGGATATAAAAATGGTTTAACTTTACATTTGATACGTTTATTTTTGTGTTAAGGAATCAATGAATCGAATAATTAGGAATATCTGTATTAACCAACAGTCAGATATTATACATTACTTACTTGCTTACACCTGTTACCTCTCGTGGAGGAGTATAGGCCGCCCGCTGGCATTCCCCATCAAATTCTGTTCTGGACCATCCTTTCCAGTTTCTATCCATCTGTCTGCTTTCAATTCTTGGTGTAATGTATTCCTTGGTCTTCCTCTTTTCCGTTTTCCTTCAGGATTCCAAGTTAGCGCTCGCCTCGTGATGCAGTTTGATGATTTGCTTAATGTATGTCCTATCCACTTCCAACGTCTTTTCCTAATTTCCTCCTCAGCTGGAATTTGGTTTATTTTCTCCGGCCAGCGGACATTTAATATCTTACGCAAACACTTGTTTATAAATACTTGTGCTGTTTTGGTGATGGTTGTAGTAGTTCTCCAAGTTTCAGCCCCAAACAGTAGAAATGTCTTGACGTTCGTTTTGAAGATTGTGACTTTGATATTGGTTGACAGTATATTGAGTTCTATATGTTCTTCAACTGTGGGAATGCTGCCCTCGCTTTAACAATCATCGCCTTTACATCTACATTAGATCCTTGTTCATCGATGATACATAATCTCAGTTAATCTATTCCTTTCTTTCTATTTGTTTTTCTCTTTTCCAGGAGATTACCGATCATAATTATTCAGCAAATGGATTACAAAAATCCCTTTTATTACTGACTAATTCATTCCATGAAATAAGCCATTCTCCAAGCAATTTTCATAGTGTTCAATCGTTAACTGATTCATTAAATGGTTTATGCAAAAAATCAAATCATTTCTCATATAGATTATTTCCTAATAATGATTCAGAACATGTGGTAGATGATCCAGAACTAAACTACACCACTTCAGGATTAGGTTCCAGTGTTAATCCTGGTACTCAAATTGCGAGTAATGGTGGAAGTGTTCAAGAAAATTCAACTATACTGTCACCATCAACTCTAGGTGAATCAAAACCAGTCAAAAGTAATAATTGGAAGGTAAGTATGTGTGAAGTATTGCATACAAATAAATGGGGTTTTTGTTATAAGTCATATTATAAGTATATAAACTTGAAATTTATTCACTAATGAATAATCGTTTGTTAGAATGGGATGAAACTCGATATTGCGCTTTAATTCAGTGTAACAATTTCTTTTCAAAAATGATATATGTTACGCATCACATTCGTCTCATTTCAGTGTAACATCCATTTTGTATTAATTCTGTGAAAAACCAAACAATTTTGTATCTCCATTTCATCAGTTATACATGTTGATTAATTATCAGATGTCAGTAAGATCTATTTCTAAATGAGTAACCTTTGGTTAATAATTTTTCAGATTATTATTATTATTATTGTATGACGAATAAAATCTTTCTTGTGTTGTGTTAAATCTTAGTCTTGACTATTCCAGGTAACAGTTCCCTATAGTTATATCATCTTCTCCATGTATTTGCATATTAATTCATGAAATAAAGCATAATGTTAAAGGAAATATCTTTCAAATAAATGTTTAATCATATAGTTGAGACAATCGCAAACGCATACTTGGTTAAAGAAAAGATTGTTGGTTTTCTTTAAAACAATATACTATTAAATTGACAACTTATCGACAATGTTCCCTGTCTGTGTTAACATTTCTTTACATAGTTAAGTTAGTTTTTTGAAGCTAACAATAGGTAGATTTATTATTATAACGCTGAATTGAACAAACAAATTGTTGTTCGAATGAACGTGTGTGAGGTCGCCATGTGATATTAGTTTACTAGCAAAACCAACTTAATAAGCAAACTTAATTGTGAGTTTGTAAATTGTGTTTGTCACAAATTGATTTGAATTGAGATACTATCGAGAACCGGGGAATACTGGACTAATATTTCATCCTATGACAATGATACTACTCAGAAATGTTCATTCACGACCCTCCTAGAGATCTAACCTAGTACCCTCAGGTTTCAAAGAGAATGTTTACTCATTAGAATCATTCGACAAGTGTCTAGTGATACAATGCAAACGTAAATTTATTTTTGCTGTATGACTTGACCAACATCTAGTACCATTGGCAACTGTTGTTTCACTTTCAACATATCTGAACTCTACTAGTCATGAATTAACATAAATTTAAATACGATTAAACTTTCGAATTTTTAACTGTTTCACTTTATTTATCTACGTTGTAATGGGATATTCAGAAGAGTACAATTTTGCTTACCTTTGAAAATCTCAATTATTACCACTGAATTCACTTTATTTATCTACGTTGTAATGGGATATTCAGAAGAGTACGATTTTGCTTACCTTTGAAAATCTCAATTATTACCACTGAATTCAAGAGCAAATCGGTGGATCATTCTCATTCGATTGATAAAATCTGTTGTTGTAATCTATTATTCATTATTTCATTAAATGTTTAAATCTAAAATTACATAAATTATGTTCTTGAAAGGAATGATGGATAGAGAGACAATTGTACTCTTGAACTGTACGAGGATATGTACAGAAGGACATTACAATTTTTGGCTTTGATAATTATGTCCAGCTGAGACAAGCGGTTAGTTACATTCGTGTTTCCTTTCATGATAATCGTGGAGGCGGGTCCCAATAACGTTTTACAAACGAGGATTATTATCTTTCATAGAACTTATCATATTTTTCTTCACGAAACTTCCAATTTCTCAATTACATACAACCTTGAAGTTACTATTTACCAAATCCCCCCTCCTATACGTTCTTATTTATAAAAACATTTTTAGCATATGGATGTCAGTAAAGATTCCAGTGACAGAATACTTTTTTAATGGTGCATACGTTTGTATGAAAATTTTCGATCTTATTTCTATCATAAAAAAACGGAGGTCATTTACGTCTTGATAAGTGGTTGGATGTTCGGTTTATAAGGATTCATTATTTTGGTAGCTAATAAGTTTATCTGGAATAAACAGTAATATTAAGATCTGTACTTCAGCAATTTCCTTACATGATTTATATTTGATTTTAAATGACATACACTTCCTGGTGTATTCTGTTGTGTTATTCAGTTTTTTTTCTTACATAAGAATCAAACTTGATCACAAGATTACTTTCGAAATTCGACTTTTTGGTATTGGATTACATGTTGTAGTAATTATAACTGGTTTTCAATGAATGGATATATTTTATCATTTTAGCAAAACGTCAGTAGTAGTTCTGTAGGACGACAACGGTCTCATGATGAAACGGCCCCACTTGCAACTTCTGGCTTTGTGAATCATTCCCGTACATCTCGTCATTTTAAATCTGGATCCTCTCGATCTTCTAGACCTGGATAAGATGAAGCCCCAAGCCCTGTGAGTTAACCGAAGATTTAGAAATTTAGTTATACATATGTATTACATATCAGTTACTTAACTATCAATATTCCTACATGTTAAATAAATCGTTATCAAGATTTGTTTTGGAATTGTTCCACAAATACTGTGTGAAAAGCAAATAAAAATTGAAGATGATCATTATGTTTTAAACTCAGTCTTTGTCATCAACTGACATGACTCATAGAACTGTATGAAAACAAGAAGTATTGGGACAGATATTTTGTCATAGTTAGGGAATCATAAGAGATGCACACCCATAGCCCCACACATATAAATAAACACAGAGCATTTGAATCTCTAAATAGACTTGATACTGATTAGCTACTAAGTAAAAATCTTTTGGTTTACATTTTTGGGTTTCAAGAAATTTACCACTCATTTATGCACTTCGCAACCAAAAAAAGGTTGGTTTACTCACATTGTTATGTTAATTTTATTTCTTCACGACGTTTGTGAATCGCTGTTGTACGTCTATACATGTGCTATTCACTAGGATACTTCATTGAGTATATGAAACTAACGGATATTAATCACAATGCGAACAGTCCTGGAAAATCGACCTCGTTGACTCAAGAGTGTAGATACACATACTCTTATGCTCCACATATATGTGGTAGATCTCCTTCTTGTTTGTTAAACGGTCGGACTTTAAGTGTTTACACTTGTCTCGGTTTATTTCACATGAATTTAAAACGAATTATCATTGTAATTTCTACTATATTTTGATATTGGTTATGAATAGACGAACATGGAGATTAGATTTTATTCAACTTATGTTTCACACTCAAAATTAGTAAGTAAAATGACAGGGAAAACCACCTTAATAACAGTCAGTAGCTAAATTAATTCTATAAAATCAAATATACTGAACGCCATATCAAAATATTAAATGAAACTAAAGTGTTTTCCTTTCTTACCAAGTTAATCAATATATATTTTTTGTTGAATTAGTTTACTCTCAATCTATCACAATTAAGTTCCAGGTTTGAGACAAAAATTTTGCTCCAAAGTACAACAAGGAAGACATTCCTCATTTAGACTCATATAAAACGTTATACCTTCTTGTTTACTATTATTTCTTAATTATTAAACTATGTTGAAGAAAAATAAATCTCGGGATTAAGTAGTGATAATTTTTATTTCATTTGTTACGTACTACTTATATTGTACATAAGTAACTTAATTAAAATAACAAAACGTGTGTGAATTTATTTCGAAGTCCAAGTTCACAATTGATTGATCACTGGGTGGTGATCGATGTCATGCCTGTCTAGTCCTTATTAGTGCAGATCGAATGCTATCGATCATGTTGCAATGTGGCCACCAGTCTAGGTGACTCGACACTGCGGGCACTATGTATTGAGATTAGATGGTGGTTGGAGGTAGTCAACAGGAAACCCTGGACCCGGGTTTCGTGCTACTTGGCACTCGTCAGCAAGGCGTACCTGTAATCTTGAGGGAACTGGTGCTCCCTGGCGGATTCGATCTCGTGTCACCCAGCTTCACCGTCAGAGACGTTACCACTGAGCTCTCCGAGCCGCAACTGACCTCCTGTAGGACTGAGATGTAATCACAATTGATTGATCACTGGGTGGTGATCAATGTCATGCTTGTCTAGTCCTTATTAGTGCAGATCGAATGCTATGGAAGTTCAAGTTCATTAGTTCAGTATGCCTATAATTTGGTGAATGCCAAGTTTGATACAATTTTATTTTATTGACTACAATTCTAATAGAATGAGCATCAGTTTAACTTTGACGAAATTCCTCTGTTCCGTAATAATTCTTACATAAAAACTTCTATTATTCTGTCACTTTTTTAAAAACAAAATTCATGTTTACTTGTGAAACAAATCTGTGGGATATATTTTTGCTATGAAAAGAAAGAGAAAAGTATCAGATAAGTAGTTATTCAATATATTGTGAATCTATTTTCATGCTACATCCTATCTATTCTCATATGTTTTCACCTGAAATCCTAAAGTTAAAACAACACAATCAATAGTTTGATTGTTTTGCCCAAATTTCTTAAATTAGTTAATCAGCTCTATTCAGTCAGTCAGTCAGTCAGCTACAACGTAGGACCAGGCACATATATGCATCGGTCCAAGTTGCCATACCTCATTAACACAACAAGATGGACACCGGATTCATAAAAGTAGTTAATTCAGAGGTGGTAATATATAAAAGAAAGATTGCATATAAGGATTATAGTACAGGAAGAAAGAATTAGTTGGTAGAATGAAAGATATGAAGCGATTTTCATCTCTTAGTTTAAGGGAAGACAAAGAGTGTATACACTACTCACTTTACTACCGACTAATTTTACAAATGTAAAACATAAAGTTTCTATTAGATTCATTGACTGAAAACAATAAAGTTTACATTTTCTAATTTGTCTAAGAATAAACATGAATAAATCACTCTTATAAATAATAAAAAAAAATGGTTGTTGTATTTTATGCAAATTAATCTGAAATATCATCAATGTACTAAGAAATAGACCAGAGTATATCAATAATGATTTATCAGCTATATGATTTTAGTAAAAATACTTTGAAGCTTCTATACATACATACATTAAGTATTGACTTTTTAATTGGAACGTTATATCATTTAAGCATTCGCCTAAGTTCCCATATTGACAATGTACTTTTTGGGTCCATATATAGTGAAATTTTCAATAGTCTAGTTATTATGTAGGTTTTTATATACTCACAAAGATTTATATCATTTATTAGTATGAGTTAAGATTGTTGTACAAACTGCCCGAATATATACAATAAATAGAAATGTACCTCATTTACTAGTTACATATCGATGTATTCATCTTTGAACAGTTTTTTAAATATTTGATGATTAGGATGAACAAAGTGTTAGGCGATTGAAAATAGTTAAAATGAAATCTTGAACATAGATATCTTATTTTCTTATTATTCTTGTTAGCAAGAACTACATACAGTCTCCAAGGGAATGATGTCTCTTTTTTTTGGATTCAAACTCTAGGTTATCCAATTCTACAGTCTAAGACGTTACTACTAACCTTTTCAGATCACGGTCGACTTTCTATCGGACTAAGATATTTGTTGATTAATCATTGAGTAATGGTTATTATTATAATTGTCCAATCCGATTAGCTAAATCCTGATGGAAAATTTAATTTTCACTCATATTGTAAATAATTAAATATACTCTACTTATGTAAAATATGTCTACTATTATTATTGATTATACATACTATTGCCTAAAGATAGTTTTGATAATGTAACTGACTATGTAACTTTATGTGATTTGGGTTATTTATGAGATGAAGTGAAGACAAAATTTTTGTTTACATTTGCTATTCATTGATTTATGTATTATTTGAAGGAACAACTTACACTAGGTCATAAAATATAAGAAAATCAGTATTCTACTAATCATCATTACTTTTATTATGGATATCTTGTTTATAATTCAGAAAATGAATATTTACTTATGACAAAGACGAATTCTCTGAATTGTTATGAAATAGTATCAGTCTATTCTTACCCTTTTTAGTCATTGCATTAAATAAGGTGAAAAAAAAAGAAATAGAAAGTTGATCACCATGTTGTCTAATCGATTCATCGACCACAGAACATAAACGAAATCTTGTTAATCGATTTACAAAAGACATTTGTTGAATTACACTTTTTGGTAAAAAAAAAAATGGTAGTGTGTGTATTATAAAATAGTATCTCCCATATATGCAAAGTTATTGTATTCACTAGTAAAAAAAAGTAATATCAAGGTTTTCTTGTGACTACTACTAATTTTCAGATACTAACATATTGAAGACAAAATTTTGATATGTGAGGTATGTAAATTTGTCGATTGGTTGATTGATAGATTGTTTAGTTTTGTTTCATTAATTCCTAATCACGTTTTGTCCTAATTGTATATCTATTCAGTAAATGTATATATGTATATGGCCTTTATTTCTTATTGTATATTCTTTTTTTTTCCTACTCTCTTTAATCAATGTAGTTGAAGCAAATTGATATTAGAAAAAAGTGGGCAACAGCTACGATAAAATGAATAATCGGAACGTTTATCAATTATATATATATATATATAAGTATCTCTGTCTTCCAACGATATATTGATTAGTGTTTTATCCATTTTCTGATATTTCAATATATTATGTACATGGTATTATTTCAACAAATGAATGTCAAATAATAAATATGCATAATTTTCATATATATATGTACAGTTACAGTTTTCTCCGCCATCCCCCCCCCCGCTCTCTACCGCACCATCGCATGCTTTGTTCCTTTTATGATACATTAAATATTGTCAAAAGAAATGAAAACTAATAAATTTTTTTCTCTCAGTAACAAATATTCATACCTTTATGTTACTTATTATCATTATATGCCAATGAAAATCTGTTTATTCCATAGAATTTATTTTTATTGTAATATTATTCTGTTTAAAGAAGAAGAAACATTTCAAAATAGGTCCTCTTTTATTACTAACCAATCCATGTCACACTATTTTCTATCCCATTTTATACTTAATTGATATATTCATCACAATTTTAATGGTATTATTCATGTGGATGAAGATTGTTTGATGAAATGAAGAAAAAAGAAGTATCATAAATCAATATTATATTGTCATATTTTATTATATCTTCATGTCGTTCTTATATCTTATATGATGTGTATACACTTTCCTATGTGAAATACTTATTTATATGGTGTTTTTTTTTCAGGTTTCCCTTGGTGATTTTGATCGTTTTCCTTTTCTTATTCTTCTTAACCTATTATTCTCCTCTGTTTTCTTAATTGTTAATAAATCCTTAGGAATGATTACATTTGTATTATTGTTATTCCATCAGATAATTAGTATAGTTTGGTAAAAGTAATGGATTGATTTCATCACATTGATATCATCGATTTGAATTTTATCACAGTTATATCCTCTTCTTTTTACAACTGAAATTCTTTTGCTATTCTTTCAGGACATGTGAAGTATTAGATATAAAGGGAAAAATTAGTTCATTAGTTGTAGTAACATGATCATAGTTGTGATGATAAAAAGCTTTGCACAGAGAGAAAAGTTATTTTTCATCTTGATATCGAAATCTTCATCAATGTTCTCATTTATAATCAACCCAATACAGTAAAGAGACTTACATATTATGTTCCTATGTCTGACATGTAATATAAAACGAATAAGCATGGAAATATCGACTTGCGGGAATATTTTAAGATTACAAAAGGTTAATAATGATTTAATAAGCAAACTGTCAATGACTATAGTACTTGACAAATCGAACTAAGACTCTAATATTTTGTTTCTCAAATACCACCTCCATTATTCTCATTACTTTAGCTTTATGACAAACTTATCACAAATCTTTATTGGCGCAAAAAATGATGTTATAAAAATAAGTTATATTGTCAAGTGAAAATCTTGGTTGTATATCATTTTTAGGTATAATTCTTTACTTGTCATAAGTTTAAAATACATCAGTGATGTTTTGAATTTGTAAATTCATGTAAATCAATCTAAATACAACCATTTTTGGTATTAATTAGTTTCTTCTAGATTTAAAAAACGGTCAGGACTCAGTAGCTGAGTGGATAACGCGATGGCGTTTGAAGCGAATGGTACTGGGTTCGAGTTCCAGAGTGAACATCAACTCTGAGATGCAAGTACATCCAGCTGACGAGTCCCAAACGGGACGAAACGCGCGTCTTGGATTCCACTGTTAGCCACTATCCATCATTGCTTAAAAAATAGTTTGTTTTAAAATTGTAAGTTCCAATTCTTTTTTTTTCAAATGTTCTTAATCTATGTTTATTTTAACTTTCTTTCGCACTTTTTTCTCTCTCTCTCTGTCTATTTCCCTCTCTCACTCTTTCTCCCTTGTATTCTCGCCTCGTAACTTAACAAGAAGTCAATGGATAAAAAAAATAATTTGTTCTTATTGAATAGAAATATGCTTTTCTTTTTCATGTTTTCGTTCAAAATTACTTCTGTATACATTACTACACATTTTCTTAAATATCAAATTCTCTTCTGGACTAACAATGCGGGGTTAACATTGAATATAAATTATACAGATAAATAAGTTATTTAAGTAAGGTAATTATGTAGATACACAAATATATGAATAGATAGATAGATAGGTAGGGAAGTACTAGTCAAAGGAGTAAGGATATATGGAAAAGGAACTAAGCAATATTTTCACTTTCAATAAATAACATTTTAAATGAAGACAAAATCATAAGAAAATATACAGTCATGAAATAATAATGATCGAAATTTGTTCACTTTGAACAGATATTAGTAGTAGTTTGCTGATTATTTTCTTTCTTTTAAAGATGTAACTAAGAATAGGATTTAAGCTTCTTTCATAATTTCAATTAAGGGTTTGTTTTATTTGAATTCGGTACATTCCTTTTCTAAAAAAGCAATAAAAGTGTAAGGATAAAATACGTATTTTTAAACATACTATTTAAAACAATCTACAAATCACCTTTCGTGGGTTCTTTCTAATATAATTTGTAGATTGTACCGGGTTTCTATATAATTCAGTAGAGAATATTCTCGTTATTAAATCCTGGGCGTTCATTATGAGTAAACGTTATTGAATGGCTATAAATGTTTGAAGATTCAATACTATTGACATTTAATATAAAATAGACGGAACGTGGTTAATAGTGAAATTTAAATGGTCCTATGTTCGAGTCCCTAGTGTGGGATCATGGATGCTTACATCTGAAGAGTCCCATGTTGGCATGGAACGGCCGGCCAGTGCTTCCATGTTTTCAATGGTGGTCTAGCTTAGATTGACTCGTGAATTCAACTTTGTAGAAGTTTAATATGCACATATTCGGGACTTATCAACCGAATGTACTTTTACAAATCAAAATAAAGATATTTAGGTTTTATCTTTATTGAAGTGATATCATGTTCTGAATAAGCCATAGTACTTAGTGATAATAAAAATTCTTACATTTGATATCTCTGTGTTCTTATATATATTCTAAATAAAGCACGAATTTATAGTGGTAATTGCCTTTTTAACCCATCATATCATAGTAGTTATACGAAAAGCTTATCAAATGCTAATGATTGTTTGTAAAATGTAATTTACAAAATGTTTCTTAGGAATTCAATGATACATTTGTACAGTATGGTTTTTTTGACGTTGTTTCAAAAAAATAATTTCATCAACAAGCGGACGATTTATATTTAAATTGAATGTAATTGTGACCCCATTCGTCAGTAACTAATGGGGAAAGGTATTCATGTATACCTAAAACGCTTAGCTTTCGGTTAAGATGTTGATTTGATTTTAACTTAATTGACACTCATACTAACTTGTGGGGGTATATTTGACAATTAGTAGTCTGTTGGCAAGTAAACGTGATACTCAATACTTCGATGATTCTATTACGTTACGCAATATCGTATAGAAAATCAGGAGACTGGTCATCTCTTTAGATGAAAATTGAATTCTACCTCGATCATACGGTTAAAGCAAAATATAATATTTTAAAGCCTTTTTTAACAGGCATACTAGCAACAGTTATTAAGATAAAATGTTTACCATATATTTATTAGTTTGAAAACTTTTTCTGTGAGACTATAATCTACGTACGACCTTTGAGCGACGCTGAAGTGACCGTGAGAATGCCCATTAACAAGGACTAAATGAAAGCTATAAACCAGTGTGAGGAATAAGAATTGCTATTTACAGTTGATGGTTAGGGTTAGAATTTTGATTTACGGTTTTCATCACGAAATGGCATCAGCTATATTGCCAAGACACAATTTAGACAAATGCATGAGTGAATTTCGTGGCAAAATCCAAGACTCTTATGTCTGATTGGTTCGTCCATAAATTATAGTCTATTTTCTCCGAACGAGAGCAACGTGTAGTGGCTGGTCCCGTGTCGAGCGCACACAGTTTATTCTAGCTTCTGGACAAAACAATTTATCCGTTCTTTTCAAAATAATCATTTGTCTTTCTAGGAAAATATCATTTTATCTTCACTAAATTATATCCATCGTTTGAATTATGCTTTAAAAATTAAAATAAATGAGCTAATCTCGCCTATCAACTGGTCACAAATACTATGCGCTCAAAAGTTATCAGACAAAGAATAGCCCTTTAATGATGTATGTTGATCACACGCCCAAAAGCTTAGTCAATCTTTCTAGAGAATCTTGAAAGATAATAATCGAAATTTGATTGAAACGTAGCTAATAGTAACCATTTAAAATCAGAATCGTGTGAAATTTTATCTGTTTCGTGATCTAAAACTTCATTATAAAAAGGTTTATATCATTTGCTCGCTTTATTCACATTTTTACAGTTATTTAAGCAAGTTGTTTCAATTTTCAATCAAGATCTCTTATTTTATCTGTATGTAGTGTTATACAAGCCCACACTGCTTATTCTATCTTTCGGACAGACCAATTTATTCATTCTTCTTGAATCACATCTTCACTTTGTTAATTATTCGCTTATCAAACTTGACTGTTTTTATGTAATCGTATGTGTGTGCATTTTCTATCTTACCCATCACATGTGTGTAACTTATTTTTATCTGATTACAAATATTGATCCATGCTTGATTAAATCGAGTTGGCTCGTACGCCTTCTCCATCGCGCGTCATTTCGCTTTGCTATCTTCTCTTCGCTACGTCTCTTTGATTGTCTGTTCCAATCAACGATTATATAAAATATACGTATTTGAAATGCATTCTCGTATTTGACCTATCTAATTCCGTTATTCACTAACGTAATTCAAGTCGATGATTATATAAGAGGACAGGAAGGATGTATATTTTGACAACAATCATCCATACGACCTAACTGGAGTCAAATCTCAGGTCACTGAAAACGTACTCATTCTTATATAGGTATCTAACGTACTACGTAAAATCAAATAAGTGCTTAAACCGTTGAAAATTCTGATCTATGGAAAATCTTACTTATACCTCTTATCCCTCCTCGAGGAGCATAGGCCGCCAACCAGTACTCTCCATCCAACCCTGTTCTGGGCAGTCCTTTTCTTATTTACTTCCAATTCTTCGCTCAGTGCGTTCCTAGCCCTTGCACTTTTATGTTTCTCTTCAGGATTCCATGTTAGCGCTTGCTTTGTGATGCGGTTTTATGACTTCCTCAATGTGTGTTCTATCCACCTCCACAGTTTTTCTAATTTCCTCAGCTTGAAGCTGGTTTGTCCTCTTTCATTGTAGACTGTCACTGATGGTACCCGACCAACGGACACTGAGTATCTTCCATAGACAAATTGTTTATAAATAGTTGTACCTTTTTGATGATGGTTGTGGTAATTCTCCAAGTTTCTGCTTCGTATTGAAGATTCTGACTTTGATATTGGTTGACAGTTGTTCTCGGTTCCATATGTTCTTCAACTGTAGGAGTGCTGGCCTTGCTTTGTCAATCCTCGCCTTTGCATCTACATCGGATTCTCATTGTTCATTGAGGATGCTTCCCAGGAACGTGAAGGTTTCCACCTGTTCCAGAGCTTCTCTATCAAGTGTGATTGCGTTGATGTTCTCTGTGTTGTATTCAAGGATCTTAGTTTTTCTCTTGTGTATGTTGAGGCCTACTGCCATCATTCGTGGTTAAAACGTTTGTAATTCCCATTACGACCTCCCCTACTAACTAAAATTCATCTATTTTAATAAATGAACTACTAAAATATCTACAGTTACACCACGTGATAAAGCTGTGTAATCTCAGCTACTTCAAGTTGAACTTTGCAAAAAGAAAAACTCGATCACTTTTGTATCACTCATCGTTTCTAACTACATCTGACTAAAATCCCTATACTTTCCTATCAATATTAACCGTCAAAATAGTTACGTTTATAGTATTTCTAAATTTAATCAAACTCTCAGTCAGCCAGTCCGTAACAACGTACGTACATCCATTCGAGTTGCCATACCACATGATCACAAAGATACAATTGTCGATTCAAATCCAGTAGTGGTAGAGGTAATAATAGTATAGGCAGTCAGTGAAAAGATTAGGGTTTGAAGATGTTATTGAAGGAGTATAATCCGGTGAAATAAGTTTGTAAAGAGAAATAAAAAATGGATATGAAGAATTCAGAGGATTAGAATGTAGGAGAACACAAAGAGTGGATACACCTGAGCCATTGCAAATGATTTTGAGCCATGTTATTTAAGGTCTCTAACCATCGGTTGCTATCACCTCGTGGATCCCAAACGCGAATCTCAAACCCTAATAACAACTTGATACATTTCATGTTAAATGACTAAATTAACAGTAAAACTGTTCATAAACAAAAAATTTAAAATATCATTCAAAAACTTTTAATCTTCAACTATATAAACAATAGATGGATAGTGGCTAGCAGTGGAATCCAGGACGCGCGTTTCGTCCTGTTTGGGACTCGTCAGCTGGATGTACCTGCATCTCAGAGTTGATGTTCACTCTGGGACTCGAACTCAGTACCGTTCGCTTCAAACGCCATCGCGTTATCCACTTAGCTACTGAGTCCTGATAGCCACTTGCTTGTGCAATGGGTTGAAGTTTAATTCACTTGATATTGTTTTATTTGAATCTTCCCATTGATGTTTTTGGACTGAAATTGATCAGTCTCTTATGTGAGACTGATCAATTTCAGTCCAAAAACATCAATGGGAAGATTCAAATAAAACAATATCAAGTGTATATAAACAATAGTTTATTATGAAATACATAAATATTTACACATGCAACTTACATTTCTTTAAACAGGACTACTGAGAAAATTTGAATCAGGTATCAAATCTGGTTGAAATCCAGTAAAATTTTCACTAATTTCAAAATCAGAATCTAATGGTAATAGTTCTGAGTCTTCATGCTCAAATATATTTGAATCATATGAATTACCATTAAAATCTATATGCATTTGTACTCCGTCATTATCATATGATAATTTGTTTGATAATGGTATTGATTCTAATAGTTCACTAACAGTAGCTTCCATTTGCATACCCACACTTAAATCTGTTAGATTTTGTTCATTTGGACTAAGATCGATTGATGTACTTGATCCATGAGATGAATATACTGAATGAGGTGATGAATTGTCTGTTAAAGATGATGACCAATTATCTCCAGATTTCCATTGATGATCATTATAAACAGGTTTTACAGTTAATTTCATTGGGTTCAATGTTTTATTGTTTTCATGAGCAAATACCTGTTTTGTATATACATGAATATTAGAAAAAATAAACTTTTTGAGATCATGAACTGACTGACGTTAGACCACCGTTAGAAACCTGGAAGCACTGGACAGCCGTTTCGTCCTATTGCGGGACTCCTCAGCAGTGCCTATCATCGACCCCTCACGAAGAGGGAATTCTCGGAGTTCTAGTGAGAAGCCGCGACCAGTGGGACTAATCCGTGTCGGGTAGAGACAGGTATCTACCTCAGTACAATGGAAGATGGTCGCACAATTTCGTAGATTGGCTGATGTTAGACACTAACACAATTGCATGCCGACTCAGTGGTCCAGTAGGTTAAGCATTCACGCGCGAGACTGAAGGTTCTGGGTTTGAATCCCGCAAGCGAGGTCGTGGATGCGCACTGCCGAGGAATCCCACAATAGGACGAAACGGCTGTCCAGTGCTTCCAGATTTCCAACGGTGGTCTAACATCAATCGGCTGACGATCGCAATCAATAACTTAATAATCTCCACAACCCTTATACTGGTAAGAAATAAACTGTTTTATATTCATGTTACATCTAATAGTTAAATAAATATAGCTAAGTACATGACTCATCATAAATATGAAATCTTGACATTCAATCATGTTAACTAGATTTTGTTAATTAGTTTTACCATAAAGCTGCTGCTTAACTAGATAACTCGTATTGTACTATGAAGGTAAGTGATGCAATTTTCAGTATCTTGAGAACAGATACTAATATGCCAAAAAATCTGAAGAATATAATTTACTTCTTATTACTTAAATATAGGCATTATTTCATCAAACATACTTTACTGTATCATTTCATTATGAGCAAAGATACATTTTAAAGATTCTGTGCCAAGTAAATATTCAGAAAATAAGTGAGAATGATATCCGGTTAAAGTCACTATGTTTAGATACGGAATATATACATTTGAGTGTTAGAAAATTGGAAACATCATCTAAGGGCTTGGACATTTTTTATAATTAAGCCGGATAATCAGTAGACATAAACAACAATGACATGATTTCCTAAATATTCTCAGTTAAGAAAGTTTGAGAGAAAAAAGTTTGTATTTTATTGAGATCATGAACTAACCCACATTAGACTCATCGAAAATCCGGAAGCACTAAACAGCCGTTTCGTCCTAATATGGGACTAACAGGTGATGCGCATCAATAACCTTTTGGGGGTTGGACCTAGAACTTTCAGGTCTCGTGGCGAGTGCCTAATCATTGGATCACCTGTGTAGAGCCCGAAATTTTGCATTGTTAACTTTAGTCAATTTATAATATTTCACAGCTATCTCTCATTGTCTTTAACGAGTAGTGGATTCACATTTGACACGACTAAACGTAATTGGTCACGGCTTGTTACCGTAAATTTCCTCTCAAAGTTAAACATGTAATCAATAGATGTCGGTTCAGTGGTCTAAAGGTTGATCTATCACTGAAAGATCTCTAGTTTCTGCGTTTCCTCCTCGTTGGGGTCGTGAATGCGAACTGCTAAGAACGTCCACCATAAGATGAAATAGCTTCTCCGGCGCTTCTTTATTTTCAATGGTGAGTTCATGATCTTAATAACATTTATTAACCTCTACAAATCCCCATATCCATAGTACATACATCCTAAGCAAACCTTCGACAAATAAGTCTATGGTGAAATCAGCTTCTATAAACTGTTAACTATTTAAACTCAATCTCTCTAGATCCTACTCTATAGTACTATGTTTTTCCTTATACCTTTATTATTACACTGTCATAACCTACAACTGTACTATTTATCTATTTCAAAAGTGAACAAAAGTACAAATGATAATCATCGATAACAATCATAAATAATACTAGCAATGAATTGAACTTACCATTTGATTGTAAAGATAATTTATTTGTGAATATGATGAAGAATGAATATTATTATTATTATTGTTATTATTATTATTATTATTGTTATTATTATTATTATTATTATTATTAGTAGTAGTAGTAGTAGTAGTAGTAGTAGTAGTAGTAGTAGTAGTAGTAGTAGTAGTAGTAGTAGTAGTAGTAGTAGTAGTAGTAGTAGTATGTAAAATTGTAGGTTTGTTGTCTTGGCACATTGTTGAATATTCAGTATATTTACCACGTTTATCATCATATCGAAATTTATTCTTAGATATATTGGAAGTATTAAATGTTTGTAATTTATTTAACATTATTGATTTTGTTGAAACAGTTGATGGTAAAGATGAAGCTGAAGATAAGAAAATTAACTTTTTTGAAGGTGATGACGATGATGATGATGATGATGATGATAATGATGTATAGTTAACTACTGGTAACATAGATTTTACATAATATGGAACTGATGATATATTTGAAGGAGAATGATGCAATGAAGATTTGGTTGTAGAAATATTTAATACAGAATTTATTTGTATATTATAACTATTATCATTAGCCTTAGTAGTATCATATAAATGTGAATTCAAATGAGATAAATAAGACACTTTATTATTATTATTATTATTACCATTATTATTCAATGAAAGTAGCCTAATGGATCTAATCTGATTATTTGTAGAAATAATCTGATTATATCCTTGTCCTGATTGTTGTTTTATATATTGAGTAGATTGAAATGGAAACAATTTGATAGGTTTAATAATGTTACTATTTTTAATCACTAATGATGTAGATGGTTTTTTTAAGCGTACAGGACGAAATGATGAATTAGATATACGAACTTGTTTACTTTTCAATTGTTGATGATAACGACGATTAATTGAATATTCATTTGAAGGATTACATTTGAATGGTTTCATTATGTTTTGAGAAGAGATATAATTGTCATTGATAGTATTATTTAGTTTTAATTCAAATTGTTTAAGTGAAAGTTCAAAAGTTACACTTAGTAATCTTTGATTCGATCCAACAGCACAAGTGTATAATTCACATAATCTAAATAAAAGAAATAAACAATATTGTTTTTTTTCTCTTGTTCAATAACATGTAACATTATAAAAATTAAAATAATAGTGTTTTATGTAAATTAATTAATTAAATATTTTAGTCAGTCAGTCAGTCAGCAACAACGTAGGACTTCGTAAGTACGTACATCAGTTCGAGTCGCCATACCACATTAGCACAGACATACAAGTGTCGATTTAAATCCAGTAGTGGTAGAGGTAGTAAGAGTATAAGCAGTAATCGGAACTATTAAGGTTTGAAGATGTTATTCAAGGAGCATAATCCAGTGAAATAAATTTGGAAAGAGAAATAAAAAAGGGACATAAAGAATTCAGAAGATTCGAATATCGGAGAACACAGAGAGTAGATGCACCTGCGCAATTGCAAATGATTTTGAACCATATCATTCAAGTTCTCTAACCATCGGTTGCTATCAACTCGCGGATCCCAACCAGGTAGTGTACACCTACCAACATGACTCAGTCCACTTGCCAATGGGTTTGTGCCATGTTTTGGTCTGGACGCCCCTAGCTTTCTTCTAACCTGTTCCTACACTATAAAACATTGCTCGTCGGGGGAGTCGGGAGATGAGCATACCTAACACACGTCCTAGCCACCTCAACTGATGAATTTTCTTTGTTTCAGCAATTGATTTCCCACCCTTACTTAGTAACTGTTTCCTAACAACTACATTACTTATTCGGTGGTCTCAGGATATATGAGCAATGCATCGAAGACACCTATGATCAAATACTAGTAACCTACGAATACCCTTTACTCTTACCGGCCATGTTTCACTGCCATAAAGTAGAACGGAAAGAACTGCTGCGCAGTAAACCCGTCCTTTGGTTGATATACGGATATCTCGCCTACGCCATGAATGACGTAAGTTGGTAAAAGCTAGTCGAGTCTTCTGTATCTGTGCTTAGATTTCGTCACACACCAAACCACAAGGGCTGATTAGACTTCCCAGATAAGTGAAGCGGTCGAGACGCTCAACTACTTCATTCCCCATCGTTACTTCAGGTATCAGTTCAACCCAATCCTGAAGCATTTTGCATTTCAAGGGGGAGAATCACATCCCGAACATGCATGCATTGTTGCTTAGAGTGGTTCGAACACTCTGCATTTTGCCAGCGTCTTCACCAAATAGAACTATCTCATCGACATGTTCTAAGTCAATAAATGAATCTGCCGATAAACGTTCAACTCCTGGAAATTTAGATGATGAAAGTGTTATCTCTAAAAGCACGTCAACGACCAAGTTAAACAGGAATGGAGAGAATGGACAGCCCTGACGAACGTCACATGATGTAATCAGTTTTGATGACAGTTCGCCATAAGCTCTCACTCATTAAATATATACTGAAATCAAAAATTGTTTAACGTCATGATGATTACGGTCGCGAAGTGAATCATCTTTAATAAATTAACCTCAGACCACTTGATTGACTGACTTGGTTAAATATTGTCAATAATCCACTTTTAGTATTTGAAGATTTGGTTTAAATATATACATAACAAATGCATGGTTAGCTGTAATAAATTCGTTCAAAACATGGATGTCGTTGATTCTCTTCATATTGACTACTAAGATTATACTGCTAACTTCAGTATTGATAAATCGAATGATTGACTAAACTTCAGAAGTAATTTAGATTCACTGTATATTAGACAAAAAATCTTTCTAGCCAAATCAGTCAGTCAGTCAGTCAGTAACAACGTAGAACTTCGTACGTACGTACATCGGTTCGAGTTGCCACACCACATTAGCACAGAGATGCACTTGTCGATTCAAATCCCGTAGTGGTAGAGGTAATAAGAGTATAAGCAGTAATCGGGAAGATTAGGGTTTGGAGATGTTATTTAAAGAGTATAATCCAGTGAAATAAATTTGGAAAGAGAAATAAAAAAGGGACATAAAGAATTCAGAAGATTCGAATATCGGAGAACACAGAGAGTAGATGCACCTGCGCCATTGCAAACGATTTTGAGCCATGTCATTCAGGGTCTCTAACCATCGGTTGCTGTCATCTCGCGGTCCCCAACCAGGTAGTCTACACCTACCAACATGACTCAGTTCACTTGTCAGTGACTTCATGGACTTGTGCCATGTTTTGGTTTGGCCGCCCCTAGCTTTCTTCCAACCTACTCCTATAACACTGAACATAGCACGTCGAGGCAGTCAGTCGTTGGGCAAATCGTTTTTATTCAGTCATTACTTAGCAATCAATTAATTGTCAGTCACACCTTTAATAGCTTAGTGCTGACATTTCAGACTGTGGAACTGGGTGATATGGATTTGAATCCACCAGCGACATCATTTCGGTCAATACTGTAGTTATACCTTGGTTGTAATTGTCCACTCGCACAAAACCATGATACAAGGTTTCTTGTTGATTACCTCTAAACATCTCACAATAAAAAGCAGGAAGAATGATGAAATTCGTAAATTAAAGCATACAGAATAAGTATAATTGTATAGGTATTGATTATATTATGTTCTCACTCGAACATACATTTAATATTTCCAGTACTATAAATCTCTGATAAGCGGTTGGATATAACAATTTTGAATGATAAAGCAACATAGTTGATTCTGTTAAATTCTTTTACTCCGTATTCTTGAAAGGTGTCAAGAATCCATGATGTATTATATTCTTATAACTAATTGTTATTAAGAAGTTTTAGTGTACCCAGTAATTTTTTTGGATTAATTAAGCGATGGTGATTAGGAAAGAAAATTATTTAGTTGTTATCATTTACCTAAATATAAAATTATCCTCAGAGAAAACTTTTTCCACAATTCTTCTATTTCAAACATGTATTATGCACCCAAATAGACCCTTTTAAAAATATGATTCATGACTTATGCTATTGAACGCTGTATACGTGTACCCCTTCAATCAATAAATCCTAACTCTATCACAGGACAGCAATATTTGTACACAAAATATATCATATCGAATTTTCATTATTGTAATTGAGGTCAGAATAAGTAATGACAAAGTGTACTAATGATTCAGTATGCTCGTCTCATGAGGTTAAATCAACCAATTTTATCAGATTCTTTATTACTATGAATAGTTTAATTTAGCCTGCATTTTTTCTCAACATACTTGAAACCTATCGAAAATTTGTATTTAGTATGAAAATAGTTTACATTCCATACTAATATTAGTTCGAAAATGAATTATTGAACTATTTGTTTCATTTCAGTTTAAAACTGCTCATCAATGTTCAGTCATTCATCCATTTAAATCCACGTGTAATGGTTCACATTTATCAACTTCAATATGTTTCGTTGCATCATAAGACTATCATTCAATGGTATCGAAGTTCAGGCTCATTCTCTGTACAGTTGGTCTCAGAAATCATATAGTCTAACTTGTGCATGAATATCATCTTGCTTGTTTAGTTGAAATTAGATTAGTAATAGAGAAGTCAAATGAAAAATGTAACATGATCTAAGGAATTCACTTGGTATTGTTTGTTTGAATCTTCCCATTGATGTTTAGGACTGCAATTGATCAGTCTCTTATTGGCATATGTTTATAATGTGCTTATCGCCTCGATATTGCCTTAAGTCACAAGCATTATGTGTAACGATGGTTAGTGACTAGCAGCAGAATCCATGACACGCGTTTCGTCCTGTTTTGGATTCGTCAACTGGATATCCAGCATCTGAGATTGGATGTTCACTTCGAGACTCGAAATGAATCTAAGCTTCACTCCATTGAACAAACTTGTGGCTATAAGGACTCAGTAGCTAAGTGGATAACGTGATAATGTTTGAAGCGAACGGTACCGCATTCAAGTCCCAGAGTGAACAATAACTCTAAGATGCAGGTACATCCAGCTGATGAGTCTTAAATAGAACTAAACGCGCGTCCTGGATTTCACTGCTAGCCACTAGCAACCTTTGCTTACAATCTAAGGAAACTTGAAAATAAAACCCATTTATTTGTAGCCGAATATAGGAATTACCAAAATTTCAACTTTCAGAATCATATGTACACTCTACTATAGTAGATATCTCTTCAAAATATGGAAGCTAAAAACAGCTACACATTCCATTTTTCTCAATGACAGGAACAATTTGTAGTATAAATGTTGTTTACTAATATGTTTATTGTATTTTTTAAAGACATGGATACATTAGCAAATGAGTAAATCATCACATTCAGAGGATGGATGAATAGTTTGTTTTGTTTTGTTTAAATATACAAATAAATATACAATTTTAGTGTTTATTATCAATAATTGAAAACTATAAACTACTTAAATCATTAAGAACTTTCGTCTAAATTTGATCGAATAGTGTCATAGTGTTTGGATGCCGAGTTAATGTAAGACATTATAAAGAGGAAGAATGGTATTTGTAAAATCTCACTGAAAGAATTCAAAGTAAATCCAACTTAAATCATTTATAATATTTTCATTAGTAGTTTATATTAAGAAGATATTTGATATATACAGTCTTTATTCATCTATTGAATATAACGAGTTTGTAGGTATCAATGCCAAGATTAGACTTGATAGTTTCAAATAAATTAAGAATTGGTTAGAAAGTTAATAATATAAGACAATTATTCAGAGTCGATTCTTTAAAAGTAGATTACATAAAGTCACGAAATGTCAGAAATATAATTTTCTATTCATTGAGATATAACAAAATAGATATATTTATTATTACTGAACGTAATTATCATCTCTTCTCTTTTCTTACACCTGTTACCCCTCTTGGAGGAGCATAGGCCGCTCACTAGCATTCTCTATCCAACTACTTTAAATATTCTTTTCCAGTTGCTATTCATTCTTTTGATGTCTGCTTCCAATCCTCAATCCAGTGTGTTTCTTAGTCTTGCTCTTTTCCGTTTTCCTTCAGCATTTCAAGTAAGTACTTGCCTCGTGATGCAGTTTGATGATTTGCTCAATGTGTGTCCTATCTACTTCCAGTGTCTTTTCCTAAATTCCTCTTCATCTGGAATCTGATTTATCCTCTTCAATAGTAGAATGTTGCTGATAGCATCCGGTTAACAAACATTGAGTATCTTGAGTACACAACTCTTTAGAAATACTAGTACTTTTTTTGATGATGAATTAAATAGTTCTCCAAATTTCAACTTCGTACAACATAAGTATCACCTCATATGATAATTATTTTTCAAGGATCGACTGAATACTATTCATAATTGAAAATATAAAATATCCCGGTATTATTTATCTAAGATCAAATTCAACATATGGTGACTATAAAATAAGCACAGGAACAGATTCTACTTAATATTGACCTTTTTAACTTGAATCAAGTGCAAATACTCTTTCTGACTCATTTACTTTTTACTGGCGCGAGACTGATTGGTCCTGGGTTCGAGTCTCGCGGGGTGCGGGATCATGGATGCGCACTGCTGAGGAGTCCCATACGAGGACGAAACAGCCGTTCAGTGCTTCCAGGTTTTCCATAGTGGTCTAGCTTCCATTGACTCATGATTTCAATCTGTGTCATTTACTTTTTGTAGCTTTTAACGAATTCCATTCATTTAAAAAAAGGATATAGAAGAAATAGGTTAAATTCATACACAATCAACATACAATGGTAACTTTTGTAATACAAGTGCTTACCCAAGAAACTGACTGGAACATATAAAAATATTTTTCATTTTGTTGTACGATACTAAACTACGTATCCAACGATAAGATTTTTCAGTATTATTGTTTATCATTTTATTATGTACTGATACTCTGTATGGACTGATCCATGCCAGAGAATTTGTATGAATTACTAAAGAGAATTGTATAAAGTAAAGAGCATCGAAAAAGTTAATGTTCACAAATAGATAGGAAGAATGTATATTTTATGAAAACAGAATATTCTTGGCTTTTAATAATCTGATATATGGTTAACGGTGGAATCCATAGCGCGAGCTTCATCTTATTTAGGACTACTCATCTAGATGGATCCTCATCCCAGTGTTGATAGTAAGATTGAGACTCACTAATCTGTTTCTAATACTTTTTATTAAAATTCTGTTTGACTCAATGAATGAATGGTAAATTACTCGCTGATCAAATCAACAGTTGTTTTAAAATGTATTGTTGTCTTGACAACAATATTTTGTATAAGAGGTGTCATAATGAAAAAACAATGATGTTTCTGGTAATTGAATGCTTAATACTGACTAATAACCATTCCCTAGTTTCCAGATGCCTCCAAAACTTCAACTTTGAAAGAACGAGCAAAGGTGGGAAATACGGAAAGAACTTTTTCTTCCAATGTTAGTTTAGATACAGAGAAGAAAGTTATATATAAGTCTGTGTACAACCTTAACATTTTAGATGCGTCTGGCAATTTGATGAACATAACATATAGTCTACCGTTTTTCCAAAACTTTTGGAGAAGTTTCTACTAAATCCCGAGTGATGTTAGAGTTTCATCTTTCTATAAGTTGCTGAAAATGTTTCCTAGGAATTTTAGAGGGTTACCAACATCTAGAAAACAGCAAGTTTCAATTTTAAAAGACCTCAATAATGACAAGTTCCATTAATAATTTTCGATCAGGACAACAGTCAAAAATCAAACTTTGGGTTCTTATCTGTTTGTATTATCCGATCTTATTATCATAATGTACAGGAACATTAAGAACTCGCTGTTAACTGAAAGTATATTATATAACTCAAAGATCAAATAGAATGTTACTTTCTTGAAATGTATTCAATTATTTCAGTCAATTTTCACAAAAGACATTTCTAAAAATGGATTGAATGACATTCCATTTTGTAAAAACATAATTAAAATCAGATCATATAACAATAACTACGACTGTTATACTTAATGGTGATCCCATATTGTCATTAGGTAAGACTATAAAGTGAAGTTGTATATGGAAACATTCTATATTCAACAAATATGCAGTTAGTTAATATGATTTGTAATCTTAGTTGTCTTGACTACCTATCCATTCTAATCAGAATAAGTTAATATTTCAGTAGAAACTTGGTTACTCCTATGTTTGAATCTGTTGTTGTTGCTATTATAAGGTTTTCAATGATTAATTCTGGTATAGTTCATTACTGTTAACTTGATTTCAATATATATTTTGTTTCCTATAATTACTGTCCGGACATTCCGTGTACCTATAGAAATTGTTGCTCTGGTTGTTAGAAAAGGATGAACAACAACTGGAAAGAGCTGGAAAGGATTTCCCAGGACAGGGTTGGATGGAGAATGCTGGTGAGCGGCCTATGCTCCTCCACGAGGAGTAACAGGTGTAAGTAAGTATATATTTCGTTTCACTAACAATAAATCATGAATAAATTTCAATATGAAGTATTATTAATTTTCAATTTTTGGCAATAAGAATGAAACCTACTTCTAGTAAAAATAGTAATAACATTTTGTAGATCATCAGGATGAATAAACTCAAGATAAGAATAATTGATTATACCATTCTGATCTTCAATATCGAAACAGTCTGTATAACTGTAAAATGTAATCAAGCACATTAGAAAAATTATAAACAAGCTGTTTGAATACAAAAATATAAGTAAAGGTATTTTTTGAAAAAGATCCAAATATTTAGTTAATGGTTCACTGATTAATTGGATCATTCTATTATTCCATTTCTTTCATTTAGCTAGAAGTTTACATCCTCTAATTTAAACGTGTTTTCATCCGATTATCATGTATATATCAAATAGTCTTATCTTCAAGTGCGCTCCATGATATCTGAAGGTCTTGGGTTTGGTCCCTGGATGATATTAAAATGACTGTGGTTTCTATTTTTGCCCCAAATGATCAATTTTAAAGGTATAATTATAAACATTTAAAAAAAATAGTGATTGGCCCAAGTGTTATCGTAATGTGTCTTGAATATTATTACCAGATGCACAGATTTCTCGCGCAAATATACAAAGATATAGCATACTGGGATTCGAACTATCTCTAACTGCAATCACGTTCGAGCCTAAGTCTAAATTATCAGTAGTATGATTGCTAGACCTCATTATTACTGAAAAGTCAATCACCTTTATATCCATCTTAAAACACTAATCACTAATCATACCGTTTTTAAGATTGATAATATCATAAGGCAACAGATTTGTGGAATACGAAGGGGGGAAGTGTGAAAAACTGTTCATAAATGTAAGAGGTAGGTGTGATTGATAAATTTAAACAACAGTTGTTTTAATGTTGGTCTCGATCTACGGTTGTATCTTGGATACACACTGTTGAGGATTAATATTACTTGGGATGAAATAGCTGGGTACTGTTTCATAATTTTTAATGGTCGTCTAAGACCAGACCATGAAGTAGACTAAAACTCAGCAATCTTCATAAACTTTTGTAGTAATATATATATCAAAAGGTAATCAATTTTCGAAGAGTTTTTATTTTATAGACAGATTTACGATCGACACAAATATAGTAGGATAATTTAACATTGGAAGGTTTACAACAATTGATCAAGCAATGGAATTTGATTAATATCATGTGACTATTATAAATGTTCATGATTTAAACACTGAGCCACGATATTTGTATGAAAATAATGATATTACTTAGCTTCCGAAAGATGGACAGGGATTTTAACCAGTGACTGATTGGTTGAAAACTTAGTGTGTTAACGACCAAGTAACGGCTTCACATAAGTTTCCTAGATGAAGAAAAGACGGGGTGTTATTAGAAAGTAGTGAGTGGGCAGTCAGTCAGCTACAACGTAGGACCAGGCACATATATGCATCGATCCAAGTTGCAATACCTCACTAGCACAGTAAGATGAACACCAAATTCATAGTAGTTACTTCAGTGGTAGTAATATATAAAATAAAGATTGTGTATTAGGATATAATACAGGAAGATAGAATTAGTTCGTAGAAATAAAGGTATAAAGCAATTTTAATCTCACGGTTTAAGGTAAGACTAAGCGTGTATAAACTCTGAATGGGCAGTGGATTTAATCTATATTTTACGCTAAGCATTTGTCCACCAGTGCCATGAGGAAACAGTTATGCAGTATCACCAGTCGATTAAACTCAGGAGCGTAAACTATGAAATCCCGAATCAACAACATAAAGGTTGAGTTATCTATGAGAGATATCAAGGTTTGGCGTCTGATCCCTGGTAGAGATGCGGGAATTAGCTACAAAAGGATCTCATGATAAGACGAAATAGCTGTTTGTGTGCTTCTTTATTTTCAATGGTTGTCTAGCTGAGGTCAATTCCAAATCTCAATAACAATCAACGATCTTCGCAAACCCCTGTACTAAAAATATTATTTTCATTATTTATTAAATACAGTAAAGTCAGAAATTTTTCAAGAATCACTTACTTTCCTTGAACCATTTTTATTGTCAAAGCACAATTTAAATATATATGACATTGGAAAGATTTTGATTGTATACATTCCTTGTTTTGTTCAAGGGAAGGGATTTTCATTGACGTCGATACATTAAGTAATGATGATGATGATGTTGTATCAACATTGGAGAGTTCCGTTAACGATTCATCTGACTGTCTAATGTTGATGTTTTTATGTAACTCACAAGAAATTGATGAATCCTGTTTATCATTAGCAGCTGACTTTTGTGAATCTTCAAGTAAATGGACAGATGAATCTAAGAGATTATTTTGATTTACATCTCCACCAATATTATTATCATTACTATCATTACTAATAGTGTTATTATGATTATATTCAGTATCGTTGCTTATGGAATACACATGATTTGTCAAATCATCATATGATGAAGTTTTATTGCATACAGGCTGTAAAATACATAAGTACAATCCAGTAGATAAAGTTGAACTGATCTCATCAAAACTATCACATGAATTACATGGATTATTGATTATGGAAAAAGGGTGAGAATTATCACATAATGATTCAAAAGTTGAAGAATCTTGAGAAAATGAATCCTTCATTAATATATCCAATAATTCATTATTGATTAGAGATTTATCATCATCATCATCATCATCACCATTGATATAGTTACCATCATCAGTGAAACTATTATTTACATTACATTCATATAATGAATTCAAAATTTCACTGAATCCAGTTGAATTATCAGTAAATGTATTGATCATCAAATTACTCCAACAGTAACATATCTGTAATATTTTCAAAATATAAACTGACTAATTCAGTAATGTTTATTTATTTAAGAATAAATTAATAATCATAATGATAATTTTCAAGTTTAACTTCGAAGTATCTGATGACTAAAACTTCTATTCATCATTATATACAAAGATGGATAGTGGCTAGCAGTGGAATTCAGGATGCGCGTTTCGTCCTATTTGGGACTCGTCAAATGGATGTACCTGCATCTCAGAGTTGATGTTCACTCTGGGACTCAAACCCAATACCATTTGCTTTGAAAGCCATCGCGTTATTCACTGAGTTTGAGCCTCAGAGGGAACACCAACTTTGAGGTGCTGGTACATCTAAATGATGAGTCCCAACTAGGAGGAAACGCGCGTCCTGGATTCCGCTGCCAGCCATTATCCAACCTTGCATGTAATGCTTGTGAATTCATGCAATATCGAGGGGCAATGTGCACAGTATGAACATATGCCAATAAGAGACTGATCAATTGAAGTTCTAAACATCAATGGAAAGATTCAAACAAGCAATACCAATTGAATTATATATATATATTAGACTCTGATGGTATCACAGCTAATATCAAATAGACAGTCCACTAGTTTAAAGTCAAGCTATCATTTCATACTAGAAACCTTAACCTTTCCACAAGGTAACATAATAAGAATAATAAAAGATATGTATATAATACCGATGTCAGGATGTGGTTAGAAACAGAAAATGTGCTTATATAAACTGATAGCACAAATAAATTACATTTTATAAAATTATACGAGAAACTAATTGGTTAGAGCTTGAATGAATCCTAGTAATTTATAATTTTTCTTGAACCGAATCTTATCTATAAAATAAAAGTAATTAATTAAAATCTCCTTGTATTTATATTTAATAAACTGGGTACTATGGTGGTATAAATATTTGGTATAATGTAGTATTGTCAGTTTGCACTAATCAATAGTTACTAACTAATAAAAACACATTGAGTATATGTTACTTTCCATTGATTCTTTAATTTCAATAGTTGAGTTATCTGAAGCTAGACCACTATGGAAAACCACAATAGGATGAAACGGCCATCCAGTGCTAGCTTCAAATGACTCATGATCTCAACTATTGAAATTACAATGATTGTTGAAGGATCTTTATAAACTAGTTATATAAAGTAATTTATAGGTAATCGATTATTAGTTTCATGATAGACTCTCCAAAAGGAAAGTGAGAAACTTTACATGTTAAGTCAGGCAAGTTTACAGTGAGATAGTTATTCCCATTGATAACTTTAAGTGAATATTAACACACATCGTCGAATAATAGAAGTTACAAAGTTTTAATGTAATCGGGGATTAATCTTTCTGATTCTCGACCCGACTATGGGTTCTAGCTTTCTATTGCTAAGAAGTAGTGATGCAAGGAAATGCTAGAACTTTGGTATATAATCCCAATATGTATTTATTAAACAATTAATTTATATTTTTGTTTAGTTCTAAATTTATAGTAACCTTTCATCTACTAATTATTTTCTTTATCTCTTATTATCTATTGTTTATGGTTAAATTAATGATAAATGCATTATTCAGCCTCACATAAACAATCATCTAATTATGTACTTACTGTGGTTTATTATGTTTGCTTTGTTATGGTATGTTATTTTGGATTCATAACCAAGTACGTTTACGGGCCTAAGTATCTAAATATTAAATACTAAGGTATTCATACTGAACACCACCCGTTGATCTTTCCAGTCTATAAGAAATGGTAGTTGTCCTCTTCTCAAACTGATCTAGTATCCTAAAGTTCATAATGGTCTAAGATCTACATGAAATAAACGGATAGTAAAATCTGATTAAACTAGAAAGTCTGCAAGGCTGATTGAGCGTTAATTAGCTTAAAATTGAGTCTGTTCATAGTTCTTCAACATGAATTTATTTTTCAGTATTACAGTGTTCTTTTTAAATCTCTTTGCTAGTTTACACTGTTACACTCTGTAACCTTTGTTCATATGTTCCAATAACAATCCCGACCGTCGCTGCTACCCTGACGCAATGGTCGGGCTTGCCTATCGTGATGAACCAACCGAGCTATACTGACTCGAACAACTGTTCCTCAAGGTCCTACCATGCCATACAGGTCGGTTGAGGAGTGACAGGACTAAAAGCAGCAAACCCAAGGTTCAGGGGCGTAGTCGCACTGCTAACTGTGCAGAGGTGTGGTGGCCTCGCCTTATCCAACGGATTTCTGTCTCCGGCGGTAAGATCTCAGCAAGTACGGAGGTAACACAAAAATTACCCACAAAAAGGTCGTGTGTAACTGACCTCAAGCATTTATACCTGTCGTCATGCTCCCAGGTCACTAAAACCACCTCTGAACCACTTTCCTTTTCAGACACCTCTTAGAGAACCCTTCCACGGCGTGAGCAACCAAGAAGTGATAACCGCCTTCCTACCTCTAACAGCACTCAAGACTGAACAAACCATTAATCTGAAACTTTTAACTGAACTTAAATCAATATGCAAACAGATAGCTTACGGGGAATTACACAACTCATGAAATTATTCAACTTTTATTGGATAAAACCATTGACGAACAAGTCACTCATAAGTTTCTAGTCACAGGTCAATGTATTTTCAACTGTGTAGATAAACATTTTTCAACAGTTTTATTATCGATACATTGCTGTCTAACTGAAGTTATAGAGTATGGGTAACAGTATTAAAATTTTATGAAGAAAACCCGTAATTCATTCAACATTAATCAGTATAAGTTCGTTATTTCAATGGAAAAATAAATCTATGTACTGCAAACAAATCTCAAAACACATATAAATAGAGCTACCTAACAAATAATCATCGAAGTCAGTATGTACGAAATCAATTTTACAACTTTACCAATAATCATATAAATGATTTCTTGAAATTCACTGGATATTTTCTTCAAATAGGATTATCAAAGTCATAATTCAATCTGTTTTGTTGAATTGAAATGGTTTCACTCATTTATCGGGTGGAAGTGAGTGGTGAGCGTAGTTAAACAGACTTACGCCCATTGTGATATATAACACATTCTTCTACTCTAATCATCATCATGGGCTCACTAGTGTTTAGATTCAAGATACAACTCGCGAATTTCTAGTGAAAATCTGAGACCAGTGGAGTTCAACTAAATTGGGTATGAGACAGTTATCCACCATAGGTAATGGATAAATATTGAGCGACTTTGTGAAGTTAGACTTGTACACCGTTGGAATTGGGCTCAGTAGTCGATAGATTATGTGTTCGTGAGCGAGACCGAGGGCAGTGAGTTCAGTTTTTAACTGAAATGTCACGGATGCTCACTTCTCAGTTCCATAGTAGGACGAAATGACCGTCCAGTGCTTCCAGGATTTTAATGTTTGTCTAACTTAGATCACTTCATGATTTTAATGAGATTATAATGTAATTGGATGACTTATTAAAAATCATAATTACAGAAGCAGAATTTAGAATACTTTAAAAAAGACGTACATTTAAATTTTGAGACAAAATTAAGGAAACAACTACTACGCTTTTAATATCCTTTTGCCCAGAATAAAAACAAACTAGCTTAGTACTTGCAATAACTATACCAAGGTTATACTTAAAATAATCCTTGTGTTAAAAATTGACCTTGTTTGCAACCCAAACAAGACCATTATTAAGCAGATGTGTACAATTGGTCTTACGATCCAGTATGTTTTATCTTATTCTCATCTAAACACTATAATCTCATTTCTGTATTCGTCTACATAATCTTTTTCAATAAGTTATTCAAAATAAAGTCAACAGCATATTGTACAAAGTTCAATAGAATTAAAACAGATAAATAATTTTAAAAAACCACTTTAACTAAATAACTAAGTAAATAAATTTAATAGTTGAGATCATGAGTCAATTGAAGCTAGATCACCATAGAAAACCTGGAAATACTGGACGGCCGTTTTGTCCTATTGTGAGACTAGTCAGAAGTGCTCATTCACGACTCGAACCCAAGGCCTTCAGTCTCGCACGCGAACGCTTAACCTCTAGACTACTCAGCCGGCCGGCATCCAATGGTGTTAATATGTAACCTCAACCAATCCACGAAATCGCGCGACCACCTTCCATTGTATTGTGGAAGATACCTGTCTCTACCCGACACGAATTAGCTCCACTGGTCACGGCCTCTCACTAGAACTCCGAGAATTCCCTCACGAAGCTAATCACTAGTGAGTACATGGTAATTATCAGTATGGGACTATGGAGATTATTAAGTTTTTGATCAACATCATGCATCGATTGATGTTAGACAACCTGGAAGTACTGGATGGCCATTTTGTCCTAGGATGTGATTTCTCAACAGTGCATATCCACGATCCCGCCTCGGTGAATTCAAACCCTAGACCTATCGGTCTCGCAGGCGAACGCTTAAGCTCTACACCACTCAGCCGGCATTAACACACACAACGGACGAATTTCCCTGGTGATCTAGCTTCAATTGACTCATGAATCCAACTAATACATTACTATAATATATTCACAAAACCCATCTCTGATTAAAATAAATGTTAAAAAAAAACACAACAGAAATACAATCTTCAATATAATTTACCAATTCATTATCATTATTATTTTGAGGAGATGATTTTGTATGCAATTGATCATCGAAATTACAATTATTGTTACTATCAATAGATGAATTGATTATATTTGTAATATTGTTTCCAGGTATAAATCTATCTAACTCTAATTTAGATGATATCAATGGTGTAGATGAAGATTTTCTAATAGATTTATTCATATTCTTCATTTTATTATTGTAATATGAATCCGAATTGATTATTCGATGAGATTTTGAAATGGTACCAGTAAATCCATTTGTATTTATATCATTGACATCAGAAAATGTGGTATTCATTTTATTATTATTATTATTATTATTATTATTATTATTATTATTATTATTATTATTATTATTATTATTATTTATATTATTATCCAACATCATGGAAGAATTCAATATTCTCTCATCCAATTTATTATTCTTTGATGTACACAATAAATGTTGTTCATTAGAGTTGGATTTTAACAAAGTAATAAATTCCGGTAAAATAAATTCATTATCAGTAATATTACTAATATATTCATCATTACTATTGATAGAAGTAAGATTTGTACAGGAAGTTTCATGAATAGGATGAGAGGAACAAGTAATTGAAGCGTTGATTGTTTTATTGAAATGAGATGATGAAATGAATGGAGAATATTGAGATTTAGATGATAATTTTGTATGAGTCTCTGTAGAATTTTGAGACAGTCCTGTAGATTTTATTAATTTATGTAAAGGAGCACCTAAAAGTTTTATCTGTTGAGAAAAAAAACCGGTAAACATTTTACTCGATAGAATGTATTCGATGAGAAACAATAAATTAAGTATTTAGGAACTAACTGAAGAGATCACATTGCAAAGTAGAATTAGTTAGTTTATAGTTTATTTCAACAATATGGCAACTCAATAATAAATATATCATCATGAGGATTGAATTCTCTTAGTATTCCTTCTATTACATAGTTTACAACTTTAATTTTTTTTTAAAACTCTAAGAAGAAAAAAACATTTGAATTCTGTCCTGGGAGTTAAAGAATCTTGATTTAGAAAAGTTATGATGTCTCATGAAGAAAGCCGAGACTTTTCGGAGGCTAGGAGGCCAACGTCCTTTCTAACAACCAGAGCAACAATTTATATCGGTACATGAAATATCCAGATAATGTAGGAGATAAAACTAGGCGGTGCTCGGAATAAATGAAACTCATTAGACACAGGCTGAACAGGAGAGATTAGATTTAGGAGAGAAACTGCTGTACTCTCATCATGAAGAAGAAAATTTTTCGCATATACAAAGAGTTGCACTGATGTTGTTCAGAGAAGCACGAAAAACTCTTACAGGATGGGAATCTCATGGATCTAGGATTATTATTATTGTTATTATTATTATTATTATTATTATTATTATTATTATTATTATTATTATTATTATTATTATTATTATAGCATCTTTCAAAGCAAAGAACTAGGAGATTAAAGTGAATATTATCCAGTGTTATAAACTAACCAATTATAACAACGAAGACAATAAAGATCAGTTCTATTAGAGGCTGCAGTCGATCGTAGAGAAGTACTCAGGAAACGATCTAACAATCCTAATGGGACAGCCAAACGCCAAGGTCGGGACGGAAAACACTGGGTATCGCGATATCATGGGACATCATAGACTGTGAGAAATGAACGAAAGCAATGAGGGATTTGCAAATTCATATGCATTCAACAAGATGGTTATAGTAAGCACAATATTCCCCCAAAACGCAGACAAAAAGCTATATGGGTCTGACCGGATCAGTCTACAAAGAACCAGACCGATCATATTTGCATCGATAGAAGACATGATAATCAGGAGAGGAACTGACATAGCTTCAAATCACCATCTAGTGGGTGTCAAGATGAAACTAAGGCTAGAGAAACACTAGATCACCGGAGAGACAGTATTATTGAGGCTCAATAAAGCCTTTCTTCGAGATGATGACAAACTCGACGAATTTAAGATAGTTCTCAACAACAGGTTCTAAACCTTACGAGATCTGCTCGAAAAAGAAGAAACTGCTATGGATGACAGTTGGGAAGGGATCAAAAAACCACTAACTTCGACGTTCCGGAATGTGCCGGGCTTCAAGAAGCACCGTCATAAAGGATGGATCTCTATTGATATTCTGCTATAAGATTCAAGTGGGGAAGAACAAGAACACAGTAATTAACAACAGTTGAACAGGAGCAGAGAAAGTCAAGGCACAGTTCTAAGAGAGAGTCAAAAATGAGGGTGAAGAGGGGGGAATTAGAGACAGAATGAGGAATTATGTGGGAGACCCAAAAGTGACAGCAGAAGAAGCTGCAAGAGAATGAAATACGGAACGACTACATGATAAGACGAAAATCCCAGCAGAGAAACATAGTGAACCACAGAGACTAGTCAGTAACAGAGAGAAAGTCAGTCCTTGCTGTTCAAGAACAGTACAATAGGTGGATAAGGCACTTTGGAAAACTGTTGAGTTGACCAGCCCAACTGAACTCGCCAGACATCGAAGCAGCGCCTACAGACCTTCATTTAGATGTCACCCCACGTCCCATCAAATAAGTCAGCATGGTGAACAGACAAATCAAGAGTGGGAAGCATCATCGATAAACAAGGGGGATTTGATGCAGATGTGAAGGTACGGATTGGGAAAGCATCTGCAGCATTCATTCCGTCGAAGAACACATGGGGTACAAAACAACTTTCAGTCAACATCGAAGTCAAAATCTTCAATACAAACGTCGAAACAGTTCTGTTGTACGGAGCTAAAACGTGTTGAACTACCACAACAGTCACTAAAACGTTACAAACATTTATAAACGATTGTCTACACAAGATAATCAATATCTTTTGTCGGATACCATTAGCAACAACCCACTATGGAAGCAAGCAAACCAACTTCCGGCTGGAAAAAAATTTAGAAAAAGATGCTATTGGTGGATAGGATAGACATTGAGAAAATCATCAAACCCCATCACATGGCACGCCCTAACTTGGAATCCGGAAGAGAAAGAAAAAACAGGAAGACCAAAGAATATATTATGTTGGGAATTGGAGGGGAACATTGCAGAAATAAATAACACTTGGAAATAACTGGAAAGGAGAGCCCAGGACGCAGTTGGTTGGAGAGTCCTGGTTGGCGGCCTATGCTTCACTGAGAGTAACAGGCATAAGTAAGTAGGGAAGTAACGGGCCTTAGTTAAACCACCAAGGAAAATCGAGGATCCCTGAACAGCTATCACGTTTTAGTGTGAGACTCCTTTTCAGTGCTTAACCATGACTTTACCGGGGATCGTAACTAGAACTGTTGGTTCATTAATTTGTGACAAATCGTCATCTGGATATTCAACGACCAGTTAGTGAACTTCATAGATTGGTGATGGGTTAAATTGCATTTTGAGATGGTGGAGAAGGTTCGTAGCTCAGGTAGATGATTTTGATGGAGTTTTATTCTCTGTGGTTTGTGCTTATGATGTCGTTCAGAAGAACGATGAAAGCTCCACGACCAAACCGAACTCTGTTTCACTATGCAAATTTAACATATTTTAACTTATTATTAACTAGACATTTGATCCATAAAACATTGCAGAAAGTCCATTTTGAGTGAATTACAAATAGAAACCCACCAACATTTCTACCTGTAATAAGACAGTGTGTTCTACCTGGAAAAACAGTTTACATGGACTATTGGAGGGTTCATAGGTGTAATCAGAAGCAATGTTGTGTTCATCGAGTGTTTGATCGAAAACAGTATTTTGTAGACTGTCTAACGAACAAACACCCTAATAACGTTGATGCAATGCGAAAAATATTAAAGAACTACTTTTGATTAGAGAGGGACTAATTTGTAGCTATAAAGGCGAATCGTCGTTTAGTAACTGCTTTGATTTCTATCTTAATAAATCCATTGGCACTTTCAATAAATTCATTAATCATGTTAAAATCATATCCATTGTAATTTTCTTGTTTCTTAGAACACAATTCGTCAACAGAGTCTACATTCTGATTAAGTAATTAATGGTTAGACATTCTCCTAGGATCACAGTTAAGATGTCTAATGGTCATCAGCATGAATTAGTTTAGCAACATCTTCAATTAAGATATTAGAGTAATTACTCTTTGTTTTCAGTCAAATATACTTTTAATTCTTACCTAAAATAATCACAGAATCTGAACTTTATAATGTACTTTACTATAACATTAAATGCACATATAACATAACAGTATTAAAATCCACATGATAGTATGATATAAACTAATAAGAGAAAAAAAACAGGAAATGAAATTAATCAACAAAACTTACCCATGACCAACCAATAGCTTTAGCTAAAGCAGGTGTTACATAAGCAATTCTCATTTCTTTTGCATCAATCAACATACCATACAATGATTGACTATTTAAAGTTAAACAAAGTTTTGCTTGTAATCTAAGATCTAAATTGTTTCCAATCATTGAATAAATGAACAAAGATAAAAATAATAAGATGAAGAATTTATTTAGTAAACTAATGTATTAATTAATCTATGTACATAAATAATAAATTTCTTGAGAATAATTTCAACGATTCAAATTTGTGGTGCAATGTAGTTTGAAGTAGCAGTACTTACTTACTCCTGTTACTCCTTGTGAAGGAGTATAGGCTGCAGTACGTTGTTCTAACTGCTCTACAAGTTCATGAAGCTATCGTTGATTGATTATTACTGTATTGAGGAACTTATACTTCCTAGTTCGGATCGATGAAGTTATATAAATGAATATTTGTAGGATCAATATGAAATGAACTTCAATAAACTCCACAACTGCATACTGGTAATAATTATTTATTCACTAGTGAATCACTTCGAGAAAAAATTTCGGAGTTCTAATGAGAAACCGTGATCAGTGAAGTTCATTCGTGTCAGGTATGAGAAAGGTAACCTCCGAAAACAATAGAAAACGGTCGTACAGTATCGTGGATTGATTTAAGACTAGTAAACTATCGGATCCCAATTTAGTAATCTAGAGGGTGTGTTCTATCATGAGAACGAAGGCCCTCACTTCAATTCGTGGTTAAGGTGTAACGGGTGCCCACTTCTGAGTTCCATGAAAGGAAGACACGATCCTCCAGTACTACCAGATTTTCAGCGGTTGACTAACTTAAATCGGTTAGTGATTTCTCTAAAGTTATTTATTTGGCTCTTTAGAAAATCTGCTATGCTACATGTATTGCACTACATTTTTGCCACGGTGAAATCGATTTATTTCATCAAATTGTGCTTCAAAACAACATATTTCGTAGACAGAACCAGTGACAGGAAGTTAACAAAAAGAACTTTCACTGATTTCATTCTTAAACCTATACAATTCAAATTAAACTCTATGTTTCATACAGATAGTTCCTTTTATCATCTTGAAGACAGCAAGATCAAAGATTCTGGCAGAATTTATTCACACCCTTGCTATACTATACTGATGTTTCATTAAAATAACTTCCAACTAAACTCTTTCATGTAAGTAATTTAAACCTATTGTATAATTATGATTTTAAATATCACAGGCTGTAAGCAGCTGACGAAAATCAAACAAAATAAAATGAATTCATGCTATTCTGCTAGAATCTTTCAACTCTATGCTTTGATTACCATCTACAACGTGTTTTTTTAGCCTTATCATATATGATAACCAAAGTATTTGCTTCAAAACAACATAATAATTCTGTGTTGTAGAAATAATATAAACGTATCATTAGTTTGAAATTGAAATATATCTTCAAAGTTTCAATAAACAATATTATAATTTTATCAAGGTGGGGGTTTGTGAATATTGTAGTGGATTGATTGAAGTTAGGCATTAACACCGTCGGATGCTGGCTCAATGGTCTACATGCTAAGTGTTCGCTTGCGAGACCCAAGGTCCTGGGTTTGAACCTCGTGTGCGAGATCATGGATGCGCAATCCTGGAGTCCCATAGTAGGACGAAACGGCCGTCCAGTGCTTTCAGATTTTCCATGCCTGTCTAGCTTTAATTGATTCATGAATTCAACGAATAAAAATTATAACTTTATGTTTTAACTCGATATCACTTCAACATATCTCAATATCAGTCATACATGGAAAGACGATTACAGATTATACAGCTGGAAAATAATCTAGTATGTACTTTTATAGTTACACATTTATCTTTCAACAGAAATCAATAATTATATAGACCACTTGGGGAAAGATCATTAAGTATTCTACTAATTATAACCATTATAACTTACAGGAAGACAATTTGTTAAGAAGAAATAATGTATGTCCAGCAATACGAAGTACTCTAGTCTTTTCTAAATTAATAGCTGATGGTATATTAGAAATTGTAGATGACGGTATTTCTGTAATTGTGGCTGTTGATGTTGTAGTTAAAAATCCTGTCATTGTGTTTGACACTGATGAATTAAAATAGGTAGTCTTCTTTTGTCCACGTCCAATTGTACCTGAATTAATTACATTATTATTTTCTGATGATTGATTTATTTGTTTCGTTCCATTGATCGAATTAGATGATTTTGAATTTTGTTGAACTAAATTTAATCCTAAAACATGGGAAGATATTGGTAGAGCATTTTGTATTAGCATTAAACTTTGACCTTCTCGATTACGTCTAATTTGTGCAGCTAAACGAGATCGTTCTTTTCTTAGATTAACACGTTTCTCACTCAATTCATCATTTACTGTTTTCGTTTGGTCTAAAGATGAAGACAATAGCAAACAAGGTGATAATGTCACAGTATTAGACATTTTACTTCGATGCTTACGTTCTCTTTTTTTTCTCATAATATCTGTGAAATATAAAGAATATAATAATAAGAATTAATAAGAAATATGTTTCTAAGGTGACTATATTTTGAAATATTCTGTTATAATCAAATGTAAACATTAGGTCTGTAAACTTCTCTTTAAATTGATTTAAATAATTTACACTTTCTAATATTTAGTTTGGGATAAACTATTGATTTATAGATCCTCTTTGTGATTACATGAGAACATTAATTAACACTGATGATAAAAACAAAAATGAGCTTTAATTTTTGGTAATGTTGTCCTAATTATCAAGCAACAATGAAATAAGTTTTAAAGTTCAATTCATATTCTATTGGTTGGTTAGTGACTTAAAATGATATAAGACTTATAAATGTATGAATGTTTTCAATGATAATGTGATATATTAAACATTCTCTATGTCGTATGTTAATCTGTTAAAAGGAAATAAGTTTTTGATGGTGTTTTGTTCTCTGAGCACAGAGAACGAAACTCAATCAAGATAATTCACCTGAGCTACAAATCTTCTCAACCATCTCGTAATAAGCTTTTGTTTGTTTATTTTGTCTTCATATACTTTGTTAATTTAGTGACAAACTCTATGAATTGAGTCTTTTTTACGCAATCAGCCATAATCCAAATTGTTTATAACAATTGATCACACTATTACATAATCATAAACAAATTACAATTCTCTATTATAATAGGAAGTGAAATATAACTAACTTGAAGTAGAACCAATATTATGCGTTTATAACTTACTAAACAGACTTAAAATAAGTACGTAGTTCAATAATATATACTGCAGAGATAATTGGAATATACCCGACAACATAACTGCAAAAACAACTTTGTAAGTATATTCACTTGGTATTGTTTTACTTGTATCTTCCTATTGTTATTTAAGACTGCAATTGATCAGTCTCATGTTGGCATAGGTACATCTTGTGCGGATTGCCTCGATATATCCTTAAATCACAAGGTTTTTAAGCAAAGATGGCTAGTGGCTGGCAGTGGAATCCAGGACGCGTATTTCATCCTATTTTGGCACTTGTCAGCTGGATGTACCTGCATCTTAGAGTTGATGTTGACGCTTCCCAAATAGGACGAGAAGCGCGTCGTGGATTCCACTGTTAGCGATTATTCATCTTTGCTTATAAAACTCTGAGAGTAGTTGTTAAAAAACGAAATCTATTCACAAAATACAGTTTACTTTCTGTATAGTCATTTTACAAGTGACTACTACAAATGGAGAGAGCGATTATCAGATCAAGTATTTTATATTGGAATTCTAAAAAAAAGTACATTTTCGAGGATCAGACGTGCACTTGATTTTGTGATTTCTTTATTTCTAGAATTAACATACCGAATTTAAGATGAAAATATAACTACTGTGGGATGTACTTTAGGAGGTAAAAACTACTTAAACTAATTTCAACAATGCATGAACTTGCTTCGCAGTTCATGAAAATCTCAAGCGTCTCGCACAGTTGTTCTGATCACGCAAACTTTCAAGGTTGTAGAGATCCTATGTTTAATGGACAGAAGTCCTATTTCCCACTGAAAACTCCAGTATTAGAACATTCATAAAAACAATATCAATTTATAAAACTGAATTTAAAACTAATAGGTGTTTGATGTGTGGTTAATTGTATTTTCCGAAAGCATGTCCACTTTCTACTATTAAATGTTCTTAATGTTGTTAGATTCGTCATATTGAGTTTATTTGTCATGCTACTGTTTATATTACTGCATATGGTAATAAATGAAGCCATCTATACTTAGTTAATAATGTTTACACTGATGGTCAATGATATGGTGAGTAGCAGCTTTATCAAGTGGCATGTTAACAACATCTAAAAATTTTTTTCGCATATTAAGGTTTATAGATGCTTAGCCGTATAATATTGTAAACATGCATTCATACAGTAACTTGTTGGATTATTATTATTATTATTGTTGTTATTGAATGGAACTAAGTCCAGTTTACAGAAATCTGACTGTTAATCTAACTGTAAATAAATTATATAAAAAGTGACGTACTCATAAATCAATTTGGTTTGTTTAGAGTCAAATAAATCCTGATCACTAGTTTTCACGCCTTTTCACATGTTTTCAAAATTGCTGTGTAGATTCAGTCTAGGACTATTAAGAGAGGCTAGGAGATCTAATCGAGCATTCATTTAGAAGATTTATCAATCAACAAACATTCTACTTACATACAACCTTAAAAATGGCATTTTACATCTGAAAAAAAAATTATATACACCCACTAGGTCATTTCATGAGTTCACTGTTGGTATCGGTAGAACTGAATCTATTTTATAAATATTGATGCTACAATTGGTTTATTCAAATAGATATAACCTATTTGTTGTGACTTTTTTCAGTTGCTTTCTAAATAATGATCAATATGGCTACTAATTTTGAAGTGTGTCAAATTGTTCTTACTCATAGTCACAGATTTATTACTTCATTACATCATCTATTTGGGAAAAATAATACAGTAAATCTGATTAGATGATAAATCTAAGCGTTTAGAATTGAATATTTGGATGCTCGGTTGACGATTATGAGTTTAGATTATTCACAAATACACCGAATCCAAGAAATTCCCCAAAATTACTTTTTTCATTAGGTACACTGATAGTTTGTCTCAATGTTCTTGAGATCATGAAGTGTTTTAGGCTAGACAACCATTAAAAACCAGGAGGAACTAAAACCTTGTCCCGTCTCAGTCCAAGTCCCCTCAGTAGTGCGCATCCACAACCACATCAAGGTTAGAGCCCGTGACTTCCAAGTCTTGTGGAGCGAGTTTAACCTTCAAATCACTGAACGAAGTCTCATAGTAGTTGGGTGCCGGGGGGTAATGAAAGAGTCAGTCAGTTAGCTATAACGTATAACTAGGAACATATATGCATCGGTTCAAGTTGCCACACTTCATTGGCACAATAAGATGAACACCAAATTCATAGAAGTAGTTAATTCAATGGTAGTAATATACAAAAATATAGTACAGGAGGAAAGAATTAGTTGGTAGAAAGAAAGATATGAAGCGATTTTAATCTCATAGTTTAAGGGACGGTTGAGAGTGTTTACACCTACGCTATTGTGATCGATTCTGAGCCATGTCACCCAGAGACTTGATAGTCACGCGGACCCCAACCAAGTAGTCTGCATCTCCCAACATTGCTAAGACTAGAATTTAGTGACTTCAAGCACTGACGCCACGTTTTGGTTTGGCCGCCCCTAACTTTCTTCCAACCATATCCAACACCGGTTAACATTGCACATCGTGGTAATCGGTGTTCAGGCATACGTAACACGTGGCTCAACCCTATGAGTCGATGGAGATTCACAACCTCACCAACTAATATACCATCATTCCCTAATACCCTGCGTCTAACCTCACTATTACTTACCCGGTGGTCCCAGCAGACGCCAGCAATATTTCTAAAGTATCTGTGGTCAAATACTAGTAGCTTACGAGGATTTTCTACTCTACCATAGATTGTGATAACATAAAATTAATTACAAATGAAACTTCATAACAGTGCGAAGCCAGAACCCTTTTATAAGAGATAACGCCTAAGTGTTACATTGTTCAAACTAACCATTTCAAATATTGGTGAGACTATAATTTATGAACGATCTTTGAGCGACACTAGAATAACCTTGAAAACGTTCACCTAATAACTAGGACTAAATTAGGGTTATAAACCAGTGTAAGTAATTAGAATTATTATTTACAGTTGATGGTTAGGGCTAGGAATTAGTTTCAAGGTTTTCATCACGAACTAACAACAGCTATGACGTCAAAACTCTACTTAGCTAAATGTATGAATAAATTTAGCTTCAAAACCTTAGACTCGTTATCTTATATCTGATTGGTTCGTCCATAAATTATAATCTCATCCAAATATTTTGCTGAATCTCACAAATAGCCTTAATCATCACAGCCTATAGAAGACGATAATGAAACTACACTTCAAGATTAATATATATATGTCTAAGACCATAATAACTGAGGTAATAAAAAAAACAAGAAAATTCACTTAGTAATGTTTGTCTGAATCTACCCATTGATGTTTAGGACTGCAATTGATCAGTCTCTTATTGGTATATGTTCATATTGTGCAGATTGCTTCGATAAAGCCTTAAGTCACAAGCTTTTTGTAAGCAATGAAGGATAGTGGCTAGCAGTGGAATCCAGGATGTGTATTTCATCCTATTTCGTCACTCGTCAGCTGAATGTACCTGCATCTCAGATTTGATGTTCACTCTAGAACTCAAACCCAGTACTGTTCACTTCAAACGCCATCACATTCTCCACTTATCTACTGAATCCTAAAAGCCATTTGCTTGTACAATGAAGTGAAATTTAAATTCAGGACGAGTACAAAATAGGACAAAACGCACATCCTAGTTTCCACTACTAACCACTATCCATCTTTACATAATAACAACAAGACAAAATGTTTTAAAAATACAATTAATCAATATATTGATTATATAAATACAAAAAAAAAAAGAAACAAATGCTCTTACTTGTTTTTGATGTATTCTGTACAGATTGTAATTTCATTATGAGAATTTGGTTATAGAAATGCTTTTTTTCAAATTATGATCAATTTTGTTAACATGATGATGATTTATTAAATTATTTCAGTAATATTCTTCATGAAATGATCAATTCTCATATGGAACATTAAGAAAAAATATAAAAAAAATTTTTTGAGAAAAATAATAAAATTTGAGTAAAGATTTTTTTTCTCTTCCCCCCCCCTTACCCTCTCCCTCTTTCTCTCTCAGCAAAAAAAAAACAGACTTTTTCAACGATCAATAAGATTGAATTGAGAGGATCAATTTACAAATTAGAAATTATTTACAAATTTCATTGAATAATTATCATTTGAATCTATTGGGATATATTTCCGGCTAGAAACAACAACAAAAAATGAGGAAAAAAACACTTTTAATACGGAAATAAGAGAATGGTACAAAATATCTAAAAGCTCATTATATATTTTTTTAATAATGTAACATAGATTTAGCTATTAACAACAGATACAAATCATAATGAATAGTGGTTAGCAGTGGAATACAGGATGTGCTTTTCATCTTATTTAGGACTCATCAGCTGCATGTACCTGCATCCCAGAGTTGATGTTCACTCCGAAACTCAAACCCAGAAACGCGAATCCTGGATTTCAATGCTGGCCACTAGCCATCTTTGTTTAAAAACCTTGTGACTTAAGGATATATCGAGGCGATTCGCACAAGATGTACATATGCCAACATGAGACTGATCAATTCTAGTCTTAAATAACAATAGGAAGATACAAGTAAAACAATACCAAGTGAATTTAAATCATAATAAAGTTCTCTTTTTACATGTTAATAGTTTAATAGTTGAATTCATGAAACTGGAAAAACTGGATGGTCATTTTATCCGAGTATGGGATACTTCAGCAGTGCGTATCCATGATCCCATCCAGTGAGATTCGAACACAAGACCTATCGGTCTGGCATGTCTGTTTAAGAATGGTGATTTTAAAAAATGTTTTGTACTTCTTTAGATTAACCTTTTGAAGCATTAAAATTTGATGTAAAATAGTTAAGTTAAATTTTAATAGATTTCTCCTTTTTTTAAAGTAGAGTTAAGGTATGATAATCATAGAGTTACTCTACAATGATAATAATTCAAGTGAAACTTATTAATACATTATATTGTCGATATGAGTTTAATTAATATGTGTAGCTAGATACATGTCATATTTAAAGGGTCTTATTCTTATAAGCTGATGAAAATGTACTTGCATGATCGGGAAAAAAAAGTGATCAAATCTATTAACAACCCTTTTTTGCTAATGATATATAGTGAATATCACAGCAAGGAAAAAGAAGCTGTATTGATTCTGAATGACCTACCACAAGGTCCACAATTACGTTCCACTCACATCAACTGGAAGTAAATTGATATATTCATTTTCCTTTAACAATAAATGCATCACCCGTTTTTACTCAAATATGTTAGCAACCGAAACATCTATCATCCCCCCATTTCTTATAAAGTGTTCTTAAATACGCATTAAACTTTCTTTATTTACAATAACTTCGACATATGGTTCAGTCTATTTTTAAAAAGATGAATTCATATGATTTCACGCTATTGATCTTAACTCATTTTACTAAATAGATTTTTCTCCATACATAACTAGTATTATCCCATAATTATGTTATCTTCTAGCTTTATTGTTCACACTATATACAAGTATTTTAATCTAGATTGACATGAAATATACTGTTATCACTGTAAAACATTGATACGACTGAAATCTCCTAGTTTGAAAATATTCATGAGAATTATTATTTTTGTTTTGGGAGAATCGAACCAGTCAATTATCTCTCAGACTCTAGGTAGCATCTTGATTAACCCGACTACGAAAAATGGACTACTATCTTGAGAAACCTCCAGAGTTAACCCATAAGGACAAGCTGACGTTACTTAATTTCATTCGATTGTGGCTTTCACAACTTTTCTAAGGTCTGATACTGATCTAATATTCAGGTCGTAGACAAGTTGTGGGTAAATGAGGAGTATATAAGCGCCAGTTGAAAATGTCTCTTGAAGTACTCTGCCTACCATTTTATTCGCCCAGTCTGAGAGTATATAAAGGCTCTATCCTTTCAAGAGATGATTTCACTAACTGACTTTTTTCAACCTTTTTATGCAGTAATACTAGTATTAGTGCTGATGTCTTTTCAGATACCTTTGCTTTCGTAAACACCACTGCTGACGAACACTTGATGAACTTTTCGTTAGTCCATATGTATGTTTCTCTAGTTTATATAATGTTTAGAGCCCTCCGCAATGAACTGCTAAGCATGTATCAACTTAGTAGAAGATTCTGAGATCCACTTGCTTTCCTATAAATTTCTGTTTGGTCAGCTAACAGATGTCAATGCTTTTTTTACAATAGACAGCGAATCACGATATCCTATCTAAAGATGAATGTTTCCTCCATGATGGACTAGATGCTTAACTAATTCTATCGTAAACATAACATTTGTCCTTACATTTCTGAATAAGGCTTGAGGACATCTTCATGTTAAATTTTTTCCTAGTCGAATAAGAAACGGACAAATACGTGGTCGGAATGTAAACATGCATTCCAGAATTAGTTCTCAAACTTGTTGCTCTCCCTACGGTGGTAAGACCACAGCAAGCTCTTTTCCAGTCTCCGTATTTAGGAGTGCGCTAGTGGTACACACTTTTAAGTACTTTATAACGTGGAAGGAAATTTCTCCACGAAGGACCTGAAAACAAAAATGGTTTGATAGTGGTGATCTAGTAAACCTTTGTGTTTGAACGCAGAGACCACAAAACAACTACTTATGGCTGATTACTTTACACCAGGTCTATACTTTCCAAACCTTACGACTGCGGCGAATAAACGTTATAGAAAGACGAGATTTGATATTTCAGGATGGATATTTTCAACGTTTATCTTCAATGGCATGAAGAAAGTACCACTGAAGGTGATGACTATTCATGGGAAAATTTTCACTCTTAGCATCCATGTATGGTTGAGTGTGCAGCTTCCACCTGGAATTTTGATTTGCTGACTATTATCTTGCCATTATCCATCCAACCTTTTTGATATGTTAAGACCTCAAGGAACGAATGTTTCTTCTAATAAAGCTCCACTGAGTGGTTAATGATAGCAAGGTTAGACCACCGTATGAAAGTATCAACCACGGTCGGTACCATAAATATTAGTTAAATTATTATGGTTTACATCGATGAATTAACAGATAACAGCCTCAACTGGTTAATAAACTCATACTGCTCCACAACTCAACAAATCAGTAAATTTCATTGATTGAAATCATGAGTCAATTGAAGCTAGACCACTATGAAAAACCTGAGAACACCGGACGGCCATTTTCTCCTACTGTACGACCCCTTAGCAGTGCACATCCACGATCCCGCACCCCGCGAGACTTGAACCCAGGACCCATCAGTCTCGCGCCAAGCGCCTAGCCAACTAGACCACTGAGCCGGGACCCGACGGTGTTAATGTCTAACTTCAATCGATTCATGATCTTGCGCACGAGACTGACAATCCTGGTTGGATCAATACTTAATCAATTCTAACAAATAAAAGTGTCGTTTAATTGCCATTTGATCCTTAATCTACTTTTGATTTACTGATGAAATCCTATTTCTCAATACCTCTTACTATTATCAGCAGATCAGTTAGCTACAACGTACAACCAGGCACATATATGCATCGGTTCAAGTTGCCACACTTTATTAGCACAACAAGATGAATACCAAATTCATAGAATTAGTTAATTCAATGGTGGTAATATATAAAAGAAAGGTTGTACATAAGGATATAGTATAGGAAGAAAGAATTAGTTGATAGAAAGTAAGATATAAGATAATCAGCAGATAATAATTAAGGAAAATATATAACATTTGAAAGAATTGTACTAATATCAAGAAATACCACTTGAAACTGGTATTTGTGATCTTCTTGACATAGTTTTGTGACTAGATGTTACTCGTGATAATACTCTATAAAGGCAACTTAGTAAAGACTATCAAATGTAAGTGTTACTATTCCAAAAACCCTAAATACCAAAACTGAAACTTGAAATATGAAACATTTTTCGCTGTTTGTCAAAATTAACTTCCAGTGGAAATACATAAATAGATTTTAAAAATTTTTAAAACTATATAGTCACTTTAATTCTAAAAATCTATTGCCAAAATACGGTAGCAGAGTACCTAGAATATTTACCAAGACTACTCATTGTGAGATGGTGGAGAAGATTTGTAGCTCAGGTGGATGATTTTGGTGGAGTTTTGTTCTCTGAGCTGGATGGTTCGGTCGTGGGGCTTTCATCGTTCTTCTGAACGACATCATCAGCACAAACTTCAGATAGAAGTCAAAAAAGACTATTCATTGTTCTAAACTGTAAACTTGATATATAATAATGAATAGGCTAATGGGACACATGACCTTTTGATGTGTCAAGATATTCAAGTTGTTAGTTCTGAGTTATAAAAACCAAAAAGGAACGGATATTATTTTTTCATTAAAACAAACAGATGTAATTATAAATATATAAGTTTTCCTTTAAGTATACTGTGTTTGATAAACTACACAAACAAATTTACTAGTTTTTGACTTTAATATTAATTATTCCAAACTGTTTAGGAAATATTTCCAAGTTAATGATAAATGTCAAGGTAAAAGGGACTCTGAATCTCTTCCTCCGATCCTCTTATAGGTGGAACTAAACAAATCATAAAGGTTACCATTGGTAGAGGTTTTTTTATAAAGATTTGTTGTTCAATAATTTAAACTTAATAAAGCACCAGCTGGTTACCATTATTCAAGCTCATATTCAAAACATTTGGCCTTTCGGTATCCTCTTCAAAATGATTTGATTCCATTGAGGAAATATCATAAGTAATGGTCATCTAGATTAAAAAATTATCGCTACACTTAGAAACCAAACTGGTTTTACCAACTTCTGCAAGTATTACTTATAATAGTATAGGAAATGACTGTTAGTTTATAGATCCCAAAATTATCCCCATGTGATAATAAAGAATAGATACGAAAATATCTAATAAATTTGGATAATTGCTAGCAATAGAATTCAAGATCTACATTTCGTCCTCTGATGAACTCATCAGCTGTACGCACCTACATCTCAGCGTTAATGTTCACATTCAGATTTGAACCAAGTGCCTGCCACTTCAAACACCAAGGCATTATCTAAAAAGTTACTGAGTGAATATAGTCACAAGCTAGTGTAAGGGATAAGAATTTTATTTGCAAGAGTTTGTATCTTGATCCTGAAGCTCATCTTGGACTCACTGGGTTATAGATTCAGTGTGAACATAAACACTAAGATGGAGGTACATGAAGCTTGTGAAATCCAAATAGAACAAAATGCGAGCCCTGAAATTCACTGTTCTACTGTTCTGAAAACTTGTAACTGGCAATACTGAAGTAGTCAGTTCAGATACACAGATACTAATAGGGGTTGACCAATCCCAGTCCTTTATATCAATAAAAGGAACTTATAAACACTTGCAAATAAAACGAAAATATCCTTGAAAATAAATAATCTTAATACTTAAGAGTGTTGTTACAGTATCACGGAATTAAAAATTTTATGATCTGTCGAATCTAATGATATAGGCATTAGAAGAAAACCTGGTATGGTCCTTGCGTTCTGTGAAGGAAAACGAATATTCATAACTAATCGATCACTGGGTAATGACCGATGTCATGCATGTCAGGCCATTCTTGGTGCAGACAGAATTCTATCGGTCAATTCGCAATGTGGCCACTAGTCTAGATGACCCGACATCGCAAGCAGTGTGTTTAGAAACAAAGTGATGCTTGGAGGTACTTAACAGGATACCCTGAGCCTAGGTTTAGTGTTGTTCGGAACTCGTCAGCAAGGTGTATCCATCATCCTGAGGTACCTGATGCCCCTGGTAGATTCGACCTCGTTTCACACAACTTCACGATTAGAGACGTCACCACCGAGATTTACCGGCCACGAATGACCTCCTGTAGGACTGTGATGTATTTACACCTGAGTGACCATTAGGTAGTGACCAATGTAATATATGTCAGGTCCTTCTTAGTGCATATCAAACTCTACCGATCAGTTGATCAATTAGTTACAGTCCTACAGGAAATCTCGGTGGTAACGTTTCTAATCATGAAGCTAGTTGATACGAGGTCGAATCTACCAGGGAGCATCAGGTACCATTAAGATCACAGGTACACCTCGCTGGTAAGTTCCATACAGCACGAGACCTAGATTCAAGGTTCCCTGTAAACTACCCTTTATCACCACCTTACAATATATATATTTATATATACTTATAATAGATTTATCAGGACTAAATAGGCTAAAAATTTAGACCTCGTATTTTTTCATAGATTTTAACCTGTTTTTCCTTAGGCTAAATGGGTTTAGATTTGCTCATCTAGTTTTCAAACAAACTATTAAAGTTAATCAATATTAGAATAAATCTATTTATAAATACGAGGTCAAAATCTGCTTGTTTCATTACCATGTGGATCAGCACTTGTAATGCTGAAAAATTTGGAAACCAAAATCTTAGTTCAACCAAGCAGATTATCCTCACACGCCCCAGCATTTTTTTAATCATGAGTTCGGATATTCACTGTTGATTGAACAGAAACAATTGTTATTCTATTTGTATATTATTATATATGGAAGGAATTATTTTTCTTCGTTGACATCTTTCTAGTTTAAATAATCCTGAAGAAGAATAAAGAGAGAAGTTGACGGTGACACAAATGGAGATTCTCTATTGAGATAACAAAAAAATACAACCTAAGTAAACAAAGTGATCTAATTATAGAACTTTGTATAGATTGTTCAACTCAAAATTTCACATCATGGACTGGTTTTAGCTAAATAACCTTTGAAATCCAGGAGTAATGGGCAACTGAGTGAACCCAATACCGAGCTGTATCTTCCATTCACAAATATTTATATAGAATCAGTGATTCAATGATCCAATAATAATCAAGTAACTAAATGGGTTTTTTGCGTTATAATGTCAAACTTTCGTCAGTAAAACTTGATTTTAGTCTTTTTAAAGGTTATGTCAAACAACACTCGTGTCTTAAATTGCCCTAAAAATTGCTTAGGTAAAGCCATATTCATTTTATTTAAAAAACCACTAAACATCATTCACTAAACTTAAAAGGTTATGAGGACAAAATTTCCTCTTTTCGTTTGACTAACTTCGTGCCCTGATATTCTTTTATTTCTAATTGTTTCCGGTATTATTCTGCTTGATCTCTTTAGTAATTTTATATTTAACTAGTGAGATAAAACATTTAAATTAACTTCGACAGTCAATTTATAAGGTATCATCATTTGCAAGTATCGTATAAAATCTAAACAAAATTTTACTCCTATTACATCATTCTATTCACCTGTCTAAGAGTAGTCTTCGAATTAGTGCAGCTTTTCCAAATGTTATGTCTTCTAACCTCAAAGGTTTAATCGTTAACCTCTAATTAGTCATCTAAACAACAATCCTCAGGACATTACCTTAGAAGGAAATAAGTTATCAGGGTTCATCCACAGTTAACTAAAAGGCTTCTTTTATTAACATGAAATTTGAATGGTTTTTGCTCATCATTCTATGTTCGTTCCTTATATCTTTGTTTTAATTGTCTTCATCCCTAACCTGACCTCTGACCTTTCATTTGTTTGCTTTTTCTATTAGCTGACTGTAGTTAATAAGTGACCTGACCTTCACACTCTAAAAATTCCTTGGTTGAATTCCTATCCATTATTGTTTACATGCGAAAATATGTCATGGTGTTTAAATAGCTAGTTGGTATGCATGTAAACTCATATAGAAAGGCCAGTCACGAATGTTATATGTAATGTCTTAGTCACAGTTATTTCATCTTATCTCGTAAATGATATTTAGTTTTTTTTCCATTGTTGTCATTGAATCCCTTAGTTTTCCAGGCAAATTTTATTGTGACTAAGCTTAATCGAATCATTCAGTCTAGAGAATATGATACCTCCAAAACTTTCTCATAAGCTACAAATCATCTCCATCTTATAGAAATCTTACAATTTCTGTATACCAAAACATCTAATAGTGACAGTTAGATTGAAATTTGATCATTCACAGAATAAAATGTTTAAGTTCTATCATAATTCACAAAAAGATTTCGCTGATGCCGATAACTCAACCCAAGTTATTAGGCATCATTTTTAGTGTGGTATCCAAACCACACACACACACACAAAACGGTTCAGATCCAATAACAAGTTGGAAAAAGTTTGATTATTAAAAACTGACTGAGTATCCCATTTATTTTGTAATATTCTAATAAATACTACTGAAAACATTTAATGATTGTAAAGTATTTAAGATAAAGAGTCACTGAATAATTCAAGATTATAAATAAGAATGATGAAAATCAATATGATCCGTAGATTATAAGTTAATGTAATTGAATACAATCTTAAACTATCCTCTATCTAATTACTACAGTATCCTTAATATGTGTTAACTTTTTTATATTTTAAGTGAATCAATATCCTGGAAAAAAACTATTATTCAATTAATAATAAATAATTTTTTTGTTTTATCTCAATGGATAGAAAAATTTGTATTTTTGATGTTTCGTGACTTAATCTAAATAACTTCTTCAAAGTGTTTGCTTACTCTGAAAAAGTGATTTAGATTAAGTCCACGAAACGTCAAAAATACAAGTTTTTCTAACTATTTGGATATAACAAAACGATATATTTTCTATAAACTTTCTACCCAATACTCAATTTTGTTTGAAACGAGCAACTTCAATATTGGCATTGATACTGATTTTAATAAATTAATTTATAAAACCGAAAATTTCAAATAAGTTAAAATAAAACAAATTAATCTAGTATGAAATAGTAAAATCTAAATATTCATTCTCCAAGTGTTTCATTTTTAGCCAGATTCATCAGGAGTAAAAAGTTTTTTGATTGAGATCATGAACCCAGTCAGTCAGTCGGTCAGCTACAACGTAGGACCAGGCACATATATGCATCGGTCCAAGTTGCCATACCTCATTAACACAACAAGATGGACACCGGATTCATAAAAGTAGTTAATTCAGAGGTGGTAATATATAAAAGAAAGATTGCAATAAGGATATAGTACAGGAAGAAAGAATTAGTTCGTAGAAAGAAAGATATGAGGCACTTTTAATCCCTTAGTTTTAGGGAAGATAGAGAGTGTATACACCGACGCCATTGTGATCGTCATGAACCGATTGATGTTAGACCACCGTTGGAAATCTGGAAGCACGGATGGCCGTTTCGTTCTATTGTGGGACTACTTAGCAGTGAGCATCCACGATCCTGCTCGCAAAATTCGAACCCAGGGCCTTCAGTCTTGCGCGCGAATGCTTATCTTACTGGACCACTGAGCTGGCATCCAATAGTGTTAGTGTCTAACATCAACCAATCCACGAAATTGCGCGACCATCTTCCATTGTACTGAGGTAGATACCTGTTTCTACGCGACACGGATTAGTTCCAGTGGTCACAGCTTCTCACTAGTAAAATTGCCTATTTTTCTTAGTTCGATGATAATGGTTAACTCGAAAGAGTATCTATTACCTATCCAATTCATGTTCTTTGAAGCACTGAACATGCATGATGTGCATAATGTGCACGAGTAAACACTGTTCTAGATAAATGCCTCAACTTTAAAATCATTCATTATAAAATAGATTATCTATAATAATCTCCAGTTGGCAATTTTTTTTTTGAAATTTAAATCTATACAAGATAAAATATATTGATTCATCCAATTTCTTTATTTTTGTCTCTACTCAACTTATCCTCTTCAATTATTATTATTATCATAATAATCAATAAAATTACCTACATTCTACTCAAATGATCACTAAAATAATCATAAGTGAATATAATGAATAGTTATAGTTGATGATGATTCGAATTTCCCAGTTCATTAAATATCAACTTATGACTCTTGAATCATATATGATCTTTGGGTGGCCCGAGCATCTGACTCCTATTTAGATCGTATAAATGGTTGTTATCGCCTTTTCTCGTATATCATCGTCGACTTAAATCACGTTAGTCAATAACGGAATTTAGATAAGTCAATTAACGAGAACGGCCTTTGAATACATATATTTTGTATGTAAAGTGAATGTAATAGAACAGAGCAAAATGACACGCAGGAAGGATGGTTGGGAAGCCAACTCCATTTTAGTCAAGCGTTACTCAATATTTATAGTCAGACAAAATAAAGCTACAGACATGTGATTAATGGAATAAGAAGGGCACACACATATACGCTCATATAAAACAATCAAGACTGACAAGCGAATAATTGACAAGGTCAATATATGACCCAAGAAGAATGAATAGATTGGTTTGTCCAAAAACTAGGATAAGGTATATGGGCTTAAAATAAGGACTAACACTACAGATCCCTATCATCTAAATCTTAACTTCATATATATTTTCCTTTACAATTAATAATTAGCTTAACTTTCGATAGTAATTATTCAAATATAATAAAATATAATCATTGTAAATTATCTCCATATTCATGATTTTTTTTGTTGATACAATTTCTGTTCAATTAACAGAAGTTGTTTCAAGTAAAGATTTCTAACATTTCATTATTAAATAAAGTTAGTCTACTTGAATATCTGAGCTATCTGTTCCTATCATCTAGATATTTCAACAAGTTATCTGTCTTTTGTTTGTGTCAACAGAATATTATGTCAGTTCATTGAAATATAAATTGAAAAGAATAAACATTATTCAGATGTTGATTCCTGTACTGATAACATCCAATTGGAAACCACTCAATGTTTATCGTCAACATCGATTAAGAAATATGAAAAGGTAACTTGCTGAAATATTTTGTGCTGAGAATTCCATATTGTACCAAAAATATAATATTGAATAAAGATAATAATAATGCCAAAGCAGTTGCATTGATAGAACAGAAAGGAGAGCCTACGTCCGATTCAAAGAACATATTCCGAAGAGTTTGATATCAAACGGACTAAAAGCATTTAGCAGCGCTGTCGCAAGACATCTCCTTCAAAGTGATCAACAAACAATCAAATTCAAACCTTTTGAAATTCGCCGAAGCAACAGCAATCAAACGTTTAAAACCAGATCTTTGTATACAAAAAGAAACAGTAATAAATCTTTTTTTGCCCTGGTAACATTCACCACATACACCCTTTTATTTTTATTTCTTTCCAACTCTTTCTGAATTTTATAATTACATCATTCATAACTGACCAATTTCAATTCATATCTCTCTTTATTAACATTAATCTATTTTCAGTTACTTCATTACATAATCGTCTAATGTGTTTTAATTCCATGATTTCTAATCACTATCTCAATTTTCTGGAACTTTCCCTTCCAAACTCTATATATTCGAAACAAAATTTTATGACCTCACTAACTCTAACGAAATCTTTGCTACATTATGTTACATATATTCATCCTTCATCGCCCTCTGTTGTATAAGTATGTCAATATCTTTAATAACTTTGAATTTCACATATTTTAGGTTGTAAGCAGCTGATGAGAACCTAACGAAATAAAATGAATTCATATTATTCCGCACTAACCGTTGTTCTTGCTCTCTTTAAAATAATAAACGGAACTATGTGTATAAAATAAATAAACTATGAAATTTTAGCAAGTTAACCTATTAAAATAACGAGGGAAATTTT